TCTAGCTTTTAAAATATTAAATACTTATTATTAATACTCTAGTATACTCTTAGAAGATCTTTAATCGCTAATTAATTAAAGTTATTATAAATCTTTAAATCTTCTTTTACTTTATCGATTATATTATCTTTTATTATCTAATTTATATAGCGATAAGCGCGTCTAAAGCTAACTCTTCTAAAGTTCTTTTATTAAAGAATATTCGCTAATAGTTAAAGATATATATTATTAAATTAAGAGAGAAAGTACTAGCTAGACTTTTAGTAAATAAAAAGATATCTATTATAGTAGATTACTAGATAAATTCTAATTATTTCTTATTTCTTATAATTATAGAGTTAGATTATTATATTAATTATTATAATACTAAAGCTAATATTCTTAGATATTTTATTAATAATAATTAGTATTTCCGTAAGATTCTTCTAGAGTTCGAATATATTATCGGAAACTATATTAGCTAAAAGCTCGTAGATATTATTCTTTATATACTTAAGAATAATAATATCTTAATAGAATAAATCTTTATAATTATAAGCGATAATATAGCGAATAACGATATAAGAATAAGAGTTCTCGTTAACGCTCTTAGTATTATTAAGAGTAAATATATAGAGATATTAATAATTTATATTTTCTATCTTATATATATTATCTAACTTATATTAAAGAGTTTTATTAATATAATTAAGATTATCGCGAAGAATAAAAGACTAATTAAGAAGTAGAATAAGAATAATCTAAATCCGATAATATATAGTTTTATTAATCTTAATAAAGATATATTTTAGATACTTTAAAAGATAATAGTATATTATAAATATATATTATAATAGTCTTTACTAATAATCTTTTTAGCTTTAAGAAATTATAATTAAAATTAATACTAGCTTTTATCGCTATAAGAAGTTTTATACTATCTAAATTTATCGCCGAAGATTACTTAATCTTATTTAAAATATTAATTTTCGATAGAATTCTACTTTCTAAATAATTTAATATATTTATAAGCTTAAAAAAGCGCTAAAGCTAATAATTTAGCGATATCTAGAAGATAATATTTACTAATTAATATTTATTAAATAGCGATATATTAACTATTTAATTAAGATTTTTTATCTCTTTAGTAAATTTACTATTATAATTAGTAAATCTTAGAATATCCTAATAATATATTAAGTCTTCGCGATTTATAATATACTATTTAAATATCTAGAGAATTAATATTTTCTACTTTAGAGGAAGCGAATATAATAGAAAGTTAAGATATATAAGATATTAGAGAAGTTTATTAATAAACTAAGAGAGTATTATATATAAATAATAAATAAACTAGAAAAGCTCTATATAATAGCTATAATTCTTATATCGTAATATAAATTAGCTTTCATTAAGATCGAGAACTAGTTAGATAATTATAGCTAATATAAATAGATAAATTTAGACTATTATATTAGTTATTACTTTATATTAAAGTCTTTAGTAAAATAAATATCGAGACTATCTTTAAATAATAATTAATTATTATACTATTAAAGCTTAATAAATCTATATCTATATAAGTTAGTTATTACTAATCGCTTCTTCTCTCTATAATATTTCTTTAATTAATAGAGAATTATTCTCTCTTTCTATAATAAGTTAACTATCTTAGTTATTAATATTAATAACTATAATAAGTTAACTATCCTAATTATTAACTTTCTATTCTTAAGACTTTACTAAGCGGAAATCCTCTAAGACTTTAAGTTATCTTCTCTTAAGTCGTAGATAAAAGAGATCTAGAATAACGACTAAAATATTAGAGTTTAATTAATACTTATAAGATTATATAAGTTAGAACTCTATATTTTTAGACTATTATATTATTTATTACTAGTATAATATAGACTTTAGAATTAAAGATCTTAATAATATTCTATAATATTAAAAAGCTATATAATATTAATAGTCTACTCTCGCTATTATTACTTAAGATATTCTTATAATTTCTACTATCGAAGTAGAAATTAAATATCTATTTAATATTACTCGCGATATTTATTCTTATTATTAATTTAATCTTAAATTTAAAACTCTTCGTCTCTTAATAATAAAAATATATATAAACTAGTTTAATTTATAGAAGAAATATTAATAGCTCGCGATCTCGAATCTTAAGAATTAAGAGAAGAATATTAATAATAATATAAATAATAAAGAAAAGAATCTAGTTAATAAAGATTATATAAGAGATTTAATTAATAAAAGCGAAGATAATAATAAACGATTTAAGAATAATAAAGAACTATTATACTTTAATCTAGATTATATTAAAGATAATTAAAGTAATAACTAAAGTAATAGTCGAAGTATTAATATTAATTATAAATATAACGAAAATACCGACTAAGATATCTTTTATAAGATCGATAAAGATAATAACGATAATAACTAGAATAATAATTAAAGTAATAGTTAAAGTAATAATTAATTAAATTAAATTATATAATATCTTTATAAGTAAACTATTAATACTAGTACTTTATAAATAATATATCGAAAACCCTATTTCGCGAGCTTAATTATCCTTCCTCGCTTAGTTATTTAATTATAGTTAAGTAATTCTCGATAATTAATTAAGTTAAGATAAAGATAGATCGATAATCTAATTAATAGCGATAAACTACTTCTAGTTTCTTTAAGTATATTATAATTCTCTCTCTCGTTATATCTATCTTAACTTAACTATATCCTTATAGATCGAAAGGCGAAATAATAATAAAAATAGAGTACTCGGAAGAGGAAAGAAAAGATATAGGAATAGTAAGATATATACTATTTAATATTATAATAGTATATTATATTCCTTTTCTATTTATAACTATTATTATAATAACTATTCTTTATCTTATCCTTTAAAATTAGTCTAATTTAGTCGAGAGATATTTTATATTATATTAGATTATAATATCTACGTTATATCTCTTAAGATTTAAACTTTAGGTCGTCTATAGATTATTAGGTTAGGTTAACTACCCTATTAGCCCGATAGACTAGGCTATCGGGCTAACTACTCTCTAGCCTAAACCCGACCCGGAACCCGACCCGACTCGACCTACGTCGGGTCAACCCGACCCATGTCAAAGCCTAGTTTAGTTTGTAGAAATCGGTGCTGGCTTCACTGTGTGCAAAGGGGACAAAGGGTTAGATACCGGCATCGCTGGAGCGAATAAGAGTCGGAATTGCCGACGGACACGTAAGCGTTCATGGGAAGGAGTGGTAAGAAACTGCGGAGTTCCAGACTCCGGCGTTAAGGTTAAAATAGACGTGAACCTAATAGTTATAGCTTACATATAGATAATATAAGCTTCTATAACTATCTTAAAGACTAGATAACGAGGCTTATAATGCTCGAGAAAGTGATATCTTTATAATGATTTATATACTATACTTAAAATAGCGATAGTTTAGGTTAATTCAATCGGAAGTATTTAGGTATATTACGAAGGATCTATTATTAGGAAAGAACTTATCTATCTACTTCAAGCCTAAATATTATAGTAAGGGGACTATAATTACAATATCTATAGCGAATATGTGTCACGAACCGCCAAGTATACCTCGCACGTGACAACCCCTTACTATTTAGGCACCGTATACTCACCGCCTAAGGGAAGCTCTCTTTCCTTCCCTTATACTTAGAGTCTTAGTTAAGATATACTATCAAGGAATACCTATACCTACCTACTACCTATCGCTATCCTCTACCTATCTTAATAGGCTGTTCCTAACATCTAATAAATAATATATATACTAACTATTCCTTTTATCTTAGAAGTCTATATAGTATAAATATAATATATCGATATTCTCCGTTATATATATAGTCTTCCTTATATAGTTTTATATTCTAATAGTTTATTATAATCTCTATTTCTTCGACGTTTATATTAAGAATAACATATTATTATAAGATAATATCGTCATATATAGTTAAGTTTTTATCTTCTTTATCGATAACTTAACGACGAATCTAAAATAACCTTCTATATTAAATCTAAACTATTTAAATATAAATCTATAAAACTAAAGTTTTATAAATAAGGTTCGCTCTATATAAATAGAGTACTTAATATATTATAAGATAAATATAGTCTTTAATTATATAAGATTTATATTAAATTTATTTCTATCTTTATAGAAATATTTAATCTTAAGATTATTCTTTATCTTTTTAATATTTATATTATTAAAGATTAAGATATTAATACTTATTAAAGATAAGTTAGATTATTAGATAAGTCTAGATTTAGATAACTTAGAATTAGAACTACTAAATATAATCGTTAATTCTACTTACTATCTAAGAGAATAGTTAAAATATTATAAGTTACTTTGTAATATATAAAATATTAACGAATAAACTCGAAGTAATTTACTTAGTAATATAGTAGTAGGACTTAATATAGCTAAGACGAAAACTAAGAGTATAGTATATAACTATATATAAAGCGATTAATCGAGAATAACTCGATTATTTATAACTAAGGTTAACTACGAAGAAAAGCTAAAGAGAACTATAGACTATATATCCTGGGAAAGTCTATAAATATATTGTATATATTGCTCTATCCTAATATATTAATATATTAGTATATATAAAATATATTATTCCTAATGCTAAGCCTAGTATATTTTGTCACGTGAGTCTCGGCTTACTTCCCAGTCCTATTCTCGCATAGCCTCCAAAGAGGTCGCTTCGTAACAAATGACCGAATGTAATGACAGGGGGGAGCCGCTAAGGTAGCTGAGGCGAATGGGAATTCAGGAAGTGGTGAAGACCTCCAATGTGGGGTATTTTGAGGAGTTTCTGGATTCCCCAATAACTCACGCCTTGGACGCCGTCCCAATATGATCCTATTGACCTTCTATTCATATTTGAACTATCTACTGCGAAGCTATCAGGCCGGTAAGACCATATATTGGCTGTTGCCAGCAAGTGTGAGATCCTCTACAGTATGGCCAACGAAGTGCCGATAACCATGAAAGCCCATGTCCTCGAGCAGTACAATATGCCTTATCAACTCCGGAATCTCCCAATACCAGTTATTGAGGATGCGAATGACATCCTTATCAGAGTAGACGCGGCTTCCTATTGCCATACGGATGCAGTCCTCGCCTCGGGAAAGATGCGCCCGCCACCACTTCCGCATATAGGCTGCCATGAGTTTGCTGGAACTGTCGTCGGTGTCGGCGACGACCCATCAGCACACGCCTTGAGGATTGGCGACCGCGTGGCTGTTCCCGGTCGTGGAAATCATGTTTGTGGGAGATGCCTTGAGTGCCAAAATCCTTCAGGCCCTCTTCCTGACCAGCCTGGGTATTCTGTCTATTGCCCCAATGCTGGGGGTGGGCTTGGTGTGGGTAGCAAACCAGGGGGATTCCGAGAGTACGCCGTCGTCGACTCGAGACAAGTAGCTATCATTCCGGACAGTATGACAGCGGTGGAAGCTGCGCCACTAATGTGCGCGGGTCTCACAATCTTTGCAGCCCTCAGGAAATGCGAGCTCAAGCCTGACCAGCGAGTAGGTATTATTGGATGCGGAGGTGGGCTTGGGCACTTGGGTCTGCAGTTTGCCACCAAAATGGGGTTGAAGACGACCGGTGTTGACATAGCATCACCCGCACTCGAACTTGCAAGGAATTTGGGGACAGGAGCTACGATTGTCGACGCTTCAGCCAAAAGCGCAGCGGAGGCTAAGCAGGAGATGGGTGAAGAGGACGGTAGACAGCATCCGTCCGAGATGGGTTTAGATGCGGTGATAATTCTGCCAGAGAGTCAGAAGTCATTTGACTACGGGATGCAGTTATTGAGGAATGGCGGTCTCTTGGTCCTGGTATCCTTCCCGCCAGAGGGTTTCCATGTCTCAGCAGATGACCTGGTCTTTCGTCGCATTCGCGTGGTTGGTAGCTTGATCGGCTCCAACAAGGCCATGGGAGACATGTTTGACTTCTGTGTCAAGAACGGTGTCAAGGCAAAAATCAAAACTTATCCCTTTCCGAAGCTCAATCAGTTGGTGGAGGATTATCATTCTGGAATCGGCGGCAAGCTAGTTCTGGACATGGCGATGGACGAGTGAGTCTGCAACTTGAGCTTAGGGATGGGCTTGCTCGCGAGTATTGACATTGTATACGGGTCACTCTATGTGAGTTTGGTAGTTACGCTCAACTGCAGCCAAACGATCGAGATCCAGCTGAACTTAATGGATATTGCCGAAACAGTAGAAGTTCGACAGAGAGTCGGCGGTTTATGACGAATGGACAATCTTTGCTAGGATTAAAAGCCCAGACTAAGTTCGTGGCGACATAGCTAGCTAGTATCAAACCCTTGAAGAAGGGAACATTGTCACTCTCTCCCAAGGGGGAAGCTATTGGAATAAGTTTGGGCCTTGAGCACGAGGACACCCTATTAGATCGCTGCCGTAGCCTCGCTTTCACTGACTCAGTTTAAATTCCTCGACAACTGTTATACTTCAAGATCCCCACTCGATACAGAAGAGAATGATGAAAGGCTGCACAATGACGGCATCGGCCATTAAAGTTCTTAGTCCAGTCATCGCACAGGTCTTCCTCAAAAGTTATGTGCATCCTCCGGCGAACCGAATCTCGATCGAGCCTACACGAAGTTTAAATCGCTTTCCTGTATAAGGGAAATAGTAGAAGATACTCGATCCGGCATGCTCTTCCGCAGCGTAGGAAGGTCAAATACTCGCCACCCTGTGTCAAGTGCATGTCGAGACGTAGTTTGCGGGGAAATAGCACCTGCTACCCTAACCGTGGCCTTTGCAAGGCTCTACACGTTTACGCCGCGACCTTGCAGTTGTCCAAAAGGTAGTGACCATTTGGCGAATTCGTCGCCAACACTCATTGAGTTGTCGGAGGTTTCAGAGCCTGCCATCCCTCTAAAAAATCCAGCCATCGGATCTCCTTCCCTAGGTCTTTACTTGGGTGCGCAAACCAGTGGTTAAGCTGTTGATTTGAGGCCAGAAAGACTTTGCGATTCAACGACGTCATGGGCATGGGGGAAAACTTTCTGACAAGTTGTTTGGCGCAGCCTGAAAGGATGGCAAAATCTGGGGATAGGATCATTGCAGCAGCCTTTCCCCGCAAAACTGCGGGCGAGACTCAAAACGCTCTGTAGTTCATCGGGCTGGAGACTTCGGCTTTGGATGTTGCGAGGGGCATCACAGCCGACGCTCGACAATCAATCAAATCCCGTGGATCGGCAGAAAGACGGCATTCTAACCGGAGACCCAGCATCATTATAATACAGATTGAGTAGTCATGGGTCCCCGGAATGCTGTACCCATGGATTCCCCAGCGGCGGATCCCGCATCCCACTAGCCCCATCTATTGGCGGCTTGAAGATAGGGAGGTTGAACCATCAACCAAAACAGGACTCCACGTACAATTCTTCCACGCCGACAGCGAGTAACCTGTTAAATTAGGAGCAATAGGATTGATTCCATCAAACGCGCGAAGGCACGCTGACAATGATAACCAGGGGTCTGTATGCACAATGTCGTCGTGCTCTTGACGGCTATGCCGCTCATCCGTCGGAATATTGCTATAGTGGTTAAGATCGTCGCGTAGAAACACAGGGTTGGTTCCAAGCAAGCTTAATTACAATTGGCAGAGTGTCCAAGATAGTCAAGACCGGACAATGATAATCAACCAACAAAGTCAAGGGTTCTTGTGGATACAATCGTCATCTGCGCATATGAGCCTTCAACGCGTTGTAACGCTGATCCGGTGCCGTCCCGGTGGATCAACTCGAAATTTTCCCTTTCGTTCAGAACATGTGAGTGATTCATCCAACAAGAGGTTACATATCGGAGTCCTCTAACCCTTATGGCCCACCAAAACCCCTACACAGAAACTGTTTTGGCATCGTTAGCTGGAGACGCTGGTCCCTTGGTTGCGGGGCATGATGTCCATCTTCTCGTGGGAAGACAGTGCGCGTGCCAGTCACACAGCTCGCCATGTATCTCCAGCTGGGGCCTGTCTCTCACGCCTTGGAACCCCGTGGAGTTTGCGAGCGATGATTGTCTGCCCCCGCTTGAGGATGTGGGTTGAAAGGTGAAGTGATAAACCCCAGCAAGCCCACCGATATTTTCTTCCTCTGCTTCAACCAGCGAAGCTGCTTTGCCGCAAGTCTGCACCAAGATGGCATCTCAAGATCCTCAAATCACGCGCGAGGCTGCGAACGGGTAGGCAGCCAATCAGCGAACCTTGTTCAGCAATGTAGCTGACTTGACCAGTGGCGATGACGAGAAGTATATCGGCGAAAAGCAAGAGACGGCCTATATCGACTTGGAAAACAGCTCAACAGCAAAGTATGCGAATCACCCACCACCAACAGCCTTTGTGTGACTGAGACCTGATAGGATTCGAAACCCCTTGGCTCACCTTTCCAATGAAGAAGTCATCAAGGATGTCGAAGAGTTCGCCAGGAATAATGACTTCGCAGACATGACGGACCTCCTTGTGAAGGGTGCCCTCGTTGCTAAGGATCCTCCAGCCTTTGAGACTGTTCCAGGCCTTACGGAACCCGAGAAAGAAGCTATCCGCAATGAGGTCTTACACAAGTGGCGTCAGCCAAAATCGCTTTACTTCACAATCATCCTTTGCTCGATTGGCGCTGCTGTACAGGGTTGGGATCAGACCGGCTCCAACGGCGCCAACCTCTCCTTCCCTGATGCTTTAGGCATTCCAGTTGGTGACACATTGGCGAATAACCAACCAAATCCGAACGCTGCTCGCAATCAATGGTATCAAGGCTTGATCAATGCCGGGCCATACATTGCCTCCGCATTCATGTAAGCAATTCGTTGACGGTAGCAAGCCCAAATACTGACTGATCTCAGTGGCTGCTGGTGCTCTGATCCACTCAACAACTTCTTTGGTCGACGAGGAACTATCTTTGTATCTGCAGTCTTTTGCTTCTTGAGCCCGATTGGCTCCGCCTTCGCTCAAAGTAAGTACCTGATCGGCATGGGCCTGGGATGCTGTCTGACTTTCCACAGCGTGGGATCAACTTCTCGTCACTCGACTTCTGCTTGGCATTGGGATGGGATGCAAGGGCTCAACAGTTCCGATCTTCAGCGCAGAAAACGCGCCTGCATCAGTCCGAGGCGGCCTAGTCATGAGCTGGCAGATGTGGACTGCATTCGGCATTTTCTTGGGCACTTGTGCCAATCTTGCCGTCAAGGATACTGGCTCCATCTCATGGCGACTTCAATTTGGCTCTGCAATGCTTCCTGCCTTACCTCTCCTCGTGGGAGTTTACTTCTGCCCAGGTGCGTCACTCCAATACCCCTACCCAGACTGCATGACTGATAATGTGCAGAATCTCCTCGTTGGTACATCAAGAAGGGTAGATACCGCAACGCCTTCAGATCACTCAAGCGTCTCAGGAACACCGAGCTCCAGGCTGCCCGTGATTTGTACTACATCTTCGCTCAACTCCGCATGGAAGCCAGCTTGGTCAAGAAGAAGAGCAACTATGTGACACGTTTCATACAACTGTTCACGATTCCACGAGTTCGTCGCGCAACTCTGGCATCCTTCACTGTCATGATTGCACAACAGATGTGCGGAAGTAAGTGGAGAAGTTTTCATTGTGACAGGATGTGTACTGATTCAGGCGTAGTCAACATCATCGCCTTTTACAGCTCCACCGTGTTTAAAGAGGCCGGTGCATCCAACACGGACTCCCTTTTGGCTTCTTGGGGCTTCGGATTGGTGAATTTTGTATTTGCGTGGCCCGCCATCTGGACCATTGATACATTTGGTCGCCGATCACTCCTTTTGTTCACCTTCCCTCAGATGGCATGGACCTTGTTGGCTGCAGGCCTTTGCTATTTGATTCCCTCGTCCAGTTCAGCGCACCTGGGTCTAGTCGCCCTCTTCATCTACTTGGTATGTCAGGAAGTCATTCATCTAGAAAACAAGGCATGCTAACATAAACAGTTTGCGGCATTCTACTCGCCGGGAGAAGGTCCTGTGCCATTCACATATTCCGCCGAGGTCTTCCCTCTTTCGCACCGCGAGGTCGGTATGGCTTGGGCAGTCGCAACTTGCTTGTTCTGGGCTGCCGTACTCTCAATCACCTTCCCGAGGATGCTTTCGGCTATGACCCCAACGGGTGCGTTCGGGTTTTATGCAGGTCTTAATATCTGTGCGCTTATCATGATCTTCTTGTTCTTGCCCGAAACCAAGCAAAGAACCTTGGTAAGCTTGTGTCCTTTGAACCTCTCTTCAAGACATCTGACAATCATTCCAGGAGGAACTCGATTATATCTTTGCTATTCCGACCCGAACTTTCATGAAACATCAAGTGGGCATCGTCCTGCCATGGTGGATTAAGACAACTATCTTCCGCCGCAAGATCGGCCCTTGCCCCCCACTTTGGTCGTTCGATGGTCATGTTGACAACGATCAAGAGTTTGTGGAGACTATCCGGAGACAAAGTGAGGCTGTTCATGGAGGGCGCCGCCGGAGTAGCGTCGCTGGCAGGATTGCCAACAGATTCTGAGCTCTGTTGGTAGGAGCCCATCAACTCTCGCGAAAGCGCATGAATGAAAGAGCTAACTCTCGGGGGTTTATGAATCTTTTGAATTGTGCCACGAGTCGACGGAATTCAAGAATCCACCGCAGTCGAGATTCGTGCTGCATTACAATCACAAATTGGATATATAAATGAACATACAATGTAGTAGACAATCACCGCTATAGTACGGAGTATAGTAGTGACAATACTAGAAGTCAACCACCAAAGTCTCCCTCACTTAACAACTGGAAGTTGCTACAAGCATGGTAACCCTAGTTCCCTGGTCGATAGGAACTGTGCAGAACTATTGCCAAAAGAATCCAATAAGTTGTGTGAAGTTTTGTTTCCGCTATCCTGACAGAGGCGATGAAATTTATCGAATTTTTCATACCCTCTAAAACTCTCTTTCCAGTGTAATTGTACGGGAGTCCTCCTTTGTATGGATGCGGCATTTGAACGGCGCGACGGGGGCTTGAAATGGCAAGCCCGCCGCACGACGGAGAAGTCAGGATCGTCACTGAAACCATGTTGAACTGTCAGTCAATCGAATGGCTTCGCCCGCCAGTCCTACGACTGTGTCGATACTCGATCCCTAGAGGCACAGCGAGACAACAGGGATGGCAAACACATGGCAAAGACTGTGCTGCAGCAGCGGTGGCGCGAACCACCAATCCAAGTTCGAAGCCTCGAGTAACACGATGCTGTCTCAAGCGCCCGCTGAGAGAATTAGGCTACAAGAGGCTCCGGATGGAGCCGCGATTTTCCAACAGGAGGAAAATAGGTTCCAGTCTGACCGTCAAAATTCAGCAATCCAGCCCCGAGGGAAGATAGCACAGGAAAGTTGAAGACACCTACCTACCTACCCAGGTAGGTACAACTTCAGAAAGATCTAAACTGTGTTGCCGGGAGACAGAAGGATGTTTCTCCAAACATGAGATAAATCCCATCATGGGGATGGGTCAACCTCGACGCGATGTACCTTTCTTTCAAGTCCCAGCAGTCCAAAACTTGCTGTCAGACAGTGCCCTTCCAGCCGTTGTGCCGCTAGTTAGTCGCCTGATGACTACGTAATGCTCACGTTTGCATCTCTCTCAACCCGCCAGCATCCAGACGGCCTTCTCTACTCGTGAGTACAAATGGCCTGCGCTGCCCGCCTGCGTGGTATGCGCCATTGCACACCCAGCTGCGCCTGATTCCAGTTTCCGGCAATCAAAACATTGACCGAAGCCACACTAAAAGGGGACAAAATGGCTGAAAAATTGCATGAAACGGCCCAAAACATTGTTGGAGATATCAAATCTGGCCTCCATGGCATCCACGGCGCAGGCGAAGCCCTCCGGGGTGGCGCAATGGAAGTACTGGATACCGTCTTCCACAAAACAGAGGGTGAGGAGAGGAATCGAGAGATCGCCGAACAAGGTCTGGCGGAGATGAGGGGGAGCGAAGGCCGATTTGAAGAGCGACACCATCAGTATGAAGCACATCATCTAGGAACTCAGCACAGGGCAGAAAAAGATCACCACCACAACACCAATCACGGACAGGGAAGCCATTTCGCCGACGCTCGTTCCAAGGACTTGGCAGCTGAAGAACAACGTAAAGCGACGGGAATCGTGTCTGAGGAGGGCGACAGCTTGAGCGCCGCAAGGGCGGCTATGGAGGGAAAGTATTAAATCTGCTTCTGAGGAGGTTGCTTCCGCTGGAGAGGGTATACCGGCGGCATTTGCTCAGTGATAAGTCACGCGGTCCTAGCGATGGTCTCATTGAAGGAATTCAGAATTCCGAAATCCCATCCTTCACCACGATTTTCCCTACGTCGTCATCTCTTGCTCCCTCCACAACACTTCTGATGAACTGTCCGCCGATACTCGGGTGCTTCGCTCCCATCTCCTTCGCCAGGTGCCGTGCATTCCCTAAGTCCGTCTCCAAGAATCCAGGCCCAACAGACCAAACCTTGACTCCGTCTGCCTTCAACTTGTGATTCCAATCCACCATCAACATGTTCAACGCTGTCTTACTGCATCGATACCCGATTGTCTCAAAGTCGATCTTCTTCGGCCACCCAGCAGGTTGAGGCGGCGTAGGAAAATAAGACCTGCTCGCTTTTGTGACGTTGGAGAGACCTGTCACAAAGATCAATCGAGGGTCGGGGGATTTGAGCAAGAGTGGCATAAATGTCCAGGTTAGAACATTTGTACCGGCAACGTTGACATTATAGGCTTTCATGAAGCAGTCGCGGAGTGAAACCTCTCCGGCCAGAAATGCAAGGTCAAATGTTGCTCCTGTGAGTGTTGAAAGTCAGCTCGGGTTGAAAGAAGAAAGGGCAAAACGAGATACAATACCAGCGTTATTTATGAGAGCATCGATATGTCCCAGTTTAGTCTTGACCTGATCGAACGCTCTTTCGATCGACGCGTCACTATCAAGATCGACTTGGAGCGCTTCGACCGTGTTGGGTAAGTCGCGACATTCTTTGTGCAGTTTCTCGATCGCATGCTCAGCCTTCTCCAGGGAGCGACTGCCCATGAGGACGTGATATGGCTGGTTGGATTCAAGGAGCGCCTTGACTGTCTCGTAGCCGATACCGTTGTTGCCACCTTTCTCAGGCTTAGCACCATGACCCTAGAAAAAAGACCGACAATGATTTTACTTACCTGTCACAAGAGCAATTCTTCGGGCTGCCATTGCTGCGGTCGTCGGTCACCCTTCCAACGATTCCTCTCTGCTGAATTGTGGGAATAGAAAGCGCTTTGTAGTAAGATCAGGCACTCCGACCTTCCAGCCTCCGTTTCAGATGTCATCCCTTATATGTTATTTTCTAGCATCTAGGGTGAACGGGTCGGCGAATTCGTCTCTGAATGTTATGACACCGGCAACCACGGCACCCAATGAGCACAGATTCTCCACACAACCTTTGGTATTTCATTGGCGATCATTTCGTGGAGAAGGCAGAGCTATTCCATCTCGGGACAAACCCTGCGAGTCTCGCAAATCCTTCGTACTTCCAGAGACGTTACAACTCTCGTCGATGTCACCCGCGGTTGTAGCTTGAGTCACAGGTTGAATTCCGAGTCTCTGACTCATCGCTTCTGGTCAGCATCCTCTCAGTATACGAATTTGGCGACAGCGCAAGGTATCCCAAGAACGTTGGGCCTCGCCGTTCGCCCTCAAAATGGCTAGCCTTGTGAGCAAAAACCTTTCTTCTTTCTTGGAAAGTTCGCAGTGCTGGATTTGCAAGAGCACTGTGCCTAAATCTGCCCTGCTCAACGGACCGTGCTGGCCCCTTTCGAGAGCCTCAATCACGTCTCCGGTATGGGTACGAAAAGCGGCAAGCTGCTGCTGGCACCAGCTGAAGTCCTAGACTTGCGTTTAGCAATTTGCCTTCGTCTATGAATCTGAAGGACTTGAGAGCCTTATTTGGTTCGATAGAATGCCTCACAGAGGTATCGGTGTCGATTTCGTGCAGCGCATATATCCGCATGGCAGGCGCAGATTGAAATCTGACTTCCAAGCCGTACTTTTCTCAGTCATCTTCGCCGTACAGTCCTGGTCCATCTATTGGGATATTCGCACAGAGTCTCCCTGCTGTAAAAGGAGAGCTTCCTTGTTTGAAGTTTCACCCTGACAGCAAAATCGTGAACTCACACAGTGTTCAGAGGATGTACGCGATATACTCAGCAGATCCAACCGTTGCCAGGCAGCCATGCTGACCTTTCCTGCGCGCACAACGACATAGCTCTCGGAAGTCGTTTGGATCAGCTCTGAACAGAGTCACAATGTTTGAGACCTTGATGGAAGTTCGAAAATCGTTGGGAAGCTGAAGGTCATGATTCAAACATTTCGGGTTGTCTTTCCAAACCGTGACTTTTCATCAGGATACTTGTGAATATCCCCGGGAGCTGGCGGAGCCGAAGCGAGGTTTCTCAGTGGCAATTCTCAGCGATATGAGAAGGCGAGAAAAAAAGCGCCCAGTGGGGTGTGAGGATATCTTTCCACCATCCAGCCTGGACTCTTGCTCGATGTCTTGACAGCAGGATCCGGAAGCGAAATTTCTGGCTCCATGAGAGCCAATCTCTCCCATCCAGGTTTTCTTAGTCCAATTCGATACCCTTTCCGTTTGTGAAGCATCTGAGCAACTCCGAGGTTAAAGCAATTCTGGGAATGCAAACTTTCGGAGTCATTTGAACTCGGCCGCGTCTACGTCGACAAGGTATAAGTGGACACTAGCACAGGACTTGATGGACCGAATATATAGGGACTTGGCTTTCACTTCGAAGCGACTGACGTGTTAGCTGCATCTGTGAGTTCGGCATATTTGTCGTCCACTTCTCCAGGGCACTGATACGGGAAAGCCGCCGAGCGTCAGCTGCTTGTAGCCTTACAGCGAAAGGCGCATCCTCCATGCTCCTTTTTGCGCAGACTATTCAGACTGCAAGCAAGGCGGGCGGGAGGAAGACTGAAGCTGTGTCCATGGTGATATTTCACGGTTGTCTGAGATAGTCCGAAATCGGGTAAAACAGGGATTGATGAGTTCATCAACCAGCGCAGCAGGAGCATCGCTGACTAGAGGCAAGACAAGCCATGGAACTTGCAGGTCCAGGAGCTTTGGAATGATCTCTGTCATGCAACAAAAGGTACGATGTACAGGGATTTGTGCTTCGAACAATCGCTAGGTAGAGGCAAGTTTCTCTGTGCGTGCTCGGACAAGGTGTTGGCTGTCTGACATGTCATTTGAATCTCACGACTTATGGCTCTGAAACGCGTCCTACTGCGAACATCACGGGCACAAAATAATGGCTCTCACGACTGGTTCGAACCGTGACCGCTGTGTTCACCCACATCCGGCTGAAATTTCGCCATGAACTCGTCAGCTTGCCAAAACAGAACTCGACAGACTCATCTTATGGTCAACGGAGTTCAACATGCATATGGAAGACAACAATGCCGGACCGAGAAACAGATATCCACAACTTCTCAACCTCACCATCGCAGCATCGACTACCGACGGTTTCCGCCATTGACGCTCTGCGAAACATATCCGCTAAATTCAAAGGGATATCCTGTAGTCTCCCAGCTCTGGATGCAATTCTTGCAAATGGAAGAAGCAATGGGCTCTCAATCGCTACAACTGGAATTCAAAGGGGCCATGTTACCGAAGTCTACGGACCACCAGGGGTAGGCAAGACCACCTTTGGGCTGCAAGCTGCCGTCAATGCGATCCGGTCCAGCCATGAGGATTCTCATGTCCTGTGGGTTGACACAGGTTCTCCCTTCACCAAAGAGAGACTGGACGACCTGATGCGCTCATACACTGTCCCCGCAGATACTGATCTCCCTTCATCACCACCAGAGCCTGTGGAGGCTGAATTACTTCTAGACGACAAGTTTACTCACCTCAACGCCTACACGCTGCCTCGTCTGCTAACAGTATTTTTGCATCCTCCTCACTCCTTCCCCTCCTCAAAAACGTGTTTGATCGTCATCGACGACCTCTCCAATCTCCTCCTTGGCTCATTTTCGCGAAATCCAAGAAATCTCAAGGCCTCCGCGCCGGCTGGTGTGAAGGAGAAGTTTGAAAAGCAAGCTTTGTCGAAACGCTTTCAGGTCATAGAAAATCTCGGAGCCGCAATGTCGAAGATGGCCGCGCTCAAAAACATTGCCGTTCTAGTCCTGACGAACGCGACGACGAGTTTGAGAAGCCGTCACAGGGCGGCCCTGAAAGCGGCAATGGCCAGCCATGCGTGGGACTCCGCAGTCCACACCCGAATCATGCTTTACCGCGATTTCGCCGACGACGGACAAGTCATCAATATATCAGGGACGCAATCCCTGGGCTTGCGGTATGCGGAAGTCCAACGAATGGCCTGGAAAGACCTCTGCACAAATCCGGTTCCATTTGCTATCCTGTCCAAGGGCATCCGGCAACTGAGTCCGGCGATTTCACCTGGTCAAGCTCAAGTTGATACTGACTCCAGTGATGCGGTAGAAATATTCAATACCGACAAGGAAGACAACCTCCCGCTTCTCCCCGCGGAACTCTCCCAGCGATCCCAAGGTGATATGCCAGCACAATCCAAAAAGCGGAAAATTACCGAGATCGCCGACAGCGAAGATGAGATTGAGGAAAACGGGATTGAAATGCCATCGGATTTCGACGAGCCCGAACTCCCACGCATGGACTTGGTACCTCTTGCACTGATGGATGAGATGATCCTCGAAACACACGAGACGGCACTATTGAGGAGAGATCGATATGCACGTATCAGGGGCTCTGAGGACGAGATTCCTGCACCGTCGTCAGATTTGGCAGAAGAGGCCGATGCAGCTTCGCCTCCCGAAGAGGTCAGCCCTTGAGAAACACATCTTAAGATCATCCAGTTATTCCTAGCATCAAAGCCATGTCTGTACTCATAGCCACTGTGTACTGGGGAGTGTCCGACATGGGAATTATGATGTGGTCTGAAACATCAGCTTGCAGCGAGCTGGGGGAGACTAGGCCACATGTGCGCCGATGGTTGCGGGGTGGGCCAATTTTAGGTGCCCCTCCGTTGCGGTGGTGGCTGTGTCTGACTTGAACCATTCCAGACCCCGCCTAACGCGGCCGTGCGCGGCCCAGGATGCGATTCGTTGGAGGCAAGAATTCGAAGGTTGTCTGACGAACAAGATTCATTGCAGTCCTTCGGGCAGTCTGCTCGCCTGCGGCGCACTTGAATCTGGTTTGGAATCAGCTGAACAGACACCCACTGTAGACATCTTCTTTTGAAGTTGCTCGCAAGACACTTCTTTCATGAATCTCTCATTCTCAGACTCCCTTCGAGGCTCCTCAAGCCATCTTCCTTCCCTTTAGCGCGCCGCCGCTCTGCCATCCCTTCGCCCTCCCCGCCCCCCTCGGCCGTCAGCGTCCACTTGCTTACCTTCTCTCCAAGCCATATTTAAACCGCGATTCAGCTGAGAGCGATTTGAAATAGACAGTGAACATGGCTTCGCAAGGACAGCAAAAGCCGCAGATCCAGCCTTGCCGGTACAAGACTGGTGAGCTTGAACTGTCGAACCTCGTGTGGAACATCCTGCTTATGTTCACATAGGAAAAACACTCGGCGCAGGCTCATATTCAGTGGTTAAAGAATGCGTTCACATAGACACGGGCAGATATTATGCCGCAAAAGGTCCGTAGACAGACCCTGTCGAGAAAACTCCTATGGCTTACCTCGTGGCAGTCATTAACAAACGGCTCATGGCCGGTCGGGAGCATATGGTCAGTTCTGCCCAAATCGCCAGAGAGACTATCAGCTAATGAGAGCATCGTCAGGTGCGTAATGAAATCGCAGTCTTGAAGCGTGTTTCAGTGGGACATCGCAACATCCTCACTCTTGTAGACTACTTCGAAACCATGAATAACTGTACGGCTCGACACTTTGGGGGTCTGGAATCAGTCTGACATGGCCGCAGTATACCTTGTGACGGACCTTGCTCTTGGGGGTGAGCTGTTCGATCGAATCTGCCGCAAAGGCTCCTACTACGAGTCCGACGCTGCCGACTTGATTCGAGCGACACTTTCCGCAGTTGCATACCTACATGACCACGGCATCGTGCATAGGGACTTGAAACCAGAGAATCTGTTGTTCAGAACACCAGAAGACAATGCGGATCTCCTGATTGCGGACTTTGGCTTATCGAGGATCATGGATGAGGAACAATTTCATGTCTTGACCACGACGTGCGGCACACCAGGTTATATGGCGCCCGAGATATTCAAAAAGACCGGCCATGGTAAACCTGTGTGAGCAATGTCCTTTCTGATCCAATCCACGTTTTCAAATCTGATGCAAAGTTTTAGCGACATCTGGGCCATCGGCGTTATCACATACTTCCTCCTTTGCGGCTACACTCCATTCGATCGCGACTCAAATCTGGAAGAAATGCAAGCCATTCTCGCCGCCGACTACTCCTTCACGCCCGTCGAATACTGGCGCAACGTCTCTGACACTGCGAGAGACTTTATCAAGCGCTGCCTTACCATCGACCCTCATGCTCGCATGACTGCACACCAAGCTCTGCAACACCCCTGGATTAAGCCCGACGTTGATCCCACATCTCCCGTCAAGGGTCCTGGGGATGGACAAGACCTCCTTCCGACGGTGAAGAAGAATTTCAACGCGAGACGAACACTCCACAAGGCTATCGACACAGTTCGTGCAATCAACAAACTTAGGGAGGGAGGTGGGCTGATGGCGGGCCATATGGACGGTGCCATGAGTGTGGATCCAAAACCCAAGGCCGAGATGGTCAATGGAAGCAAGGTCCTCAACGATCAGGGGCAGCAAGTCCACGGGGAGGAAGCGATGGGTGCGAATGTGCCTCCAGGCGACTCGGATGCAATGGAAATTGATTCCAGAGGAAATGCGAGAGGCCAGACGGAGGACCAAATCCGACGCCAGCAGAAAAAGATTCATGACACGATGTCAGGACTTTGGGGGAATCAGCAAGCAGCTCGCGGTGTCTAGGACTTTGTTGGCCAATGCAAGCTACTGTGACACCAAGAGGAAGTTCAACTTCCCAAATTGGAATGAAATCGAGTGGTTCCAAGATTATGGCATTATGGAGGAACTAGACGTGCACGTTTCGTTATGAACAGGTATGGGGTCCTAGGTACCTAGGTAGCTCCGAGGACACGGCGGAATGGCACTCGTAGGGGCAATCTTAAGGCAGGTAAGTTTGGGATGTTATACATGATGAAATTGATCTCATGACAAGAATTCTTATCAAAATATGGCCTCGACTCGGACTTCAGGGGTATCATTCTTGATTCCAACGCAGCTATCTGATCTATGTAGCAGTACAGTCTCTCCGGTTGCTCTGCCCCTGGTCTCTACCTCACTAGTTGGCCGCCCATGTGGTTCAACGTCGTTTTATCATGAAGGTCATACCCTTCCGAGGATCGTACGCCGTGGCTCATGCAGAAGCAAAGTACACTGTTTCGATGCTTTATCATCCATCGATTCATTCTCCTTGATCCATCCCGCCAGGGGCCTGTTGTCTCCCCATCTGCCTGGCCTTCAATAATTCATCACACAACAACAAGTTGCTTGCAATTCCCTGGCTACTCGCAATACTGTTCCTCAACACGCGAAACCCGTCAAATACGCCTTCTTGCACGGGATCCATTGGCTCTCCAGTCACAAGGTCTAACCCAACCACGTTCCCCTCGGTAAATTCATCTTGCAGGGCAGCAAGTGCGTCTTGGATATCGTGTCCGGAATTTGCGGCGAGTGTTTTTGGTATGATCAAAAGTGCGTCTGCGAAGGCAGCAACGCCCCATTTTGCTTTTCCTTTGACTGTCTTTCGCACTGTTTCGGACGAGAGGTGCGCTGCGGCGGCAATTTGAAATGATCCAGCACCGGGAACGACGCAGCCGTCTACAATAGTGTTGTACACACTTCGTAGGCCGTCCCTGACCGCATCTGTAATTTGGGTGATGCTATGCTGGTTCGGCCCCTTGATTAGGAGTGTAACGGATTTCGGGTCTTTCACTTCCTCCACAAAAGTGTATTTCTCCTCTCCCAGGGTCTGCTCGTATACCAGTCCTGCCCATCCAAGCACCGAAGCATCGAGATCGTCGACGCTGTTCTGCGCCTTTCCACCGCAGACGAGTTGAAGGCGTTCCATGTTCCGTCTCTTTGCACGCCTGAGTGCCAGGATGCCGTTTTTGACCAGCACATCGAGACTCAGAGGATCGATACCTTTTTGGTTGATCACCACAAAGGACTTCTTAGGATCAGACCCACAAACTTCATTTTTCAAAGCGACGATCTTCTTCAGTTTTTCGTCAACGAAGCGACGCTCAGAGGCAACGAGTTTGTCTCTTTGTTCGGCGCTGCTGTAATAAAAGCCGGAATTTATTTCAGACTTTTCGTATTCAAGAGAGACGTTCAACGTGAGAATGAAAGCGTTTTCGACTCGCTTTGGCATATCAGGATGTCGCGCACCGTGGTCTAACACTAACCCTCGAATCAGGGTGGTGTCAGAACTGAGTTTGTGCTGCAGTTTCATGATTTCGATCATGTGCAGGTCGGGTTTTTGGGGAGGCCGATAGATGGCTAAAACCGCATCAACTATTGAAGGTGTCAACTGCGCAGCAAGAGCAGCATTGATCTTTGTGGAGAGGGAAGTTTTGGCGATCGAGAGAAGCAGATCGCGGTCGACATCACGCGTGATCTTGAAGGTATCGAGGAATTTGAGGGTCTCTGTTTTTGCGATTTCAAAGCCGTCGGTGATGACTCTTGGATGCAAGCCTTCCTGGATGTATCTGTCTGCCTGCTTCAGGAGTTCACCTATCAACAGGACTACAGACGTTGTACCGTCACCGGTTATGTCGTCCTGCGCTGTTGCGGCTCGAGCAATCAAAGTGGCGGTGGGGTTTTGTATTGACATCTCTTTCAGCAGGACCGCTCCGTCTTTTGTCAGCTTTATTTGACCCGAGCCGTCGACCAACATCTTGATTGTGCCCGAGGGCCCCAGGTTCGACTTGAGAACATCCTGGAGGCCTTCTCCCGCGTTGATGTTAATTCGAAGCGCCTCTGCTCTGCGACGGGATTCTGCTTTGGGATTCAAAAGCTGCGTTGCTAGACACGGTCAGATAAGGAGTTGCCAACACGACCAGCCGACTTACCAGACATCTTGTGGTGGTTCAGAGCATTGCGGAAAGATGAGATTCACAGTGTTTGAACTTTCATGGCGGGCATCCCTACGATTTCATGCCAAGAACCCCAAATTCCCCCTGGAAGGTCTGCCGAGCAGACTTTACCACTGGCACTGCGTCGCTTTCGCCAAGACCAAAATCCGCGAATCGGAGTATCCTCAGCGGTGCACTTCTGAAGCTGCGGAATTCTTTTCTGGAGCGAGGCTAAAAATTTCGCGGTCAGATTGACAGCCTCTCAACGCCTACCTGATATTCAGACATTGATTACGGCCACGCTCTCTAGCTGTCCAGTTGTGCAACTCGGGTGGTCGAAGTAGGAGGCTCGAGGGTTGAAAGCACTCCACCAGCAGTGAACAAATTTCAAGCACCGTTGTGTTCCCTTCATTCCCAGCAAGACCATTGCGCCATGGCCGATTTTCTCCTACACGAAGGCCCCATGGGCTATTCGATCTTCAAGGTCGTCCACCAGGCTGATACTGTCGGCAATCGTCTGAAAGAGGTTCAAGAGAGTGTTCAAGATCTTGCACGATTTGGCAAAATGGTCGACCTCGTCAGCTTCCTGCCATTTGAGTACGTGCTCACACTACCTCTCAAATGCAGTCTATGGCTAAACATACCTCAGGAGTGGAAAACAGGCACTTTCGGAGTTGAACGACATTTCTGAAGGCATCGCGTCAGACTTTCTCAAGTCCTTCCTCGAACTCAACCTGCCGAAATCCGGGAAGAAGAACAAAATAACTTTGGGCGTCTCAGACAAGATCCTTGCCGCCAGCATCAAGACAGCATTCCCAAGCATCGAGTGCGAAACGGGAGACACAAGCGAGGTTGTTCAGGACATGCTCCGGGGAATTAGGATGCACTCCGAGAAACTGCTAAAACAACTTCGTGAAGGGGATACAAACACTGCACAGCTTGGTCTGGGCCATGCGTACTCGAGAGCCAAAGTCAAGTTCTCCGTGCAGAAAAATGACAATCATATCATCCAAGCCATCGCAATACTCGACCAGCTAGACAAGGCCATCAACACCTTCTCTATGCGCGTCCGCGAATGGTATTCCTGGCACTTCCCAGAGCTCATCAAGATCGTCTCGGATAACCACAAGTATGCCAAGGTAGCGCTGTTCATCAAGGATAAAAAGACTCTATCTGACGGAAGCCTTCATGACCTTGCCGCCGTAGTGGATGACGACGAGGAAATTGCAAAGAGCATTATCGATGCAGCAAAAACAAGTATGGGTCAAGAAATTTCGGCTTCAGACATGGAGAATGTGACCTTGTTCGCGGAACGAGTGGTCAGCCTCGCCAACTACCGAAAGACGCTACACAGCTACCTTGTCTCTAAGATGGGCGTGGTTGCCCCAAACCTAGCTGCCCTTATTGGAGAAATTGTGGGAGCGCGGTTGATCTCTCACGCTGGCAGTTTGACCAACTTGTCAAAATATCCCGCTTCAACTGTTCAGATTCTGGGGGCGGAGAAGGCTCTCTTCAGAGCTTTGAAGACCAAAGGAAACACGCCCAAGTATGGTCTATTATACCACTCCTCGTTTATTGGAAGAGCTGGGCAGAAAAACAAAGGAAGAATATCACGGTTTCTCGCAAACAAGTGCTCGATCGCCTCACGGATCGACAACTTTTCCGAAACTCCATCTACAATCTTTGGGGAAGCACTGAAGAAACAAGTGGAAGAACGACTAGAATTTTATTCTTCTGGAGCACAGCCCACCAAGAACGAGGCAGCTATGGTATGTTTGAACAATTTCGAGATAAGAAACTCATGCTAACTTCGGACTCAGAAAGATGCCATGGAAAAAGTTCTTGCAGAGATGGAAGTTGACGATCCCACAAAAATGGCTATTGACGGAGATGATCTTGATGATGAATTAGCGTCAGCCCAGAAGTTGGATAGCGCAAAGAAGGACAGGAAGAAGGAGAAGAAAGATAAGAAAGACAAAATGGCAAAACAAGAAGACACCGGCAAGAAGGACAAGAAGGATAAGAAGCGAAAAGCAACCGAGTTGGAAGGTGAGGGAGGCGACAAGAAAAAGAAGAAATCAAAATCCAAGGAATAGTGGAGAGTTCGGAAATGGGTGCTTTCATGCAAGGCGTTGGCGGTGGTTTTATTATTATGCTCGCTAGGAGTCACTGAGCCAGGCTAGGGCTTGTATTGAACAGTCGACGGGAGAAGGGAACGTTGACCTGTACACATCTCGCTGCCAGTGTTCAGGAGTTGCTCCAGGCTCCTTCCCTGTATCATGGCTGTACCTGGATCCTCTATTATCTTTCTGGCAATACCAGACCCTTTCAAACTCCTCTGCGCCGTGAAGTCCCTGTCAATTGTCACTGGCAGCAATTCTGAGCGCATTTGTACTTTCCACCAGCATCTCTAGGCCCATAAAAATTAGTTGAGAGATGAGGGAGTGAGTTGCCGTCAGATTCTAAATTGCGGGGATATCTATTGGCCAAGGACGTTGTATCACTGGCAACTTTCACTGCTGTACTTGGACTCATCGACTTTCAAAGCGCTATTAGATCTATGTCGCCCCAGAAAGTCCTAGTGGTTGGGCCGCTAAGATTCACACGTCCCCCTCGGTGGACTGCTGGATAGATTTGGGAAGTTTCTTGGGTGTGCATAACCACTTTACTTCCTCTGTCCTACCAAATTGGCTCATGATGGCCTCCGCGTCCCCAAAGAGAAAGCGTGGATGCCCTTACCCTCTGGACACAGATCAGCCTGGATTTTGGTTATTGAGTGAGAGTGACCTAGAAGAATATGATGAAGGCAGTCCCCGAAGCAAAGTTGCGCGGAAGTTCGATGACCTTGAGATTCACGGGCTTCAGGATCAGGGAGACCACGACGCCAGCAGGAAGGATACCGAGCAGCTCATAGCTCCTGGAATGACATCGGCTGGAGCACCTGAAGGCGACAAGGACTTTTTGACACCAAAGAGCAAGCACATGTCCGAGGGTGAGGCGAGTGTTGATTCGCGAACTGGAACCACGCTGGCGAAGAACCTGGGAAAATCTTCCCGCTCCGGATCTCCTCCGTTGGCACATGAGATATCCAGTGAGTTTTGGCAAGACTCTGAAATCACTGGACATGATCCCAGCGACCCCGACGACGACGGATATGGTATCAATGGTCTTGGATTCAGACCTACAGCAGCAATTGCCTGGTCAAGATCACAACGACGGAAACAACAACTGTCTGACTACAAGAACCGCGAAGCTCGAGAAGCAAGACAACAGAGAAGTGAGAGGAGAAAACGCGGTTTTGATGAAGGCGAAGATGCGTTGTCCGTCAAGTCCTCGCCTCGCAAGACCGCGCGCGTTCATTTTGAAGACGGGTGAGAGCAGCAAAACATGAGAAGGGCTGGATGTTCTCAGTAAAATCTCGACCCTGAAACAGCCATCATTGACGACCGTATGGTACACGTCACCAACCCAGCAAGGGTCCCCTTCCGACTCTGGTCTGTGAACGCCGCACGCCGCAAGTTTTTGATACTCAAGACAACAATACCTTTACCAGAACTTGTACCAATGCGCTCTTCGTTTCCTTTCCTGCTCCTCGACAGCCGCGGCCGCTGCTGCTCGTGCAGCTTCTTCAGCAGCCTTCTCCCGAGCTTTCTTCTCATGCAGCATCCTCATGCCCTGAACAGCCAATGCCATGCCTCTTGCCTCCTCTCGCCGTCGTTGATCGCACCAATAGTACATTCCGGAAGCCGAGAGTGCGAATCCGGCGACTGCCAGGTTGGTGGTGATTAACATGGAAGACAGTCCTAGCATGGAGTTAGATCCGGAAGGTTCAAGGTTTCAGGAAAGGGCAAGGCAATACCTCTCAGTATAAATCTTGCGCCGCCTACTGCCCCCCCAGAAGCTATACCGACCAGCAATGCATCTCTTGCGCATGGTACCTGGTACCATGAAGGACCTTTTCCTCCGTATGAGAAGTTGAAGGCATCTCTCCAAGTCACCTCGGGAGGTTTGCCACCTGCTGAATTGTACGTTCCTCCGGGCAAGGTATTTGCGGGCTCCGCAGGATTCCCCAGCATTTCCCACATTTTGCCAGCTTGAGTTTTTGGGAAGTCATGTTTGGGTTTCGGCCGTGTGAAGGGACGGGCATCTGACTGAGGGTTTTCATCCGTAGGAGATGCGTCAGGCTGCCGTGTATCGTCCGCCATTGTGAAGGTCCGACGTAGTGAATTGAACAATGATCGAGAAAAGCTGCGGAGAAAGATGGCGAGTGTGGAGAAAACGAACCGACGCCTCGCGACCAAGCGATCCGCCCTACGGGCAACGCGCCTTGTAATTGAGACGCGTCCCGCAACCAAGATTCGATATTCGCGACACGCAGAATTGACTTGCACTCAATCCCTCAATCGCTGCATTCGGAGCGTCAGCAACCCAATCTTGGGACTTTTAATATGACCAGATTCTATGAGTGAAACTGTCCACCGGGATAAGTTGGTATTCGGTCTTCATCCTCACTCAACAATGCCCGTGCGAAAACCGTCGCGATATGGCTCGAATGTGAGACTCGGAAAGGATGCCTTACGCGGACGACGAACCAAGACAATCGATGCCTCCTCGTTACGCGCCACCGAAGGAACCTCTCAAGATGAAAAGATCCAAGCTACGCGGCTGGCAAACAGCATCGACGATGCCATGGGATTCCCTAAATATGAGTCCGGAAAGAGAAGGGTGGGGTGGCTCTACAATATGCACAGCACTTCGATCGAAGACTCGAGGATACCAGGTGGTCGGGCTGGTGTTGACTTCTATTTCATCGGAGAGGACAGTGAAAACTTCAAGGCAACCGTTGACTATGACCCGTACTTCCTGTTGGCGGTGAAACGAGGCCGAGAGGCTGAGGTCGAAGAGTGGTGCAAGAGAATATTCGAAGGGCTTGTCAAATCAGTCAACCGCGTAATCAAGGAAGACCTACAGATGCCGAACCACCTCCTGGGATACAAACGAACATTCCTCCAGCTCACATTTGCAAACGTCTCAGACCTGCTCACTGTCCGCAAGACGCTTTTGCCCCTTGCAGAAAAGAATAAAGAAAAGGTGAATGCGATGGATACTTATGCGGAGGTTGCTAGTGCAGCAGCAGGCTTTGATGTGTATGATGAAGACCAAGCAGCCGACGCTCGACCGAACGGGGTTGCCGATGCCAGCGACTACATTGTGGACATCCGAGAATATGACGTTCCCTATCATGTTCGTGTTACCATCGACAAGGACATCCGAATTGGAAAATGGTACACCGTCGAGTCTACACACGGCTCAGTCTCCCTAACGTGTCTGGAAGAGCGTTTACAGCGCGCCGATCCCGTTGTCCTCGCATTCGACATTGAAACGACAAAGCTGCCCTTGAAATTTCCCGATCAAGTCATTGATCAGATCATGATGATTTCATACATGATCGATGGACAAGGTTTCCTAATCACAAACAGAGAAATTGTTTCGGAGGACATTGCCGATTTTGATTACACGCCAAAGCCTGAATATGAAGGACCCTTTCTGATATTTAACGAGCCAAATGAACGTGCCTGCATTGAACGGTTTTTCTCCCACATCAAGGCAGCTCGACCTACCGTTATCGCGACATACAACGGAGACTTTTTCGACTGGCCGTTTGTCGAGGCAAGGGCTGGTGTGAATGGCATCGACATGTACGCCGAAATTGGATTCCGAAAGAACAGCGAGGATATCTACCAGAGCAACTACTGCGTCCACATGGATTGCTTCGCTTGGGTCAACAGGGACAGTTACCTGCCTCAAGGGAGTCGGGGTCTGAAAGCTGTCACAGTTGCAAAGCTGGGCTACGATCCGGATGAGCTCGACCCTGAACTGATGACCCCCTATGCAAGCGAACATCCTCAAATTCTTGCAGAATACTCTGTTTCTGACGCCGTTGCGACGTACTACCTTTACATGAAGTACATCCATCCCTTCATTTTTTCACTATGTACAATCATTCCACTCAATCCAGACGATACCCTCCGAAAAGGCACGGGCACTTTATGCGAGATGTTGTTGATGGTCCAGGCCTACCAGAAGAATATTGTGTTGCCGAACAAACACAAAGAACCCAGAGAAGCTTTCTGGGAGGGTCATCTCCTCGAGTCTGAAACGTACGTTGGCGGACATGTGGAGAGTATTGAGGCTGGTGTCTTCCGCGCAGACATACCTGTCAACTTTGCCGTCGATACGACAGCGATTGACGAGCTCTTGCACGATCTTGATGCAGCCTTAACATTTTGCATTACCGTTGAAGAGAAGAAGACCTTGGACGAGGTTACGAATTATGAAGAGATCCGAGCACAAATTGTTGAAAAATTAGAAGATTTGAAAAATACGCCCAACAGGAATGAGCGCCCTCTGATATACCACCTGGATGTTGCATCCATGTATCCGAACATCATGACTACGAATCGCCTTCAACCTGATTCTATGATTGCTGAATCAGATTGTGCTGCCTGCGACTTCAATCGACCTGGTAAAACATGTGATCGACGATTGCCGTGGGCATGGAGAGGAGAGTTCTTGCCTACTAAAAGAGACGAATACAACATGATACGCCGAGCAGTGGCGAATGAAACTTTTCCCGGAAGAGCTCCCAAAGCACCTAGGCGAACTTTTCAAGAGTTGAGTTTGGACGAGCAAGCTGCAACAGTGCGAAAAAGACTTCAAGAATATTCAAAAAAGATCTACCACAAGATCCACGATTCCAAAACCATCGAACGAGAAGCTATTATCTGCCAAAGGGAGAATCCCTTCTACGTCGATACTGTCCGCGACTTTCGAGACAGGCGGTATGACTTCAAGGGGAAGCAGAAGGTCTGGAAGGGCAAAACAGAAGCACTGAAATCTTCCGGAGCATCTGGTCAAGAGATTGAAGAGGCCAAGAAAATGATTGTTCTCTACGACTCTCTCCAGCTGGCGCACAAAGTCATTCTAAACTCTTTCTATGGCTACGTCATGCGCAAGGGATCCAGATGGTACTCCATGGAAATGGCAGGCGTTACCTGTCTCACTGGAGCGCATATTATTCAGATGGCGCGTGAGCTTGTGGAACGAATCGGTCGACCGCTGGAGCTAGACACGGACGGGATTTGGTGCATGCTTCCGGCGACTTTCCCAGAGAATGTCATTTTCACATTGAAAAATGGCAAGAAACTGGCAATTTCTTATCCTTGCGTGATGCTCAACCATCTGGTCCACGCTCGTTTTACAAATCACCAGTACCAGAGTCTGGTGGATCCAGCCACGTTCAAGTACGAAACACACAGCGACAATTCAATCTTCTTTGAGGTTGATGGTCCTTACAAGGCGATGATACTGCCCACCTCAAAGGAGGAAGACAAGAATTTGAAGAAACGATACGCAGTGTTCAACCACGACGGGAGCCTTGCCGAGCTGAAAGGGTTTGAGGTCAAACGAAGGGGCGAGCTGAAGCTCATCAAGATTTTCCAGACTCAGATTTTCAAGTTTTTCTTGGAAGGGAGCACTTTAGCGGAAACATACGCAGCTGTGGCTCGTGTGGCAAACCGCTGGCTTGATGTCCTACACTCGCATGGATCCACGCTTGCTGATGAAGAGCTCATTGATTTAATTTGCGAAAATAAGAGCATGACCAAGACGCTCGAAGAATATGGAGGCCAGAAATCAACATCGATCACAACGGCAAAACGACTGGCGGAATTTCTGGGAGATCAGATGATCAAGGACAAAGGTCTGAACTGCAAGTATATCATTTCCGCAAAACCGAGGAATACTCCTGTCACAGACCGAGCCATCCCCGTCGCGATCTTTTCGGCGGACGATGGTGTTAAACGCTTCTTCTTGCGAAAGTGGCTTAAGGAGGATCCAGCAGATATGGACCCCAGAACCGTGATCGACTGGGACTACTACCTGGAGCGCCTCGGTTCTGTCATTCAAAAACTCATCACAATTCCTGCTGCTTTGCAGAAGATAAGGAACCCTGTACCGCGTGTTGCTCATCCAGACTGGTTGCAAAAACGGATTACTGCAAAGGACGACAGGTTTAAACAGAAGAAGATGACCGATCTTCTCGTGAAGAGACCCCTTACCGAGCGCTCTGTCAATCTCTTGGAACATCGACTGCCTGCCTCTGGAGACATCGAAGACGCCCTCAGCACGCAACTCAAGCCTCAGGGCGAAGTCACCAAACCTGCAAAACGAAAGGCCTCAGAATCAACAAGTCGTGGTCTTGTTGGTCCTCTTCTGTCTTCCCTTTCTGATGCCCCATCCATTGACGAGGACTATCAAGTCTGGCTCCAGTATCAGAAGAGGAAATGGAAATTACAAAGGCAAGCCAAGGCCCGACGACGTCAATTGTTCGGAGAAAGACCAAATGTTGCTACAGACTCCATCAGCAGCTTCTTCCGCAACCAAGCTGAAATAATGTACACCAACACCTGGCACGTTCTGCAACTACGTCAAGGGGATTTGCCTGGTGAAGTGACAGCGTTTGTGGTGATTGGGAAGAAGATCCACACGTTGAATATCAAAGTCCCTCGCACGCTCTATCTTAATCTCAAAGGGGAAGAGCTTCCCAACGTGGATATACCCGGCTGCGACGTTGAAAAGGTCAACCACGTGCTACCGAATGGTCATCCATCAGTGCACCTGTTTCAATTGACGTTGCCTGAAGAGACTTACTTGCGAGAGGCAGAATCAGTGTCATTATTGTGCAACCATCCCAGTGTTGAAGGCGTCTATGAGCGTCAATTACCGCTGTTCATGCGCGCCCTACTGAAATTGGGGAATATGTGCTCTTTCGATGAGAGCCAGAAAGGTGTTCTTGGGAAAGGCCTTGAACAGGGTTTTGATTTAGCGTCACTACTCAGGAGTGATGCCCAATCGACATACCTAGAAGAGCCAGCTTCCTTTGGGTATATCTACTTGTATCACGTTGGTGCGGGCGACAGGAACGTATTTGCTCTTTTCTCCACCACCAAATCAGAGGCTCACATCATCGTTATGAGTCGAAGCCGCGACAGCCAGATCCCCAATGCCGACAAGATGTATATCGAACAATATCGTCAAAAAGTCCAGGACGAGGCTCTGGTGCAGACTATCTTCGAATATCAACCCAGTATAAATTTCAAGGTCTCACAGGTGACGACAAAAAGAAAGGCACACCTTGAGCTGGCGGATATACTGAAGAAGTGGCGGTCGGACGAGGCGAAGCCGACAATATTTCTCCTTCAGACGACCACGCACAAGAGCTTGATTCACGATGTCCGGTCCATCAGGGATTATCCTGTAATATTCCTGCCAGCAGAGCAATCTGATATAGATCTCCCCTCCTTGGCTTGGCAGGGCCATGCCATCAAGCAGCTAATCTCTCATTATTTCAACGTGTCCGGGTGGTTGGTACATCTGATTGAGCTTGCTCGATACGGTGATGTACCTCTGTGCAACCTCGAAAGGGACGACCCTCGTTTCCTCATCGATCTAGCCTATGCACGGAGGTTGAAGAGGAGCAATGTCGTTCTCTGGTGGTCTGATCAAGCTCGCCCAGACCATGGTGGACACGAGCGCGATGATATTCTCGGCCCGCTCAACGAAATAGTTGAGATGCCGTCAATCAACAATCCAGGAGCCTACACGTCTGTGTGTGTCGATGTATCGGTGCAGAATCTACCAATCAACACTATATTGACCTCGTCCATAATCAACGACCACGAGGGCTCTACAGAGTCTGTCGCCTTTAATCCGACGGTCGAGGAAGAAATTCCCCTGAATTCGAACATGGTGAAGTCGAATGGAGGGTTTGCGCAAGCAGCGCTTGAAGTTCTCCGAGAGATGGTTAAGTCATGGTGGTCAGAAGCTTGCCGCGGTCATCGACTTGCAGATGTAATGGTTCAACATTTGGTCCGATGGGTTGAGGCTCCTTCTTCCTGTCTCTACGATCGACACCTCCATTACTATGTGCAGATGATGTCCAAGAAGGCGCTGCAGCAACTCATCACTGACTTTCGCCGGGTTGGCTCACAGGTTGTTTTTGCGAGCCCGACAAGGTTACTTCTGCAAACATCGAAGCAAGACGTCGAGAATGCATACGCGTATTCCCAGTACATTCTCAAATCAATCCAACAAAAGCCGCTGTTCCATTTCCTTGGGCTCGAGGTCAAAGACTACTGGGATGTCCTGCTTTGGTACGACGCATACAACTACGGCGGTAAAGGCACCCCCACAGTTACGGAAGATACCAGTCACTCTAGTCTCGAAACCGTTGTGCACTGGCAACTTTCACAGTTCTTGCCACTGCCTTTGCAGCCTGTCTTCGACGATTGGGTAATCACCTTCATCGACTTGATGCAGAAATTGAAAAGACCGCCGGACTCATCTGGCAGCACGCCATCAAGTATTCGACCTACCCAGTTGCCCTCTGCTTTCATCAATTTGACGGAAGATCCAACCAGCACTGAGATTACAACTGTCCTGCAAGACCAGTTCTCCAAGCCTCTAAAGAAACAAATCACGAGTTTGATTCGGCGTCAACGGGAGGAGTTATTGCACCCCGAACTGGCTAGTGACTGGACGTTCCCATCTTTGCCCGGGGGGACTTTGGAATCGAGTGATTCACGCCATCCACATGATCCAGTCCTGGAACTGGTGAAATCACTCATGCAGATAATCTCCTTGTCGAAACCCCTTCAACTTGAAGCGCGACTTCTCCGCAAAGAGCTTCTCGCCCTATTTGACGTCCGCGAATTTGGGAAAGAGGCCCGATATGAGAATCCTAGCGCAAGTTTGCGCTTCGAGAATCTCGTCTGCGACACGTGTACCATGACTAGGGATCTGGACCTGTGCCGTGACGAGGACATTCTACCTGACTTGAACGACAGTGGAATGGGGGCAAGCAATAAACCTTGGACCTGCAACAGTTGTGGGATGGAGTACAACAAGATCGTGCTTGAAGAGAAGCTGATTGCGAGGGTTCAATCAATGCTGTTGGCCTGGCAGGCCCAAGATGTTAAATGCAAGAAGTGTGGTGGTTTGCAGGGTGACGACAGTCTATTTGCAGATCATTGTTCATGCGGCGGAGGGTGGATCTCAACAGTCGATGTGAGAGACATCAAGGGAAGGTTGAAGGTCATGGAACGGGTAGCGGGTATGTATGGGTTAAGGATGCTGACGGCTGTTGTTGAGGAGGTGAAGACGATGTGTACGATATCATGAGTACATGGGACACGAAGGACAAATCATCTGCATTATTTGGCCATTATTCTGGAAAATTGTGGCTGAGACGGAGTTGAATCCGGACCTTGCTTGCTGTACGGAGGACTGGCCTTTGCGAGCACTCCAAATACGTTGCCATGAGCAGAGATGACGATTAGACAATACCTATTCATGGAAAACCTACCACTCCTCAACCACTCGTTCAGCGTGGTCGATTTGGGGGTTCTCCCTTGTGAGTACATAGATAAGCAGAAACACTGGTAATGTGTACAGGACTGCAAACAGTTGATTTCGCTTGAACAGTCGGTGTGGCTACAACGGAGCGCAGTCCATAATACATAGCTAAAGGGCCAGTTGTGATCCAGTAGAGTGCGGATTAGCATGCCCACGGGTACCTTCGAGGTACCTAGCCTCGCCAGGGACCTACCGAGCTACCTACCTAGGTAGGTATTACATGATGTCCAGGAAGTTTGCCCAGCATGGAATAGGCGCGAGGGTCCGTGTCTGCGAGGCTGAGAACACAAGGCTGCCAAGGTCAAATGCTTGGTTTGACTCAACGAGACCTCCCCTCCTTCACTCTTCGGTATACAACCACTGTGCCGCATATCTAAATCGACGGGTTCCGGCTGTTTCTTTCTCTTCTGTTGTCACCATCTTGCAAAATACCATCCTGTAAATCCTTCTTTTTGCTGAATATCGAGTGGCATGGACTATTTCGCAATGCAGATGAAGTGACATTACTTACAGAGATACTCTCACATTACGCCATTATCCTGCTGCAGGCTCGATCTAGATACCACTCATCATTTGAATTGGTCGCTTCTTCTCGGTCCCTCGTTTCCTTCCCTCTCCCGATCCCATCTGCTCAACATGGACGGCGCGGCGCAGAATCGACCCACGCAGCCTGCGCCGCAACAACAGGCGTCCTTGATCCGCCCTGAGCAAGTTCAGAGATTGCCTCAGCTCAACCCTACCCAGAAACAACAGTTTGAACAAGGCGTGAGGAGGTTCTGGGAGGTTCTTAATACCACACCTCAAACGGATCCCAAATACACCGAAGCGTACACAAACCTTGTCAAGACCTCGAGCCAACTCATGGCGGGAATGAAACAATGGCAGCAGCGCAAACAAATGGCTCAACAACACGCTGCACAACAGCAGGCCTCGGCACAGGCACAGGCTCAGGCCCAGGCCCAGGTTCAGGCTCAGGCACAGGCACAAGCGCAGACGCAACAACAACCGCACCCACAAGCACAGCCACCTAGAGTGACAGGCCAACCTGGCCAAGCACAAGCCGGCGCCGGACCCAGCCAGAGCGGCGGTAGCGCTGTCCAGTTCAGTCAGCTCTTGCCGGAGATCCAACGAAAAGTCAACGAACAGCACTTTTACTACCCTCCGGCAATGACCAAGGGCACCGAGTCTGCTGAAGTGTGGTTGCGCGAGGCAAAGGCGCGGTTGGGTCAAGCCTTGCAGAGACTTCAAGTCGCCAAGCAAAAGAAGGCTGAGTTTCAGCGGCAGGCCCAGCAACGACAAACAGCAGGGAATCCGTTGACAGCAGCGGAAACGGAGGTTTACAACAATAAGATTGCGCAGTGCGACCGGGCAGTCAATGAAAGTACCTCGTTCATGAAGAAGTTCAATGAGCAGCAGGAACAATTTCGAGCCGCGCAACCTCAACATCAGTTCTCGAAACAAGCTGTACCAGTTAGTGAAGGAGTGGACACAACTGCCGCACCTCTTATGCAACCTAGTGTACAAGGCCCTACTGCCCACTCCATCAGTAGTGCAGTTTCTGCTGCGCGTAACCAAGCAAGCGCCTCACAAGCTCAATCTGGCAGCCCAACGGCACCTGCACCTCAAATCGGTCCCAATACTGGAGTAGGTACTTCTCAGACTCCCGTTTCGGCGACCCAGGCGCAGTTTCCCCAAGCTGGTCAGGGAGATACATCTGCAGGCCCTCGTCCACCGTCCCATCAAGGTCAAACTATGCCTCCTCTACAACACGCTGCGTCCGCGGGCGTCCATCCTCACCCACTCAATACCAGCATCAACGGTATCAAGACAGCCACACCCAACATTACCAAGAATCTACAAGTTCCCGAGCCCAAGCCCGTGGCCATGCCTCCGTCTCGACCAACCTTGACCGGCGGGGCAGGGGTGGGACTACCCGGCCAGCTTGCGCAGCCTGCCATTACCGCATTGCCTGGATACGTGTTGGAGTCGAGTGAGGATGGAAGAATTCTATCCAAGAAGAAGTTGAACGAATTGGTGCGCGAGGTTTGCGGCCCTGGTCCGGACGAACAGCTGGATCCTGAAGCCGAAGAAGTAAGCTGTGGTTGACCCTGAAGCAGATAATATGTGCTAACTGCAGATCAGATATTCCTTGCAATTGCCGATGATTTCGTTGACGAGCTTGTCTCATCAGCGTGCAAACTTGCAAAGCTCCGCGGCTCATCAAGCCTAGAATTGCGCGACATTCAGATCGTTCTCGAGCGCCAATACAACATCCGTGTGCCGGGTATTTCAACCGACGAGATCCGAACAGTGCGACGACCACAACCTGCGCCCGGGTGGGCACACAAAATGAGTGCAGTCCAAGCTGCCAAACTGACAGGTGGCGCAACCGCTACGGCTGCGACTGGGACCGGTGGAAAGGAGAACTGAGCGCATGTTTACTAGGCACTCTGGAATGGGCATGTAATTACGATTCATGACAGTACACAGGCGTTCGAAAGGCGGGCGACGGGACTGGGGGTGCATAGGTGGTCGAGCGCGTGTTTGCATGGGACCACAGGGTCGGCGTACCATATGCATCGCTAGCAGCCTCGGAAGCCCAGGCATCCCGGAAGTATTGCAAAAGGTTGTCATCGAAGTATTATTGGGATGTGAAATACCACCCGGGGTCAGAGGTCCAGAGGAATTAGAGGTCTTCAGGACCATGGGTTTGTACGTGCGAAACGGGCGGTCCAAATATTGCCAGGGAGCGCCCATCGGTGCCGTCTGAATCCCTCTGACCGGTGATGTTTTGATCTCGTACTGAGCCGAGACGTGCCCAAGGCTTCAATAGCGTCTTTCGACGTCGTACTCGGTCTAAAGTACCAAGCAGATAAGATGAGTGCGAAAATGCTGCCCAAAACTTGATGGAGCCATGGCTGCCCAGGAGGCTGGGGGGCGTTGCCTCGCCTACCTACTACCTACTGGGTGCCTACTACCTCGTACTAGCAGTACCTAGGGTAATGTGAAATGGTGCCCAAGCACGCCAATCAACTAGCAGCAGTGCGGCGACGTCATCAGCAGCCCAATTCACTGCCACCCACTGCCACTCTTAATGCCCCCCATCAACTCCATCACTTGATGAGCGTGACCGTCACAATCCTGCTGCCATTCCTCTGTAAGACTCTTCATATTGATCGTCGCCCGCCTTTCGACAGGAGATTTCTTTCCGTTTGCTCTCGACCATCTCGCACAGGGTAGGGGCACTGAGAATAGGTTCTCTCTTACTGTCTTGCCCATTCATCTCGTTCTCCTGGGTTCCCCCGTCATCCAGGATCGCCATCCAAATCCTTTCCATCCAGGCAGATCCGCGCCTCAAACATGTCAAGGTATCGCGGCGATCCTCGCTACTCTGACGGCACTCTCCCGTATCGTGATCCTCCTCCTCAGAGATGGGATACCGAGCGCTTTGTCCGTGAACGAGAAGTGCGCGCCCCGGCTCCTCCCGTCATTGATCAACGTCCCCCCTACGCAGATTACCCACCTCGCCGAGCTCCGGTCTACGAGGAACAGCGATACTATGAAGAAGATCGATATGGCCCGCGCGGTGCCACCGAGCGCAAGTATTTTGAAGAAACCGACTTCTACGACCCCCGAGCGCAACGCGGTCAGGTAGTCCCGTACGCCCCTGAGCGACCAGCCAGACCAGACCCAATCCCACGACCGGGTATCATCCGCCGCCAGTCCAGCTTGGACACATTTGACCGCCGCCCAGCCAGACGTTTTGATGACTATGACGACGGGCCTCGCCCTCAACGAGGGCTTCCTCCTCGAGAATTGATTGCTGTCCGGCCGCCTTCACCGAGACGGTATCCTCGATATGACGAGAAATTTTACGAGGACATCCGTGTGCAAGACCCGGACTATTATGGGGATGATGGTTTCAGGGAGTACCGGGAGCGTGAATGGGTCAAACGGCGAAGCAGAAACAGCAGTCCGTCCCCTGAACGCCGTACAGTGAGAGAAGAAGAATTCATTGAAGAACGGAAGGAGGAGATCATCGAGGAAAAGCCATATCCACGACGAGGGAAGACCCGCATGCCGAAAAGACTGGTTCACACGAAAGTGCTGTTTGATCTGGGTTATCCTTACTATGAAGAGGTGAGAATATCGAGCTGTCCAAACCAGCACCACGAAACTGACTGCTGCAGGATGAACGAACCATCATTATTGAAAAGGCTTTGGGTCCAGACAATATCGATGAGATCTTCAGCAAGAGCAAGGAATACCGCGAAAGAGAAGGTAAGCCTTTTTCCGTCGTTCCTCTGTGAAACGGATATCTGAGAGTTGCAGTGACAACGACTCGGCTCATTGAAGCTCCACCCTCTGTGGCCCCAAGCCTCCGCGCCCCTAGCGTGCATGGAGGTGAGGTGATCATCGAAAAGACCGAGAAGAGAGAGGAGATCAAGACTGTACCACTTGCAGAAGCACCCCGGTCTGTGCGCGAATGGGATGGCCTCTCGGTCCGGTCTCCGTCTCCCAAATCTCATCGATCACGGTCTCGAAGACGGTCACGCCGTGGATCTTCTCCCGAAGTCGTAAAAGAGACTATTGTGGAAAAGAAAGAAGTAATCAAGGAAGTCTCTCCTGCGCGCACGCACCGATCTCACACCACGCGCCGCCGAGGGTCGTCTGTCAGCGACGAAACGATTATCGAGCGAAGAATCACTCGAGAAGAAGTCGAAGATTCCAACTCAGTTCACGTTGGTCCGCTTGCACTGGTGGTCGATCGTAAGCCACAACGCAGTGAGCGGGATATCAAGGACGAAATTCGCAGGCTGGAAGCTGAAAGGCGAGAATTAAGGCGCGAGAGACGGTACGAACGTGAAGGTGGAGAGGTCATCAAGATTGAGCGGGTTCGTGACAGATCTCCCTCACCTCGAGGAGAGGTCATCATTGAGAAAAGGGGCGACGAGGTTCTCGAGGTCAAGAAGGATCGGAGAGGTAGGATGTCGTTGATCGTCAAATGAACAAGTTTTCCTGATTGACCGGCGTTGGACAGGTCGCTCACGCTCGGCTGCCCCAAGCCCGGCAATCATCAAGGCCATGATGGCCACTCTGACCTGAAAGATCTTCCAACAAGCGCGTACAATATGGGTTTGTTGGAGGGCCACTAAAGGAGAACGTTCATGTGCGACCAAGATATTATTTGCATCTCTGCGCCAATCTTTCGGCCAGGCTAGGACGATCTACGCGCGACCAAGCTTGGAGGCCACTCTGCAACCCTTGGACAGAATGGCGGAGTAGACGGGATGGAAGCCAACGATTTTGAAAAGAAAGTTGGCACGATTAGGCCACGTTTGACGAATTTCATATTTGAACTTGCTAGGTTGTGGACGGTGGATTGAACTTCTGAAAACGAAATAGATTATGAATTGGACAATTACGTTACCTTCAACGATAATCATGAGAACGCCCATATTGAATGCTTCAAAAAGGCTGGAGAGATTTGTTTCCACAGACTGCTTCGAGCCCTCTAGTGATCAGACGTGCTTATGGGTTGCCGTAGCGAGGTGCACATGTGAGCAGCGTGTTACCCCCCACACCCCCGGCGCCCATTTGGCCGATGTCAGACTGCATCTCATCCATCTATTCTCCCTAATCCGACAAACAAATCTCTTGCACTGTGCCCTCAGTCCATACCCTCAACTTTTGCGGACGACATCTCTGCATTGGATTCATTACCACCGTTCTCTTCGTGGTCTTGCGCAAACTGCTACAACCATGGATAAGTTTTCGGCGTTTGGGAAGAACATCAGGTGCGCCCCTGTCGATTGAGCACTCGACCAAATCACTCATCCCAGAATTCGCACTAACCTGTTGTTTGCTGTCAGTTCGGCATTCAATTCCACAGTGACTCCGTCCTGGCAAAGAAGTCAACAGTATCTCAAGGAGCAGTTCGGAAATGCCGACGATAAGGTGTGCATCGTCAAACAGCAGTCGACACCTCAGCGCAGTCTACTAACCGAGAATCTTTCAGACGCAATTGCCAGCAGACTATCTCGAGCTTGAGAAACGAGTCGATGCATTGAAGCAGGTCCATCAGAAGCTGCTTGACGTAACGTACGACTTCCACAATCATGGTTGGAATTCGTGTTGACGACTGTCTAGCAAGCAATACCAGAATGAAGCCTACGACTACCCACCCAATATCCGTGAATCCTTTGGCGATCTCGGTCGCAGCATTTCGGAGAAGGTGACGCTCCTTTCCAAAGCTCATAATGCGTCCGAAGCAGCAACCGCGTTTACTGCTCCTCCCTCGGCAAAGCCTCAGCCCAAGACATTCAATCATGCCATTGCCCGCGCCTCGCTGGCGAGTTCCCAGATGCTCAAACAGTCCAATACCTCGGGAACTGGCGAAGATCCACTGGCAAATGCTTTGGAGAAATATGCGCTCGCGGAAGAGAAAGTGGGCGAAGCCCGATTGGCGCAGGACCAGGCCATTCAATCGCGATTCCTTGCTGGATGGAGCACTACGTTGAACACCAACATTCAGTTCGCGACCAAGGCGAGGAAGGCCGTCGAAAATAGCCGCTTGTTGCTGGACAGCACCAAGGCGGCCAAGAAAAGCCAGGTTCAGGGTCGCGGCATGAACCCAGACGATGAGACCGCCATGAGCGAGGATGCTCGTGCTGAGATTGAGGCCAAAGAAGATGATTTTGTCTCACAGGTGGAGGAAGCCCAAGGCGTGATGAAGAATGTGAGTTCAAACTCTGTGACGAGCTGACATCACGACGGAACTGACCTTAACAGGTTCTGGACACCCCCGAACCGCTCCGCAATCTGGCGGACTTGATTGCTGCGCAGCTTGAGTACCATAAGAAAGCATATGAAATTCTCTCCGAGCTGGCCCCAGAGATTGATCAACTCCAGGTCGAGCAGGAGAGCAACTATCGCAAGAGCAGAGAGGGCGCTTGATTTTGTCACTGTCTGGGGCTCGTATCCTTTGTATTTTGGTTCTGTTACTGCTGTCTTCTCGGCAATGGGCAGGATGGGACGGAGGAAACGTGGTCCAGCTTATATCCGCATACCAAATTCCATTTGTTGCCGTTGTTGTACACGTAGAAGTCGATATCAGGGCCGATCCGGTCAATTCCTGTGGCCTGCATGATGTATTTAGAAGGGTTGCCGAAGATTGCCCGCTTGTGGTACAACTTCACGTTTCCTCAACTCGTAGCTTTGTCCTTGTTCCACTTGCGACTTGGTCCTGCTATTGCGACCGCGAGTATTGAGCGACTTTGTACTGACACGATATCGCCCACCTCTTAAAGTGACGGACCACATATCCTCCGAGCCAAAAACAGTTGCCCTCCCAGCGAAGCCCTCCGCCAACCTTACGCACTCGTTCCGGCCATCTCCAACAACCCGGACAATATCACAGCTTCCGTGACAACGGCGGACACACAAGAGGATTTGACACAAGGAATTAAGGACATACGTACAAGATGGCAAATGGGTACGTTCACATCATACATGCACGGGGTGTAGGAGCACAAGATCTCGCCTTCGCCCCTTCGGACCCTTCTCTAGATCTCGTCCAGCGATACAGGCATGAGCACCAGGCACTACATATAAAGACAAGAGGAGCCGGGGTCTTCGCAACAAAAGGAACCCGTCAATTCTGGGGGTTTCGGGGAGTCATCGAGGAGTCTCCAGCCCTCTGCATCTCAGGGAGCGGAGGATCAAGGCCTCGTCGCTTCGCTGGAGCAAGATGACCTTCCACTTGCCTTGCGATGCACGACGCTGTGATCAATGGCCGAAGGGCGTCTTCCCCAACCCCGTGTGCTCTATGCTCTTGCCCTCACCCCGTGTCTCTACCTTGTCTTCCTCCCACTGTTCCAACAGTCTGCGACTGCCCGGCGGTGCAGGGAATGAAGTCCAATTCGAGCTAACCAATCGACTCCTCGCGCAGGTGGTCTATTCTCATCGGCCTGATCGTCATCGTTGCCCTCAGCGTCGGCGCATGGTTCTTGAGCCCCAAGGGTGAAAATCAAACGTATGTTTCAAATCTATCTCTCTACAGCACCCGATCCCCATGCCTCCTTGTCAAGTTGAACGACGAGGGCAGAGCAAAAACAACTCTGCAATTGTTGGAAATGCTCGCTGCTGGTTTCACGTCGCTTGGTTGTCTAATCCTGACTTTGATTCCTCTAGAATATGGAGAAGCACGCTCATTCTAAGCTTCGCAAGTTGTTATATCATGTGGGGTACGTACTCTGTTATTCGTTGTGCGGTTCCTGCTCGCCTCCTTTCACTGCCTATCAGCCACAACCAAGAACAAGACATCAACCTCGTCCTCTTCATAACCTTGTGTAATGGAGATGGGCTCAGCATGGAATCTCTTGGACTGCTGAGTATCCCCTTCTTTTGACGAGATTCGCTGACTTTACATGCTGCCCCAGCAATAACTTTCTTCGCGCAATGGCATCCATTAATCGAGCCGCGGATGGCCAAATTGAGGCATGGATATGCCGGTGGGAGCTGAGCAGAATCGATCTCAAGAAAACGCCTTTGCAGTTCAGGTTCAATGGATCTGCGCCGGGTTCGAACGGAGGACAATGAACGCAGGTAATCAAACGCGACTAGTTGTTTGCGCGGTCGTGGTTTTGCGGCGTGGATTTGTGGATGAAAGCTCCATGTATAAGATACTACCTCATGTTATACGAGATCGATTGCCATGAGGCGCGCATTTTACAGTGTTATCTGGACTGGGTCCTCTTGGGCATAAGACAAGTTTCTCACCCTCAAGTCTACTGGTACGTGCTAGAAACTATCCATTAGGACAACAACCACTCAAAGAGCACAAACGTATGTGCGACCTTGACATGCCAGAGGCAGATTCAATCTCCTGGTGTTACAACAGCTATGTACAAATACAAACAATGCTTACTTTGCTACCGGCAAGGTCTTCTTGGATCAAAAGCCTAGTTTTCTAGCCTTCGTTCCAGCCGAGATACAGATACAGAGCAACCCAGCGAGCGGTGTTGCTTCTCCTGGACGTGGGCCACTACGGCATTTCGTTTACCCATCGTCCAAGCGAACAGTTGCCCCAGCTTTGCAAAGGTCCAACAGGAAGACTGGCCTAAAAATGAGACCTTGTGGTCATACAGAGGCCTATCAGCTGCCCTCATTTGTCGCACTCGAGAACCGAGTGCGGGACCTATTCAGCCTTTGTCGTGTTTGCCGTGTCGCCCTGTTCATCGTGGTTGTCTTTCTGCTGCGCATCATCCTCGAGGTCATCCGTAGCCTCCTCCACCGAGATTCTGACCTCGTCAACTGGAGGTCCAAGCTCTTCATTCTTCGTCTTCGCTTCATCTTCACCCTGATCGTCCGTAGAAGGCCCATCCTCGGGCCCAGTCGATAATGGTGGCTCCGTCCTGATCGGGCTCATGCCTTCATTATCCTCAACACTCTTGTCGTCACTAGCCGCTGCACCCATACGATCAGCCGCCTCCCTGGCTGGCAAAGTTGCTCCACTGCCACCAGCTTGACTTTGCTTCTCAGCATCGATTGAATTTCCATCATCCAGATCATGGATGTGGCCCAGGATTGCCCCAAGCACGTCGCTTCCACTCGTCCTTATCGAGCCACCGGAAGGGGACGTGATTTTCTGGCCTTCCTCCTCTTGGAACGGGTCGATTGTTTGTTCTATAGGGGTTTCTACTTTGACCGGTTCATCTTTCTCATTCGAGTTGGCGGTACTATCGATCGTGCTGAGACCGACATCTCCACCCGCTGTTGTAGATGATGCCCCTAGATTTTGGGACTCCATATGCGTGGACAATGGGTCAATATCCTCGGATGTGCCGGTGGGCGTGGGATCCTCTGATGCACGAGGCTCGTATTTCGGCACGGTGGAGGTAATGTCAAGTTTTGGTAAAAGACGCTCAGGAGATTTGCCTTTATTTCTGTCCTTCCCTGTGCCATCACTTTTCAGAGACGAGTCATCCCGTTCCGATGCTGGGATGGTGTTTGGCATCTCCACAAGTTGAGGTGGAGGGGGCGGATTCTTCGGCGCTGCTGTACTGCTTTTCGGGTGCTCTTCCTCCTCTTCTTGACCCTCGGCAATAGTGGCAACATGGCTCCCGGTGCTTGGAGTGTGTTTGTGTCTCCGTGTTGTCGCACCTGTGCTGACCGTCGTTGGGGCCATCGCCACAGGAATATCTGATAATGTGGACCCAGTGGATGGCTCGTCCAGAGTGGAACTCCCCGCATTGTCTCTATGAAGTATTTGTGGCCGTAAAGCGCCCTCGCGATCGATAGCGGCTTCATGGACTCCTTCGGCTTCGGCTGGAATTGTATAGCTGTCCTCGGGGATGAGATGGTACTCGTCACAAACGACTTTGAAAAGCAAGTACAAGCCATAGGTGGCTTCGACAGACCAAAAGACATCACGATGTTGGAACCAAGCATGAGCAAATATACGATACACTCGCCGAAAGATATTTGTTAGTTGTCGCATGCTTTGAATGACATTGCCTGCTTCGGAACCTAGTGCTAACCGCGAAGGAAAATGCTTCGGGCTAGTCAGAACATTCGCGGCCCAATCGAGGGTATGGTTGCAATAGTCGATCGCACAGCATGACTTGGGCGGCTCGTGTACCGCGCAAAGATACTGCCATTCACTGGCGCGCATTTCCGGGCACGTCTGAGCAGAACACGGTGGGTTGTCGTTCATGAGGAATATTGAGACGATATTTGCTTTTTGAGTGAGAAATCGACAGAGCTCATACAGCCACAGATTCCTATCCACGAACTCGTGGTCGTTGATCTGTGGAGGTGTGGCGAGTTGTAGTGCAGACTCTTTTGTGATTGGAACGGTATGTGTAGACTCTTGGGTGTGGGTAAGGTGAGCGTAGAGGGACTTGAGATGTTCTTGAAGTTGGAATGGCGAGTCGAGCTGACTCAACGGAATGAGAGGGGGGCCCAAAGCCATATCTGCAGCTTTTGTTCCCGGCCTTATCCTCCTCGCTGCTCCTTCGTCTGGTTTGGACGTGGCATCAAGCGAAAGTTCTTTGGAAAGGTCGACACCGGGGCTTTTAGGGCCGAATTGCACCTCCGGGATGGGTGGCGGAGACGGTAAGCGAGGGGAACTAGATGGCGAAACGCCAGATCTCGAGGGCGTAACGGCGGTCATTGTGAACGTGGAGGGCAAAAGTAGTTCCGTCGACGGTCAAAGGTGTAGTGCGGTGATATTGGCGCTGAACAGGAGGAAGTGGTCGCCTCTGAAGTCTGGGAGGAAGGTATCTCCGTCGCGATGTAATGACGTTCCTCCTGACTATAACGTTGCTTAGCTCTCTTTCATGGTCCTCAGAGTCTGGGCAGCTCTTCGTGTATGTTGGGCGGAGCGCAATACGCTGAGGTCAATGCAGTCGGGTGTCGCAGAGGGTGGGCCGACGAAAGTGCTTTTGGTGGGTCGGAAATAATGTGGCCTGCATAGCCAGATCCGGAGACCGGATGCCACAGTGTGAGAGGATGAGGGGAAGAGAGAGACTTGCTGCAGGCAACGAGTTTGGTGTCTTTTACAGGATTGAGGGAATAGCTTGATAGTCAGTCGGACTGAGAACCGCGGGTGTTCGCAACAAGCCACGATCGGACGAGTTGCTGTATTCACGCCCTAAGCTTTCCAGATCGACAAGTAGCCGCTTGCTAAACCATGAAACTTTTCTTCCATTTCTGCCCCCGGTTGGTGTTTCCTTATTTGTCCGTCTGATCTGGGGGTGGGACACAAAAAGAGGCAAAATGCATGGAGTTAGGCATGATAGGCGCAGTGAGGGAGGATGGATGGATGTGTACATATTTTCAAATTTCAACGCCGCTTCAATTTCGCACATGGTTGAAATCCTCTTAGCCCCGAATGACTACGCCAACTACCTAGTAGATGATACCTAGGTAACCTTTAGAAATGGACGACGACGAAATACCTGACCTGGTCGACGTTTCTCAAGGTGGCGGTACCATCGGCACTTTGAGAGATGAGCCTGAAAGAAAGGTGCCCATCACCATCATAACCGGTAGGGATAGCTCTCTGGGGCAAGTCGTTTGCGGCATCAATTGACAGCAGCACCTGCAGGCTACTTGGGCGCCGGCAAGACGACATTGCTCAACTATATTTTGACCGCCGAGCATGGAAAGAAAATAGCAGTCATTTTGAACGGCATGTGATAGAACCCTCATTTTCCCTGTCCACCCGGATCAATTGCATCTATTCTCTTTCCAAGCTGTTTGAGCTTGACTCTTGATGGTCGGTTGTGTTTTCTAACATCCTCTCGCGGTCCACAGAGTTCGGAAACACAACGGATATTGAAAAATCCCTGACTGTCAACCAGAACCACCAGGCCACCACAGAATGGATCCCTCTGGCTAACGGGTGTATCTGCTGCAGCGTCAAAGACTCGGGGGTCGCAGCACTAGAGTCTCTCGTCGAGCGCCAGAAGGACTTTGACTACATCCTGCTCGAGACTACAGGTGTTGCCGACCCAGGGAATATTGCGCCTATGTTTTGGCTTGATGAAGGATTAGGCAGCAGTATCTATCTCGATGGCATCGTCACAGTAGTCGATGCAAAAAACATTCTCAAAAGCCTTGACGAACCTGCACCGGAGGAATTGCCACCAGAGGAGTCTGACGGCCACCACGATCACAGTCTCCCTCTGCTCACCACTGCTCATCTCCAAATCTCCCATGCGGATGTGATAATTCTCAATAAAACAGATCTTGTCTCTCCAGCCCAGCTTTCAGCTGTCCAAGCTAGAATAGCCTCTATCAACAGCCTGGCGCGTATAGTGCCGACAGACCACTCTCGGGTCACGAACCTCAGTGGTACGATCCTCGATTTGCAAGCATACTCAACTTTTCCCTCCACCTACAGCACATCCAATACAAGCGACAACACGATCCCCGACTTCACCTCCAAGGGTCATTCTCACCTCGACCCCACGATTTCAACTGCCACATTCACCTTGCCCCCCTTCGATCCGCAAAAGTTACCCCTTCTCTCAGGCTGGTTGGAGGCCCTGCTCTGGGACGCCGAGGATTCTCAACAGGGAAACGAGCGAAAGTATGAAATTCATAGAACGAAGGGGCTGGTCAGGTGTACAGATGGGAGCAGCAGGGTTGTGCAGGGCGTGAGGGAGATCTTTGAGATCATTGACCTGCCAAAATCAGACACTGATGGTGCCACTGGGTCCAAAGGAGGTCAAGACGAAGAAACGACTGCAGGAGAAGGAAAGATCGTGTTTATTGGGAGGAATCTGGATTTGATCACGGAGATGCGAGGTTGGTGAGGACGACGGCTCCATTTGATTTGAGAGGGTATTTGATGCACAGAAGGTCACGTTAAGACGCAGCATTGTAACTTCGGCAATTGGACAAGTTGCAAATGCCAGTTCATCAATTGAGTTCTGTGTCGCCTCAATGGTAGTATCGAAGTTCAAAATCTGCAACCGCCTCAAAATCTTCAATGGGCACCGTAGCAGAGAAGCGACTCCTGAGAGATTCCCAGCTTTCCCTGATGTCTTATCCGGCATGCTCATTGCCACACGATACAATGGACGAATCGAAACAGATCAACCCGCCGTCCTGTGACACAACAGTCTCTGGCTTGTCTGATCAAGCGCTTGCTCGCCGCTGAATTGATTTGGTTTCGCAACCATGATCCTTTCCAATGTCATAATCAACGCCCCCAATGCATTGTACATAAACCCGAAAAAGCTAAAAGCGAAAGCTCCACGTCCTTCTTGCTTCGAATGCAATTCCAATAATTTGAGAATGCCCCATCTGCGGTGGCAGCAACATGTTTCGTCAGGTTGCGCTGCGTATCAAAGATCCGAAAGACATCCTCAGAACTAAAATCCACTCATGATTGCAACATTAGTTGTGGAAACATTTCGTGTCATCGTCATCCAAGGTCAGTAGACCGGTCGTGAATCATTCGGCTATAATGCATCCATGCTGGCCAAAGACCGCCATAAAGGAAAGCAGTGGAGTGAATAGCAGGCGGCCACTTGGTTTGGTTTCTCGTCATTTTAAGTCACCTAACTCGCCATAACTTGTGTCGTGAGCCAATCCTTCACCGGACTGATCAGACATGTTTTCCAGTGGTGGCAACGGCAAATTCTTATCGCCGCAACCGAATATCGAAGCTGCTTGGAGCGTTTCCGACGATTAAAATCTGACTTTTGCCTGGACAAGGAGATAGCTCTGCTGTGGGACTATGCAGCGTGCTGACGGGAGGAAGATTGGCCCTCAGGCGGGCACTCGACATGCCTTATTCGTTCGGCAGCCCTAATGGTGATATTTCGTCTGGTTTGCCCTCGACAAATGGCTCGTCCCCCAGCAGTGAAGTAGTTACCGGGTCTTTCTCCGCCGCATCTCTCAACGGATCAGAAGGCCCGGGTTTCTTTGAGTTACAGGGTTCGTTGCCGGGAGGTACGGGGAGTAGGGATGCTTCCTGTTGTTCACCAAGGCGGAAAGTCTCCTCCCTAAGCCGATGATCATCAGCTGGAGAGTGTTTGTTTTCTGGCTCAGGTATTTTGTCCAACCTTGGTGGCAGTTGTTGGTTGGGAGCGGCTGCTTGAATAAGAGAAAGACCTCCATCATCAGCGATCACGGCGAGCGATTCATCATAGCCACTGTCCATAAACGGAAGACTGGGAGGTTTATTCGTTGTTGTCCCTGGAAGCCCCACCGTGTCTTTCTGAAGTACGATGTCTCCATCGATAGGTGTCAGAGAAACTGAATCATCCTTGACGCTTGAGCCATGGTCTTGGTCGGGAGTTACGTAGTCACTGCTTCGGCCAAGGGAATCTGTCTCTTTCTCTGGCTTTTGGATAGTGTACTCCGGGTTCTCAGGTGATTTTTCTACTTCCTCGAGCGTCACCTGCAGTAGCTCTGTCGAATTCAGGTCCTGTGCGGCATTTCCCACTAAGTCGGGCATCTGCTGGATACTCTCTGTTGTCATACTTGAGGTCTTGGGGTCACTTTCGACCTCTTCAAGAGCCTTCGGAATATTTCCATTCGGGTCCCTTGATGTAGCCGGATCATCCGCCGAGGTCTCCAGGTGCTCCGTAGAGTTAGTCAAGTGGTCTGTCGGCTCCCTCATGTTCTCCACTAAGTGCTCTATGTTCTCCGCCGAATTCTCCATGGTGTGCGTTGGGTTTTCCAGGGCTTCGGGTATAATCCCAAGATGCTCAGTGAGATGCTGTGGATACCTCGTCACGTTGTCTGGATATTCGGTCTCCTCTTCGGGGTTCTGCATAACACCACAGGACTTCTGATATACACCCTTCGGGTTTTCCTCGCTCCCATTTCCCGCGTTCTCGGTAACATTTATTAACCCACTAGATCCGTTGTCCAGCTTCTCCATCGAACTCTGAAGATATTCAGAGCTCTCAGGCTGGTACTGGGCCAGAGTGGCAATGAGATCCTGGCTATTGCGAGGTGTACTTTCAGAAGTGGCAGAAGCTGCAGCCAGAAGCGAAGGGCGTCGGATTGGTTGTGGCTGGAAAATGTCATCAAAGCTGGTCGCCTCGGTCGTACCATTGTCACATTGGACTCCCCAGTCTGGAAAGCTATTCTCCGCTCGTTCAGGGCCCTCTAAAATCTTCAGTTCTTCGTCATTGAAGGTGCGGCGGGAAACAAGGTAAGGGTGGCCATCCAATTCGAGCTCATCAAATTCTCGGTCCATCCCAGGAGCTATAGACACGATGTTCGGTTCCAAGTCCTCAGTTGGAGTGGGCCCCTCATCCTCAGACTCCCAATGATGTCTCTCGTTCTTTCCAAGATGTGCATAATTGGTGGGCGGTCTTCTGCCTCTAGGTCGGTCGTAGCCAGAGGTCTCACTCTCGAACTCAAAGTTGGAGGACTTCGGATACGTGAATGTATAGTCATCTCTTGAGCTTTCCGGCGAGTATGGAGGAGCTTCATGTTCTTGTATATTTGAACTCAGCCTTAGGATATCGTCCCGCTCAACCGCATCCGCCGGGTCGATGTATTTCTTCATTGTACGCAATTTCAGGGCAGGTCGTTGATGCGGCGGGATTTGTTCAGAAGAGCTGGAAATCCTTGATGGGAACAATTCGACGAGTTCTTTGGCGGATAATCGATCTCTTGGGCGAGATGACAAGCAGATCCGAACGATGTCTTGATACCAATTGGGGACGTCTGAGGGGAATTCTTCAACACTCAGAGGTGGCACATGTCGTTCCGGTTCATCGTCATCCATTGCCAAAGCCCACAAAGTCATCCCGAGTTGATAGATGTCTGATTTCTCGCCGATGTACATAGAAATTCGCTGGTTGCTGGCAATTTTAGTGGCAATCTCGGGAGGCTCCCACCCAACAGGACAGCCTCGCCGGTTGATATCGATGATCTTCGCATTTCCATCGGCGTCAACAACGATGTTGGAAAGCGTGAAATCACCCTGAACATAACCCTCTTGGTGTATCTCACTGAGACCACGGACCGCCTGCTCCGCCCACCTAGAACGATCCTCCCAAGCGATTGCACCTCTGTGGTCGTAAAGGATATCCACAATTGCGCCCCTTTCAGCATAGCCGATCAAAAGCCCTTTGACGACGGACTGAGTGTCATCAAGGACGATAGCCTCGAGCTTGATGACATGGTCGGAATCATGCAGAGCATGCAGAGCATTGATTTCATACAAAAATTCGTCCACTGTGTCCGGACCGGGAATTTCCTTCTTGATGTAGACTGTACCCTTGTGCAGAACCTTGTAAACAAAGCCGGAAAGGTGCGAATCAAAAGTCAGCTCACTTTCTCGGACTTGCATGGGTCGAAAGGCTTCATCGTTGAGGATATGGGAAAGGGTGGCTTTGGGGGGGTATGGAATGATCTCGTTGACATCCTCAGTCACATGGACATGGAGACGACCATCAGTAGTTTCCAACTTGAGGTTAGTAACGGTATCATAGAACTGAATCTCAGGTAGTGAATCGCGAATTGACTCGTAGATCTGCATGCTTTTATCCCGTTGAAACTGGAGTTCCTTGAGGTCCATCTCCAAGGAACCTGGTTCAGCATTGCGATAGTCACATGAAATGGTCACCCGCCGCCAAAAGTTGGGAGTCTGTGCATAGGTGACGAAGAACTTTTCTCGGTCCGACTTATCCCGGAAATGCATACTGAGGTTGAGGATCCATCGGTGATCAAGTTCGTCCCTCAATTCGGCCTTGTCGTCGGCTAGAGGCATTTGGGGATAGTGAGAGTCATCAGAAGAAGTTGTCGAAGGGGGCCGGGGAGGTCGGTCGTCCTCCTGAGACCAGAGGTCTTCGGTCGGATCAGGATACGTCGAATCCAGGAATGGTGGACTGGTTTCGATAAGGGAATGGGCAGTGCCGGCATCCGCCCTGTTGGCTCCAGTGACTGCGGGTGCAGAGGTCCGAGCCGAATCCCAATCGGGTGGAGAAGAAGTCGCTCGTCGTCGGGGCAAGCTTATAGAGGCGTGCCTGGTGGAAGAGACGGCCCTCCTCTCAGCATGACAAGGCTCGATGGGGAACAGTCGATCTCGCTTTTCTGAATTCTGACGTCGGAATGTCGCCTGCCGAGGGAGGCCAACAGCCAGCGGTCTGGTTAAGGAATCTTGTTTGGCGGAATTCTGTCTGTCAGCCCAGGTCTGGGGCCACTGCTCGTCGTCGGAGCCCTCGATCGGGCTTTGCGTGGCGTCATTTTTGGCGAAGAAATGCTGGAATTTCTGCCACATGCCGAATCTAAGCGAGTGTCTGGGATAATTGTGATGCGGCTCGGAGTCGACTTGACTCAGTGAATTGTGTTCGGCATGGCTTGGTCGAATGCCCATTATGGCGGAGGTTGCCGTCAGTAGGACGCTGATACGAGTGAGGGGCACAACCGTCTCCCACAATCGAATCAGCAGCCTCCGCCGAGTCGGGCAGCACAGCAGCGAAGAGGACTAGGCCAACGGCAACCGAACATTGAAGTCGTGCAGGTGGTATGTGTCGTTGCGTATGTGCGATGGGTGACGGTGGTACAGAAGAGATGGAAGAGGTTTTGGTGGGAATTCGGAAAAACCACTGGATGTTATTGGTGATGGGCCATGGACCAGGGGTGGTGGCAGAGGTGGGAGACTTCGGAGACTCGGGAGCTGGAAGAACCTTGGTCCTTGGAGGCGGTGAAGGCACACCAGACCTTGGGTTTTGAAAAATATCGCAGCCGGTGAGCCCGCCCGCGCTACAAAGAGACTCAATGTTTCAAGAACAACAAGGATGAGATATTGCCCCTGTGCAATGTGGACTTGTCAAATGATCTGAAGGACGAGTGCAGGAGGAGAGAGTCGGATTAGGGCCTGCAGCAACGCAGTCGAGTGGTCTTGAGGTGCGGACCGAGTATATCGAATGGATCCGAGCTCTGGTCAGGGTGGCCGTCGTCTGACCCACGTTGGTCGTCTGGGTACTGGAGTACAGAAGATAGATGGAATGGTAATTGAGATGAGGCAAGGATGCTGGGAGCGGGTTCGATGGCTTTATGGCGGGTTTCGAAAACTGGTTCAACGTGGTTCAAAGTGGTTCACCGCTTAAGCAAGGCCACAAGGCGTAGGCTACAGCAGCCGAAGCTGGGTGTGGTGCGGCTGCATGAAGCAGGAGGTAGGAGGTTATGGAGGTTTGTAGGAGGCTGGGGTCAGAAGGCAGAAACAGAGGAAGTACGAGGTACTTCGTTGAAGACGAAGAATAACGAGATGAAGGAGAAGAAGAAGAAATATCACCAAACTCGGTGCAAAGTTTTCTATCCTTGATTTCTTTTTTTGCTCGCTGCTCTCAATCTTCCTCCTCTTTTCTTCTCGAGCGCAGGCGATAGATGGACTGGACTCCGCGTCAATGTTGAGAAGCCGGTATATGGGTTGAGAGGCATCACTGAACGACCTAGTATCCAACGGCGAGGATTCTGCGTACAATGTGCCGTAAGCCTCCCCGAGTCGGACATTGTGGGCAGGCTCGCTCCGGGGCCTGGAGGCGCACGGGCGGGTTGGTAGGCTGCTAGGCTGGTGGGCTGGGGAGCCCACAACACAACTGCCAACGCAAGACTTGGATGAGAGCGAAGCAGCCAATGGGGCCTCTAGGCCGAGAGGGCGACAGCCGTAGGCGACGGCTGCTTCCCTGGATGCTCGTTGCCCCGTGCCCGCGAAGGCCTAACGGTTAACTAGAGAGGTGAATCCATCATGATCCCTGGGCGCTACGTCTGCAGCCTCTACGGAGTGTGTCTTTGATGCTTCCACAGAATCGGACGGTAGCTTTGCAGGCTCACTTAGGCTGCGATTTCACCACTTCCGCAGGCCCCTCAATGGCTCAAATGTGCTTCCACTCAAGCTGTTCGTGGAAGTCTCTGATGGTACTGTAGAGACAGAACTGACTTTAGACGAGGTGCTACGGCTGCAAGGCAGACAATCCAGCCCGCAGGTTTGATGATTACGAGTACGGCGTGCTCGTGCTCTGTTGCCCGCCAACCCCGGAATCTTTATATTATGTTCCCCTTCAAGTTCAACCCTGCTGCCCTTCTCTTGTCTCTACCTAAGTACAGAGTATGCATATCTCCCTTCCCCGTCTCCTCATGCCCCACGGAATCCGACCAACTACCACCTAGTCTTGACGCTCTCAGCTTTCCTGGTTCCTCTGACACACGGTCCCTCTGGATTTTGAATCAGCCCCCGAGCGGTAGACAAGAAGAGGGCGGCAAACGACGCGTGCAGTTGAGCATGGACCAGGAAGGCGCACCGAGTCCCTACGATTGGAAACCACCGAGTGCCCACGTTCTTAGCTGCTCGGTAGAAGCCCAAACCTGCATCTCTTGGAAGGGCTTCCACCTCGAATCCTGCCACTACTGCACATTGTGCAGAAGTCATCCAACGCTTTGCGTTCAGCCACTTAGAGATTTTCTTGCAATGTTCCTTTCTCCAATTTGTCGCCTCATCGTTGGGCTGCAATTTTTCAAGATGTTTCAATCTCCATTGGCGCTTGTTACTCCTATATCGCCCTTTCGGTGCACGTTTGGTCCCACGACTCCTTCTCATCCTCTGCGTCAAGCAATACCATCGGAGATGACATCGGAGCCCATGATCTCATCATCGCGATGAAGCATTCACTGTTTTGACTTTTTCTTCATCTGGGACCCATCATTGACGTGGCCGTCCTGGTCAAAAGCCGTCCCCGCCCAGAATGTCTCGATATCGAGTGACCTCCCGCATGACCTTTCTATCATCTGTGGGATGCTCACGCTTGGGGCCCAAGGCAACGTAATTATAAATCCTAAACCAAGGTCACAGGACTCTGATGGCACTTTGTCTGGGTCAGAGTTCGGACTGCTCCTACCCATGATACACACCGCCCATTATCTTCTGGCCATTGTCCCTTGAAGTGGGCTGACCATGATGGTCGTAATGCTCCGGTTCCATTCTTGTCCAATGCTCCCCTCTCCGAGTTCACCATATGCCGTGTGGCTATACGCGAGTATCGCGGAAGTGGGAAGCATGTCCCAGAGATGGAGATCGAACCTTCGCAATGAAGAACCCAAGTCGTCAGATGCTGTTCAATCGCCATCTGCAATCGCGTGAATCCAATCTCAACCTTTCCACCTCGTCTGTCATCAAACAGGAACCCCCATTGACTCGGGCTGGACTGGTGAGCGGTGGGTAGGTCTCTTTGGCCCGTTTTGGACCTGGAGACTCGATCAAGTATCTCGGAGCCGCAACGATCGACCACTTTCGAAGGCCATTCTCCTTGAGTGTCCCCGAAGCACCAGCTTCACGAACCAGAAGCTGCCAGAGTAAAGCCCCTTCTACTGCCCGCAGGATTTCCCAAGGCTTTCAGACCCCCGACGACAGAGCATCCTCTGGAAGCCACAGGGCAAGAGATCCCCGTGATCAGGGCGGTCTGCATGGCCTGCATCGGCAGCAGAGAGATCACGAGGCATGGTTGGGCACACAGCTCCACCAAATCTCCCACTGGGATTCGCTCTTCCATTAAGTTGTGCGCTTCCTCAAGGAAGCTGAACATTTTGATCAAGAACCTATGAATTCTGCGAGTCCAGATTGCATAACTCTGTTTTCATCACGGCCAATCCGACCAGGCCAGGGTTGCAATGACGCAGGATCTCTGCTTCAGCACGAAGGGGCAGCGGACGTCCTGTTCCATGTCAGCCAGATCTCATCGGGATGTTTTGGCCAAATGTGAGTCTATTGTGGACCAAAGAAGAAGGCTGGTCGTCTAGAACGATTGGAAAGCACTTGCACTACTGAATCTGAAGCCGCCTCCTCTGTTTCACTCGCAACACACGTTCGTCATGAGAGACGACAACATTGACGTCGACATCACGCCGCTATGCCATCCCTCCTCGCCATGGTAAATGCTCAGCATGCTTTACGCGGTTTGGCCTCCTCTTCTTTTATTCGTTCGGTTTGTACGTCTCTCTTCCAGAAGGTAGTCTATGGTTTGGTTGACACGAGACTGCGGTCAAAGACTAGCAAAAGCAGACCTGATTCACTGCTATGTTTTGGAAGAACGGGTCTTGAAAGGACCATCCTCCCTTGATTACGTTTCAAGGTGGTCGTCCGAGGTCTTTGTGATTTCCTTGATATTGTGATGTGGCTTGCGGCGACAAGAGCAGGAATGGGTTCAGTTCCTTTAGTCTCTTCCTCCCATTTTCCTTTGTTTAATATTATAGACACCAGTCTTGGTGTAGAGAGTGAGGGCCTCAGTGTGAAGCAGAGGAATAAGTTTATGACGGACCTTGATCCTCGCGAGAGAGAAAATGATGTTTCTGGTGAGGTTGCTTCCATAGCCTACCTTAGATGAGCAATACCATGTCGGCACAGTAGATTTGGCGTCAGTCCTTCCCTACAACCTACCTAGGGAGACAACGTCATGACCGAAGGGACGGCTTACCCTGACGAATACTCGGAACACCTAATGCCAATACCATTATTCCTCCTGCCCAAGCAGGGTATCTCCTTCGGAGCATAATATACACGATAACCCCATGGTGCCTAGTCAAAACCCTGATCGACCCTCGCCTTTGTGCGTAACCCAGGCCGTACCTCGCATTCTTGGAGCCTTCACGGTCTAAATCTGAGCCTAAAGCCGACATCTCCACCAGGGGCGTCACTTCTTCTCGCCGCCCTTCCCTGACTTCCCATCCAATAGCCCGACCCATCGCCCTCGGATCCCTCTGTCCTCACTTGCCTTCCGTTCTGCTGCACGACGTAAATGAAGCGGGCTATTGTGTCGGCTTCGCTGAGTTGTTGCGCATTGAAGTGTTTCCGCACGGCGGTCGCAAGGTTTGAGGCTGGTTCGCGAGGACCGAGGGTTGTGGTGGTGGAAAACGAAGGGGAAGGAGAAGGGGGTGTGCCATTGCCATTGCCTTGGCCTTGGTTTGAGGTAATTTCGGGGGCGTTGCCTGTTTGTGCTATAGAGGGCGCGATACTCGAGGGTTTGTCTGCATTCGCTGTCTCTCTTGATTTGCCCTTCTCTTTATCTCTGTCTTTAGATTTATTGGTTTTGCCCGTCCCATTTGTCTGCTTTGATTGACGTTGTTTGCGTCGCTGAAGTTGTAGTTCGTGCTGTTTTCGTCTGTAGTAAACCGCTGAGGGGCTGCGAAGTGCGAGGTCGCATGACTTGTAAGTAATTTCGGCATGAGGGTAGTTGAATGCCGCAGGGACATGGAGACGATGGGCAATGCGGTAGGAGCGGAGAATAGGGACCGGCATCGTTGTCCATTCGGTCTGTCGGTAGGTCACAGGGTGGTTAGCCTTAGTCCATGTGGATTCTCAAGAAGGTCTCTGTTGGACACGACATACTCGAGGAAGATTTGGGTCTTTATCCCCTTCTGTTGCTGCGGGGGTGGCAGTGGGAGGTGCGGTGCCATTTCCATTCATGGAGGCTTTGTTCGCTGGCGCAGGAATGTTGAGTCCCGAGGCAAATCGCTTTCCTTTTGAAACGCCCGAGCCACTGACTGGTCCTAAAGCGGATTTTTCTTTCTGGTTCGTAATGGTACTTGACGTCTCCGATCTCGAGTCGTCGACATTTCGCCCTCGAGCAGGTGGCATCGTGTTTGGCAACAGAAATTCGTGACACACCTCGGGAAGGCAGAACGGCTGAGAGGAACCGTGTCAAGTCTCTTCATGGAGCACATAGAAGGGGGCGAGGGGCGCTCGTTCATCACAGGGATAAATCACGAGAAAGCATGGGTCGTGTAATGGTCGACCATTGCTCGCAGCCTCAGACATGAATCGAGCTTCAGGGACACGCGCAGGCGAAAATAGACGGTCGAGTGATACGTCATAGGCCCCCTGCCCGTTTGCTCAATATGGAGAGCGGCAACGGCAGCACCCGCTTCCGCGTTTCGTTCTTGGCAGTATGTGAGAAGCCGGCCCTGCCAGTGCGTGACCCCGAGAGCCTTGCAGATTCATGACGGGCACTACAGAGCGAGAACTCTCAAGCCTCGTGCGCAAGGCCTGTTCCTGCATCCTGGAGCTTCCTCCTGCAGCTGGGGGCTTGAGTGGCAAATATCGCGGCCGCTATGTGCCCAGATGTGCGTGCTATTCTTCTCTGTCTCTTGTGTGCAGGTACACACTCACCTAGCATCTTTCCGAGGCCTATCAAAGGTGCAAAGTCGACGGGGAAAATCAAATTTCCTCTAATATCACGAGAACAAAATCCATGAGGTATACATGTTCCGTGTTCCCGCTGTCAAGGCCAACACGACTGCAGACCCAAGCCATTTCAACGCAGAGCCCGGGTCTTCTAGAGTCGGGTCCTGCACTGAAACAGGACAGTGGTCAGCTCTTTTATTCACTTTCCCCCCTTCTTTTTCACACAGCCAGTCCCTGAGATGTCTTTACACTGGAATTCAACCAATTCTCAAGCGCCAGCACCAGAAACAGGTTCCCTCCAGTCGGTTTCAGGTGTGGTAATGCTGGAGAGATCGGAAGTTCACCCATGCATCGAACATTGTTGACTGCGATAATGTATGAGATCCATTCCACCCTTTGGTCACATACCGGTGGGTTCCAAGCAGATATTCGCGGAAAGGCGGGACGAAAAATTGGAGCCGAGAGAATGCCACCCTTCAGGTACGCAAAATCACCGGGCCAGAGGAGAAAAACACATACAAGGTCCAGATCGTGAGTGTTGAGAAATCCACTCTCCACCTAGTCAACTAGAACATCTCTTGTTCAGAGACGTTATCTATCCGCAGAATTTTTTTTTCTGGGCGAATTTGTTGAGAGCTGTCACGCCGCTGTCGTCGGCTTGAGTGTTTCATCAAGCATCCATCAGGTTGAAGACAGAGGCCCGCCCCAACCACATGTGGAAGTGGAAGTGGAAGTGGTTGTGGTTGTGGATCGCAATATACGCGGAGCCTGACGTCAACTGGAATGTGCAGAGCACATGGCAGTTTCGGATTTCTGCAGCTGAAAAACGGTGAGATTGCGCTGGTCCGAGGAAATGCCGCCCCATGTGAAGGAAATTTCTTCGGACCCTAAAATTTTTGACCTTCTCAGTTGTTCCTTGAGTCTGAAATCACACATGAATTCTCATCCCCTCTGACACGCAATGAGCTCCAGTAGGCCCTGTACAGAGCTAGATCCCTTGCGAAGTCGCCAAGAGCTGCGCCCAACAAACCAGGGTTGTTCAGTACATGGAACTGCATCCCGATTAGGAGATCCCGAAGTTCAAAACCATCACACCCGGCACCAGCCGATATGCTAAGCGGTGGAATTTTTCTCTGGTTCCTTTTCGCTCATGAATTAGATCAATCCTTGCCCCAAGCACGGCCTGACGGGTATCCAATATGACGCTGTCTGTCCGAGACAACATTCGATGGAACTTTGCTCGAATTGACGATGTTGCTATTGCAAAGTTAAATTTGACGAAGGCGAACATCGGAAGCTGATCGGGATTGGTTTCTACGTCGTCCATTCAGTTGGAATAGATCCAGAGTCGGATTTAAGTGTCCACAGCCTGACATGTGATATCCTGCTCGAGGAATTGACCGGGTGCATCAAAGCAAGAGGAATCGAGCCATGCTCCGGCACAAAGGCTTTTGAGTGCGTAATACGCCTGATTGCGATGAGGAGATGTATGAACGACTGCGTAATGTGGACGACGGGGTGATGCCCGCAGGTGTGGCACACTCCGAAGCTGATATGCGCAGTCGCTGAAGAACGTCTCAAACCCCCGACAGAGCATGGTAGATCGGCTTTTTCGCATGCTTTCTTTCCAGGATTATGACATTTTCACCAATCCAGATGCATCAATATCAGTAAACGTATGCTGTCGCCATAACCTTTGGGTAGGCAGCTCGTGCTGTCGACTACCAGCGCCCAAGAACATCGGAAATTTGGTATGCCTGTAGTAATCCCAGGTCGACTCGAAGGTATGTGCACTCATCTTCGGCGTGGACGAATAATGGTCTGCTTGTTCTACCTCGTCTTCAAGATGCGTGGGTACGGTCTTCGGCTCCGGTGGCGCAAGAGATTTGACGAAAGCAAGAGTTGATGGAAATCCGGATATGCGGATCCTTTTCTCCGTTTCGTCGTCACACTGCATTCATGTGGTACCAAAGTTGATAGCACGCAGTATCGCTGGGCGAAGAGGCATCTCTCTGCGAGAATTGACAGCCAGGCTCGTCGACCACAGACTTGAGCATGTGAGAGATCTCCACAAGGAAACTCGGCAGACAGAATCAGCTAAAATCAAACCGAGCATGCAACAGTTGTGCTCTTCTCCGAACGGCCGCAATCGGTCGGGTGCGAGGACAGCACAGTCAGATCACTTCGTGTATTACCTTAGAGATATGCCCATTAGACCGTCCAGATAAACCGGCATTGCTCTCTGCGTCACTCACTGCAAGAGCCATAATTCTCCTTTCACTGGATACATATCTGCCAATCTGCTAGATAAGGCAGGCAAGTGGACCAACCATAACCATCGAGGTCACCAAGGTGCTAGACGCAACGTCAGACACCAAGAAGTCGTTTTATTGCTCTCGGTGCTGTCGTCATGATGTCGAAAGGGGAGGAAAACTTCCACACGTTTCGGGAATGGCACTCCATTTGAGGATCGCCAGCAAAAGCTCAGTATTCCATCTGCGTACGAGCGATCTCGATAAGCATCGCTTGGGTATCAAGACAAGTTAGCGGTGCCAGGGGGAGGAGACAGGGTTTGGTGTTTCGGTGGGGCGTCTTGTGGCTACGCCGCGTGCCACACGGCCTTGGTCTGTACCAATATCCCATGCACTTGCAAAAGCTCAGGAGCCTTTGTGCCCATCATCGTGACGATACTATGTAAAAGAAAAATAATATTCTGCGTTGGGTTACTTTCTTGCTTCGCCTTCGACGCTTAAAGGCATTTGTGGAGAAGTGGGAATATGCCGTGTCACCTCAACCCACATGCTTTTTGGGTCCTTCTGGCGGCGCAGCCTGATCAATCTATTGGGGAATCCATCTGGTCGAATCAGAGACGCACGGGGTATCAACAATCCTAGGGCGATATGTGAGGTATCTGGGATGATTGTACCTGGTAAAATGTGGAGCTAGGAGCGCGTGGGATGGAATACAACCGCCTGCCATGTGAATTTCTGCGCTCGATTTTCTTGGTGGCCGTATTCCGCAGTCAACAACGGCACAGAGCCTGTGTTATAATGCCAGATACAGGCGTCTGGCAAGATACGGGTCGATACCTCCAAATGAGACTTGCTGCCCGCTTGCTGGCTATCGTGAAGGTGTCGTTGAGATCCTCATTCAGCAACAAGCTCAGGTCCCAGTGACATGTGTGGAGACACGATCGAAGATGTCCAAAACCCGCCTGCAGGTCGCTGATTATTTCCCGTGGGTGGTTTGAATTTCGTCAATTGTTTTTCTCTTCCTCTTTCGTTCGATTACCGCTCCCAGGTAAGCACTGACCGGCTCTTGAAAAGGGGGAATGAGCCGCGCCAGCACGGTGTCGTGAGTTGAGTTCGGTACACGTCCTATCCCCTACTCGTACCTTGCCGGGGCATCGTCGGTGAGTGCGAGGTACGTGGTTCTCAGTACTCCGTTCTGGAGGACACGGGGTGATAAGGCCGAGATTCAGCCACAACTTCCTGTCGGGCTGAGTTTGGCCACTGAAATCTCACAAGGAGCCATCCCTTGACATCCGGTTGCCCCAGAGGTGAAATCATTGTCCCAGTGTAGACGAGCCCCAAAGTGGCTTGTCGGCCAAATGCCCCCGAATGCACCCTGCTCCGAAACGGTGGAAAGAATCCACAAGGTGTGCTTCGTAAATCCACCCTGCTCAACCGGCAAAGCCTAGTGGTCAATGAACGAGTAACCGAAATTTTGCTCGTGCCTGAAAGCTGAGGTGATTGTGGGAGTTGGCACTATTATTCTTTCTAGGTTAAGCCACAATTGCCCCAGAGAGAGAATTGCTGGTAGCAAAGCCTCCACGACTCGGAACCCCTTCTGGGGCGTTCTGACGCGTTCTACGGACTCACCAGACTAGGGAGCCCGGAAGTGGCCCTCATAGCCTGTGAGTAGCTAGCTCCGACGATACCGCCCGGTGCTGGTCGGATTGCGCCATTGATAGACAAATTTACTCGTATGCAGTACTCGTAGGTCAATGTGTCGGTCAGCAGCTGCCAAGTCCATCGACTTTTGGCTCTATGGTGATTACCGTAGTGTGCGACTGTGCCTGCGAAGGGCTCCGTTGTGGCGACTCCGAGCTGCATCTGGGAAAATGGGCAGTGATACCGTCCTTCGAAGCACATGGATATTACTTAGGTACCTGGAAAAGAATGTTGCGAGTACCTAGGTGGAATGCGGGGTTTTTCAGAAAAGTGCTCATAGCCCATGGGTCAGTACACAGAGTTTCGCAGCGCCCCGGTATTCATCTCCCGTCGAGTTGCTGTTTGTTGAATCGGCTCGCACACACAATTCCGAGCGGGAATACATAGGACCAAGCCAGATATTCCCGACATGCCATGTCACTGTTCGGAGTCGCCTTCCAACAGCTTCCGAGTTATTATCGTTGTGTGGGATGTGTCTTAAATTCTTTCTGTCAGACCGAGCCCTTCCCGAGTGCCTCGGATGTTCCCTTGTCACTCTGCACCAATCTCGTGTGGGATGGGTACATGTGCGCTTCCCCATCATTGTTCCCCAATACGGAGCAACACGCCGTATCAGCGATCACCATAGGTACCTAGGTAAGTAGAGTCGAGACACAGCTTCCACACTGCTACATCAGGAAATACGCCCCGAGCAGCAGTACATGGCTGAAAGGTGACACCAACCTTACCGGGCCGAACACAGAAAATGGTGATAGCCGTGAATGCACGAGAGGGCCACCGGTTCGTAAGCGGAATATCACTTCCCCCACAAAAGGTCATGCCGAAGAGCAATGCCATACTCCGTATTTCGGGGCAACACAAACAAGCCCGAAATTCCGAAACCCTCACATGCCCAGGTGTTCAGCAGCGTTTGGCCGGGTTACCCCCCGGTCCGATTCCAGCCCCCCAAGGAATGAGTCCGACTGACTCTTTCACGAGGGGGCCAGCTGAATTCCAGGCCCCCAAACATGTCACTTCGCTACCACGGTACTCAGGTTTCAGCTTCAGCTCACCCGCGTGTCCTTCCCCGGATCATCGTCGCGTAAGGCCCCTTCATCATCCCTATTCTCCCCATCCTGTCCCAGTGCAAGGAGAAGGGAAACTAGGAGTCAAGGGGGCCAAGGGGGGCAAGGGGGGCAAGGGGGAGATGCGACAACAGGAAGGGCACCATGTCATATTTTCGAGTGGTTGTACCTCTCTAGGTAAACCTGCCAGGTACCTATGGGTGCCTAAGGTAAGTGAGGGATGCACATACGAGGATATAGCAGTGGCCCCAGGCACACTGAGAGGAAAAGGGCCAAACCCCGATTGATTTGGTCGGCAGCAAAAGTAACGCTCAGCGGGCACCTAATCCCCTCCTATCAGCGGCCAGGCACCGACAATGTCCCTTCCCTCGGGCGCTCTTCTCCTGAGACGTGGCCTTCCCTTTTCACATTTTTTTCCTTTTGGGTTTCCAAGGCTCTGCGTGATTGCCGTGGCCTGATAAGAAATCGGCGCTAAGCGGCCAAGGGAGCCCACCCCGGTCACTGCATTTGTCTTTTGAAATCATTTCATCACACTGCGAGACTGGCAGTCCAGAGCAGAAGGCTAACAAAGTGCCGTGCCTTGCCTTGGTGCCTGGCCCTTTCGCCCTCTGAGCCTTGAACGAGAGGGTCATCCTCCCTCTGCTTCCCCCCCCATCATTATTCGTCCCACACTTACAAAGCCCGCCTCGCGACTTTTAACCCTCACCCACGGTTACATACAAGCACGCACACAGGCCATCCCCTACCCAAGCAAACTGCTACCTACCGCCTCTACGGGGTACAGGCTACTGGCGCCCTCGATTTGCACCCACCCACTACGACTACTGGCACCAGCGTTGCGCCCACATTCTTACGGAAGGCAATAACTTATCGAGGGAGTAAAACAATAACTTTCGCCTCTTCCAGCTTCTGCATCCTTCCGTCAGAGCAGGAGAAAAGAAAAAAAATCAACGACAAACCACCCAGCACCCACTCTCGCTCACACATTCCACACCCCCCGTCATCCAACCCCTGTTCCCCCCGGTCTCCAGTTTTTCCACGTCCGCAGTGCCGGGTAATTTCCTCATTTTCAATTTCTTGACGCTCGACTCATCATTTCAACTACCTGAACCATCTATTTTCTCCAACACACGGATCCGGCTCATCTCTCATCCCAAATCTACTCCTGCATACCTGACAAAACGCCGTCCACCCCGGGCCTCCTCGTTTCTTCTCCTCTTTTTCCCACTCGTCCCCCCCCAAACTACTCAATTCTCTGACCACACCATTTCCCTGACCTCACCACCTACCACACCACCCTTTCCTCCTCTCCTCCCACGCTACAGCTTTGTTATCGCCAATCCGCTTTCTACTCCAATCTGCGCCTTTCTGACCCCAGGCCCGACGGCCCTGCTGCATGCGTCACGCCGCCATCGGTCAACTAAGTACTAAGTGGATGATTCACCCCACGATAAGCGATCATCTTCCTGGGGAACTCCCTCTCCCTTCGCTCGAATGCAACGCTCTTCGTCTGCAGTAGACTTTACTGCCATCCTCAATCCTTCTCCTTCCTCCTCTGATTCTCCTTCTTCTTCTCACCCTTCGCACGAGGCCCTCACCACCGCGAATTCTCAGCCCAACAACCACACCTCGACGACAACCACGCAACCAGACGATAACATGGCAGCCGCTGTCAGCCTGATGCCGACGGCGATGGGAACTCAGGGTCCCAACGCAGAAGAAAGACAGGATCTCCCTCGACCCTACAAATGTCCTCTTTGCGACAGAGCCTTCCATCGCCTAGAGCACCAGACCCGACATATCCGCACGCACACTGGAGAGAAGCCTCACGCCTGCCAGTTTCCCGGTTGCAGCAAGCGTTTCAGTCGATCTGACGAGTTGACCCGTCATTCCCGCATCCACAACAACCCCAACTCGCGAAGAAACCAAAAGACTCACCAAGTTGCCGCCGCCGCCGCTCTCGCTGGCCTCCAGGATGGTTCAAACCAGAACTTTGCCTCGCAAGCTCAGATGATGCCGCCGCCCAGCAAGACTAGCATGCCCCGGTCAGCCCCTACCTCAGCTGTTGGTTCTCCCAACGTTTCACCACCTCATTCTTTCGCGGTTCAAGTCCCTCACGGCCCCCAGATGCCGTCCCATCTTGGACTCTTCAATCGCGGCGACGACAGAAACTCGATGGACATCAATCTCCTCGCCACCGCTGCGTCTCAAGTAGAGCGAGACGAACATGTTACTAGAGTTCCCTACCAGCACCAGCACCATCTGTTCAGTCATCGCTCGCACAACACCAATGGACGTCTGCCTTCGCTCTCTGCATATGCCATCTCACACTCCATGTCAAGATCGCATTCCCAGGAAACCCATGATGATGATCACCGAGTGAAGAGGTCAAGGCCAAACTCGCCGCATTCCACAGCTCCTTCGTCACCGACCTTCTCTCACGAATCGATATCGCCCACCCCTGACCATACACCCCTTGCCACTCCAGGACACTCGCCACGTCTCAGACCCCACGGCAGTGATCTACAGCTCCCAGGACTACGCCACCTGTCGCTTGGACACACTCCTCTTTTAGCGCCCATGGAGCCGCAAGCTGATGGATCCTACTCTCACATCCCACCGCCACAGCACTCTGGCCCTTCGATAGCAGATATTGTCACCGGATCGCAACGGAAACTGCCCGTGCCGCAGCTCCCCAAGATTGGCGTGGCCGAGATGCTACATCTACCGGGCGGTTTGAGTTCAGGAGAGTCTAGTACGGCAGCGTCGATCAATGGCGACTTTTCAAGATGACTGGAGCACGATGACACAGGCGTTCTACGGAGTCCGCCGTGGTCTACTTAACGACGAGTGTGTGTTGAATTCTTTTCACGGATGAGCAGCTCAACCCTCTTTCCTTCCTGGACTCTCTTTTGTCTCCGGGCGTTTTGGAGGTGATTTTTTTTATTTTATACGGAATGAAGCCCCCAGTTTCACGGGATGCTGGGATGAATTGGAGAACGATATCACAGCGAGGAGCAGGTTATAGACGGATATGGATAACAAGGAGGAAATGCGCCGCATGATTGCGCCCAATAGAGTGGTGTTCATTGGTGACGGGATGTATGGTATGATGGTATCAACCTGGCAAATGTGTGCTCGTTAAGAGTCTCGAGCAGCCAATCCCCTGTTTACAAGTGTAATTTTGAGATAGCCAATTCAACCCTACGAATGCTAAACACGTCTCTAGCCCTGGTTTGTAGTGAATGTCTGAGGTCGTTTCGCCTTCTCACCAGACGGACTGTACGAGTAAGCCCACCGCGGCCAGCCAAGAGTTTCTCTTAGGCCACGCCTTCATCGATTCTGATAATGCATTCAGCTAATCATTTCATCCTCGTCGAGGGATCCTGGGATTTTCCAGGACGAGTATTTGCACACTCCAGAACAGAAAGCCTGAACCCCACAAAGTCGTCTCCGCGTTCGTCCGGAATCTGTCTGGACAGCTGAGTCACGGTGCAGCCTAGCGTCTTGTTCAATTCGAACTCATAGACGCTGATCCAAACTCCGGAGTCGGTTCGGAGTAGAATCCTGACAATATGTCGGGGCCGACATGAGAGAAACGACTCCCATGCTTCCACTGTGGGCATTCGGGGCTCGCACATTCCATCACGACACGGCGTCTACAGACGCCGTACTCTCACAAACCTAGCTGATGAGGGGAACAAACGAGCGGAACAAAGAAGAAAGAGCTACTGGGCACCTCCTTGCCTGGCTGAGAACTCTTGCTACGGAGACGCCCTCCTTGTGCGCTCATCTCAACAGCCTGTCTGAGAGCATGACCCCCCCACACTATGCAGGGCTGATGCATCGTGACCAGACCAGCTGAAGGGGAGGATTAACGGGCCAAATTCCTGCCTGTGAGAGTTGGAGAGTGTCATGGGGGAAAGGCAAACACGAGGTTCTTGCGGCTTGTCAACCCTGGACAGAACTCATTTCTGGCTCAATTGATCCCCGGACCAGCAACCCGAAGCCGGGGGAATGGGATTTCGCGGAGTCCCCAGCCTGTGTTCGGTTCAGACTCGAAAAAGGATGCGGAGGCAACGTCCGTCACAGTGCGATCTAGCCTTTGCATGTTGTGTGAGACGGCGAGAAGTACCATTCACTGCGACCTAGGCTCACCGCGGGAATCCATTTGCCGTTGCCGGTTCCGACCTGCCGATCAGTCTCCAGAATGACAGAACCCGAGGTCACACAAATCCACGGACTGACTGATGGAATGCGTCCGGATGAGTTCAGCAGATCAATATCATCAGGCACCTTGTCCTGCTGCTTCAGGCTTGAGCCGAGGGTACATCCTCGGGCGATTATCATTTTGACCAGACCGTGCCGCCTTGATCGAGATGTGATGGACTCAACTGTGGAGAAAAATGTCAGACGCACGGGGGTTTTGGAAACCCTCTTGAACTCCTTAAACCGAGACCGGAGAGATGCCCTGAGCAGTCATGTTAGGGAATGCGACTTTCGCTGGGCTCTGTATCTTGACTCGCCGTCTCGACTCTGCAATTAAGGCGAGGGCCAATCTGCAACAACCAATCACTCGCCTCCCACGAGGGAATCGGTGTCGTTTTGTCCGCCAGCAGCTGCGTTCGGAATTTGTCCACACATGTCTCACTGTGGTCAAGGTTTTTTGACGTGTGCCAGGCAAGACACAAGTGGTCGGGCCCTCCTCGACGCTTTTTGACATGTCTCAGCGCCAATCCTCCCCCTGGAGGATACATGGAAATCCACACTGTTTCGCCGGCGCTAGCAAAAGGTCTGGCCTCGCCCAACAGAAGTGCAAAGACCCGGGAAATTGTTGCGGAATGTGGAACACGTTCGACCTTCCAAGCGACAAACTGAAGATGGTGGTGGCTGCGCATTCTTTGGTGCTGATTGCAACTCCCCAGTTGCCCGCATTTTCCGCTGGTTTTGTCTTCTCCCCACACAAATCTAACTTCATGCACCGATCGCCCGCAAATGGCGGAGAAGGCGGCATTCGTATTCATGCAAGCTTCATGGGCGCCGGGCCCCACCACACGCCTATCTTGTAAGGATTTCCAAGCTTTGAGGGGGTTGCGGAAAGGCTGCTTATACGTCGGCCCCTTTGGGAGAGGATTGGCACCTGCCTCTCTTTCATCTATTCCGTGGGGAATGGGTAAACCGAGCCGACAGCTTGCCGTCAGGAAGAATACCACACGGTGCCGTGATTGCGAGTGTGGCTGGCCGAAGTCAACCGCCCTCCCGCCGGGATTCACCCCAATCTCGAAAATGCCCCATTGAACCAATTTTGTCCCCAATCCTTGCAGATCGCACATGCTCATGACAACATCTGATTCAAGGGGAGCACACATGCAACTTGGGGCCAGGCTTCACTCGCCAATTGCGCCCGTGTCGAGCCGGCCGTGTCAAGCCCGTATTGGGGGCCAAGAACAGGTTTGGGGGTGACGAGGCTTTTGGCAGGTGCCTACGAAGAAAGTAGCGTCTCGCTCTAAAGCCTATAACATGCTTGCTTCGTTGACTGCTGTCCCAAGGACAGGCCGATCACCCGAGATGCGCGGGTCACAGAAGTGACTGGAGCTGACGGGCTACGCGAGGATTTGCATTGACGCCTCTGCTCACCCTCTCACATGCTTCTCAAGGCCTCGTGTCCGTGATTTCTCAGGGGACAACAATACGAGGAGCACGAATTCAAGTTGTTTTATCTGTGGTAGGTTAGTCTTTCTTGCATGTGAAGGGACTTGCGGTGAGAGGCGAGATCGACGACCCCGCTGGTTGTGACAGGCATATTCCCTGCTATCTCTCTCAGGTTTGCGATATTGAGATAGCAGTCTTGCATGGAAGAACCCCAGCGGTCAACAACAGCCAGTCCAATGACGGCCCACGTCTGTAGCTGAAAGGTCGGAGTGCATGCCTCACCTATGAGCATCAACAGCCAAGTCCCCACGACGAGCAGGGTGTGGATGCAACAGAGCAAACATCTGGCAACAACCTGCGAATCGTGGACAGGTCGACTGCTTCTGATCCAGCTGGTGTTCCGCAACACTTTCCCATTCGCCCGAAGACTGCTGGCGGTCAGTCAGGAGCAAGCGAGTGTCATAAGAGTTGACAGTAACCGTCAGTCCCTCTCAAATGGACGTGTATTGACTCAGCTCTTCCATGTCGAAGGATGCGTTGATCCGCGGCGGTTCCGCATCAGGCTAAAGGTGGAGTGATCAGTCTTCTTTCTATTTCTTGCACATCTCACTATCCAACACTTTTCTTTCTTTCTCTCTCTGGACAAGCCGACGGTACCACTCTCGGCTGCTGAAAGTGTAAGAGGTCCTGGAGGTCTAGCGCGTACTGGACTCAAGGCACACACTCTCCGCATGGATCAATAAGTCACTGTCCACAATTTTCCCCATACATGCAACTATTCTCCGAGGGCTCCAGAGCAACCTACGAATACCCAACGATTCAAGTCTTGTGGGGAAGAAACCAATAGTCCTTTACAGGCTCCAAAAACCGGCTTCTTCCATATCTCCATCGCCTGTCGTCATCAACGGCGATTGGAAGGGTAGATGGACAATTCGGGCTTGAACTTCAGGCTGCAAGTAAGGACTTCCACCCACATATTGGAGATGACCTCGTGTGGCCCAGCATGCGCTTCTTTGGGAATAGACCAAGGTTAAGTATTTTTTGGGTCTTTACCCCAGGTTTTTCATAAGGAGGGAAATACTCCCGCCTGCCCTAGTGGGAACAGTTTCTCCGTTGGAGCGAAACTCCAGCATCATTATTACTACTACAACAAGAGCCTTTTGACATACGGATACAACCTTGGAGAAAATGATGGGAAAGATAGCTTCTGGATCCTTGCGTCATGATATCCTAGAGACGACGGAACAGCAGCCGCTGAGGTGTGAAACCTTGTTGGTGAAGCCAGTACTGCCCATGCCCCTTTTACCCTTTTATCCAGTTGAATACCCAGCCTGTGGTCCCAACAGGTCACATCCCCTTCAAGCGAGCCACGCTTGGAGATGCGAGAATGCATGGAACTCTGCTTGGATCTAAATTCCCCCGGAGACATCATCCGGATATGGAGCATACCTTGACGTTCGCCTGCATGCGTTACTGCGCCAGCCACAGATACGAAAAATGCATCTTCAAACATGGCATTTATGGCGAGCGACTCCACTCCCTCACACTTGGAGGACCATTACCTCACAACTTGCTGGAACGACCCTTGTATGCGGAAGAATTTCGCTCTGATATGGGGCACGTCTGTCAACTGGACTAGATTTTCACTTCCTCCGCTGGCTGGGAGATAGTGGAAAGATCCCTCCGTCACGACGAGACATCTGGCGTCCTAGGATGATGAGGACCCTCGTTGTTGTTGTTGCACGGGCATGCGGCAAACTAACCATGCCACCATCACATATCCGTGTAACCTCATGCTCTAGAAACCCCCAGGGATTCCTGCAAGGGTGACAACTCCAAACTCTCTCGCGTACACTTCCCAGTGGATTGACTTTGCTCTTTCACGGGCAATAGCCCCATATTGTAGAGCATTGACCTCCACAAACCTTTGTCATTGCGATACACTAATTTGCAGGGGGGTTTGTTGCGCCCCACAATCATTCTCAGTCACCTTTTTCTCGCATAAGGATGACTGCAAACCGCTGTGTGGGTGGAGAACAAAGGCAGCTTCATCTGAATTTCCAGCGGGACATTTCGACATGATGTCCTGATAACAAAACCACAACCCCCCCCCCTCTTCAGGTTCCATGTGGCTGGTTGGCAATGTCTTGTGTCGGCTAGCAAGCCATTACACCAAGGCAGCTCCTTGAGGGGGTTGACCATTGACCACTTCGTTCGGCCCGAATTTCCTTGCCCTTCTCTGGATGTGCCCGAAATCACAGTGCCAGGCCATGCGCAGGGACAAGATCCGAAGTAAAAGCTCGCGGCCGCAAGACAGATCTCACATGGTAGGAAGAGTTACACTGAGTTCATGCCATTTGCGTGTGACTATCTAGCAAATAGCATCCCCAGTGCCTAGATTCGGCGTGTCGAAAACTCCACCCTACATCCTCGTTCAGTTGATGCTCGCGTGCTCCTCGTCCTCCTTGGAACGGAACCTTCTATTGCCCACAGCATGGTTTCGTCTACGACAGTCCAAGGATGGCCCATCTACTTCCATGCACTTAACCCGGCCCATGGATCCTGCTCCTGTCCTCCTGCATTCCCATTACTCCCAGCTTGCGCCTGCTGCGTCTGCCCTTGAAGCTGAGGTTGACTTTGCTGCTGACTCTGTTGCCCATACCTGATGGGGTGGGTATAGTTCGCGTACCCGCCTGGTCCGCTCGCCCAAACTCCTGACGGGTTAGGGGGGTACTGTGTCGTGGAGCCTCCGCCAGGTGGGCCCGGTGGTGGAGGGGGAGGGACGTAATTTTGAGGTATGTTGTACGGGGACGGCGAGGGCTGATAAGACGGGTGTTGCTGGTACGGTGGTTGGGACTGGGGTGCCTGTGGATGCGGCGAGGGACTTTGATAGGGGGCACCTTGCGGAGGTGCGCCCGGTTGATGGGGAGGGAAGGGGTACTGAGGATACTGGTGGCTTGGGGAAGTGAATGCCAGTGGTTGGTGACCTTGGCCGGGTTGCGAAAAATATGTGTTCATCGAACCGGGCGGGGGAGAGGTGATTGGCGAGAAGCCGTACGAAGCCGGCTGCTGGTTCGGTGATGTAACGGACCTTTCAGGGTAAGCCATGGGGTTGTAGCCTGAGGAAAGGGGCGCCGCTGCCCCTTGGGCAAAGGCATGTTGGGAACCAACCGGCGACGGGTTCGTTGGCTGCGAAGGAGGCTGCTGAAATTGATTGGAATATCCGTTGGGTATAACCGGCGCCGGCGAATGACGAGGAGGGATCGTAAACCGCGGGTCGGCATTTGTGGTAGGGTGTGTTGGTGAAACCGGTACTGGGGATCTCGACGCAGTTATTGGTGGTAGAGGAGGAAGAGCCGGAGGCTCTGGTTGCGAAGGCGACGTTGGTTTTGGTTCCATCGACAAGCGATTCATCAACTCTTGCATTCGCTTTTGCTCGGCAGCAGCTTGGCCATCGGCTGAACTGTTCTTCGTCTGCTCGATTTGATGAAGCAGTTGCGCTCCCTCTGCTCTGCGGTTGCTGACGAAGGAATCAACGTTCTTCTCCAAACTGTCGACACTCTCCTTCATTTCGCTGTAGAATCCTTGCGCACGCATGAGCCCCTGGATCAGATCCTCGTGCGCGTTGAATATTCTTCGGTACCTGTTCATGACACTACTCTTGCTCTTTTGTACCGCATCGTACCTCTGCTGGTCCGATCGGACTCGTTTGTCTTGCAGCAAGTCGCCGTATGTCTTGGTCAATTCTTTCAGCAACGAGGACTGTTTGTGGACGGTCGAGATGAGCCGATTCTGGTGAGATCGGAACTTCTCGAGCTCGGCTTCGAACAATTGGTTTTCTTGGTTTGCAATGGCCTTCTTGTTCAGAATGAGTACATTTGATATGTCGTCGGTGTGGACTTTCTCCTTGAGATCTTTCAGAACCTGCATCCGTTCGCGTTTCACGAGATTGAGCTTCCGTAGAAGATCTTCGACCTTCGCGATCTGGTCTCCAACAGACAGGCCTCCCTCTCCATAATCCTCGTCGAGAAGCGTACCTTCATCTTCTCTGCCTCTGGTTTTCGACCCAGATCCAGCCTTAATTAATGCTTGTTGATAAAGAACGTCGGCCTCGCCATGTTCACCCGCATTACGCATCTCCTCAAAATCGTTTTCGTACTGGCGCGCTGTCGAAAACAGCTGCGCATCACTGTTTCCAGCCTCGTCCACGGTGTCGCGGTAGCTCTTGATATCGGCCCTGAGCGTTGACGTCAACCTGGAACTCGGCTGCTGCGTCCAATCGGCCCCATACTTGGATCGCATCTTTTCGCAGACACTCTCTTCCATGTCAAGTTGTTTCGTGCTCTTGGACAAACTGTCCAAAACAGTCTGCTTGTCTCTTTGTAGTTGTTCAAAGGCCGTGGTAAAAGGCTGGTGGTTCGCCAGTTCTTGACACCATTGCTCAAACTCCCTCTCGACGCCCATTTCTTGTTCCAGACCGCCCTTCAAAACATTGAGACTGTTGGGAAGCTTGAGGTAATCGAGACTCGCGGCCATCTCCCCGTTTGCTTGTTCGACCTTCTCAGCCTCGGATCGAATTAACTTTGCCTTCTCCTCGTCGTACATACTTGCTGATTCTGTGACTGACATAGGGACAATTTTCTGAAAAATGTCCGGCCCGATGATTCTTTGAATATCTTGTCCTTGATATAGCTCGGACAGGGGAATGGCCTTTGCTGCTGGAACTTTGGTGACCGGGGACAAGGACGCTTCCGGCGGCACTGTTTGATGATAGATGAAATCGTTGTCTTTGACTGAAGATACCAGCTTCTCTTGTACACTCTCCATCTGTCTTCGGGTAATTGACTGCAGCGTTGAAGCGGTGTCGGACCCGAGATTTGAAGCAGAGGGTGGTGATGAGGGAAAAGCCTTTGCGAATGAGTAGGCTTGCTTGCTTGACTTCTCCGCCAGTTGTAATCGCGCCACCGCAGATCCATGCTGACTGGTCTCTTCTTCAGCCAATGCCTGATAGTACTCTGCTAGTGAAGAAAAGTGTAACGTTTTGATCTGAATCAGTTTGAACCAGGAAGGCTCAAACACCCCTCGCGCATGATCAGATTCGAGACCCTCTTTCGCCTGGCTGTAAAGGAATTGTGCTTGCGCGGCAAGTTTGGCCAGTAATGCTGGCTTCTTTCCGTCGCGGATTTGTTTTTCCATAAAGACTTCCTGCGCCTGACCTAGAACAATGTTGATGAGGGTTTTAATGGTCTCCCGGTTCAAATCAGTGGAGGGTGCGTGGAGGAAGTTTTCGTTGATATAGGTGAACATGCCAGCAGATGCCTGAAACGAATGATAGGCTGTCTTGAGGTCCTTGTCCTCGGAGCGATTCTGAGCGGCTGCATGGCAGGACAAGACAGCGGCTATGTTGAAGATGACGGATGCCTTCTCGAAGGCCAGTGAGTATTGCGACGTGGAGGCGCGGGTGAAAGCGTCAAACCACTGAAATGAGATTTTGATGTGTGCTTCGTCGATAGGGAACCGGAGGTCCAGCAGCTCTAGTTGCCCATAGTATCTGTAAAGCAGGTCCCTTCCCGATGCTGAGTCGGCGCCAGCCCCCCTCATGTCTTGCCGTAACCTGTTCAGCGTTCCAATCTCTTCACGATATTTGCTGGGGTCGTCTCCATAGCTTGTGCGTATATACTGAGACAGGGGCTCCTCCCAGCTCACCTCCGATGTTGTCTTGAGCGGACTGGATATCATGGGCGCTTGCACCATCTTGACGGTGGTGGTGTGTGGCGTCGGCAGGAGAGGGACGAGAGCAATCAGAGATTCGGAAAGGTATGAGTTAGCGCATCGAGAAACACAGTTGGAATCAGAGCATTCAGTCGTGAAGAGTCTAGATTCGATGGCTGGCCAGACGGCTCTGAGAGAGACACCTGTAGGACAATGGGGATGAAGCCGATCTACGTCCCGCAGTAAGTGACGAGCGCAGATCCACTCGGCGGTATTGGTCAGGCAGCCTCCCAATCCTTAGTGTTATGCTCGTTACGGAGTACAATGGTCCTCATACTTGACATTTAAACCATTCTCTTCATTGCTACATACTACACTTTTAGGTGGCCTTTTCCAAAACAGCCCTGATAATGGTACAGTAGATGGGAGTCTTGCGGCCATTGGATCGCACCACCTGTAAACATATATATAGGATGCTGTACACTCTTTTTAACATGAACCCCGGGGAATATGCAAGCCCAAAGTCCCCCGCTCGAGGCCAAATTCTATCGCCGTCGCTATGAATCGTGAAAAAGCAGGAGATGGGGTATTGTGGAATTCAATGCTTGACGCAAACAAAATCAACCTGACCCAGATGCCTTCTTGGGCTCATCCTCGTCGTGCGGTTCTGCGTCTTTCTCTTTCTCTTTTCCTTGCTTGTCCGGTTCCAGATTATCATGCTGGTGGATAAGCCGGTGCCAGGTGGACTTCAGGAATCCTTCGTTCTTGTGATCAGCGGCCTTGTTGGAAGGTTTCGATGCTTTGTTGTCTTTGGCAGGCTCCCTGAAGAGATCAGTCAAACGCCTGCTTGTCAGATTGTCCGATCCACTCACTGCTTGTACTTGTCCAAGTTCATGATTCTCTTCGCCGTCTTGTCGCCCATTTCATCAGCCAGCATCTCGATGATTGTCCGCTGGTTAGCCGACAGATATTTGGGCATCTGAACTTTGAACTCCACCCTGAGGTCGCCAGAAGAACCGGCACCGCGTCCACCAAGCCTCTTCATACCCATTCCGGGCAGTGTGATTCTGTCGTTTGTCGATGTCCCCGTCGCTACCCTCACTTTGACCTCTCCATCGAGTGTCGGTACCACCACCTCTCCCCCAAGCAGTGCTGTTGTCAATGGTATCGAGGCAGTATGGAGGATGTCTGCTCCGTTGCGGCTGAATCTGGCATCTGGCGCTACCCGAATGAAGACGTACAGATCCCCGCGCTGAGTTCGAGCTTGCGGATTTGCTGACATTCCCGTAGGAGGATAGTCACCAGCACCGGCCACTCGTAGACGCATTCCATCCTCTACTCCGCCTGGGATATCGACCTCGACGGTTTCCCTCTTGCGAACCACTCCATTGCCAGCGCATGTATTACATTCGGAGCCTTTCGGTATAACCACTCCGGTCCCACTGCAGGCGTCACAAGAGGAAGCCATCTGAAATCCGGCCTGCATGACATGGACCCTTGTACCCGTCCCATTGCAGCGTTTGCATTGCTGTCTTGAAGAGCCCGGTTTCAAACCGTCACCTTTGCATGTGCCGCACTGTACAAGAGGCGTGATGGTGATGTTTTTGGAGACACCTTTTGCAGCATCCATGAAAGATATGTTCGTCTGGACTTCGATATTCTCCCCAACTAGAATCTCTTCTTGGAAAGGCCCACCACTCCTCCGCCCGCCGCGGCGGCCGCCAGTGAATGCGCCAAAAAGATCCTCAAAGTTGAACTCTGCCCCAAAGCCTCCACCAAATCCTGAAAAAGGGTTTGCTCCAGCGGCTCCGGAAAACGGATGCTGACCCCCAGCGCCTGGATGAAAGCCTGCACCTTGGTCAAAAGCCGCTGCACCATATTGATCGTACGTGGCCTTCTTTTGAGGATCGTTGAGCAACTCATATGCTGACTGCGCATCTGTGAATTTCTCCTTTGCGCTAGGATCTTTGTTCGTATCTGGGTGATATTTCTTTGCTAGAGCGTAATATGCTTTCTTGATTTCAGATGCGCTGGCACTCTTTCCAACCCCCAGAGTTGCATAAGGGTCTTTCATCGCTTGCAAATTCGAAGTCGCGGAGAAAGGTCGGACTTGGTTTGAGGGTCCTCGGGGACATATCGAAGATATTCGCTGTGATAACGGTCGACTCGAGGCGGCGGATACATAGAGCCTCCTTGTTTGAGCTTTGCGAGTAAAGTTGTTTCGTTGTCGAGGATGTTGGACTGTCCTTAAAATCGTCCGCACCGGAAGCGGAGTCGTTCCAGCCCAGGCAGCTGGGCCTGCTGTGACATTCATGGAGAGACGTTGTGAGGAAAAATATCACGGATACCAACGTATCTGCATCGAGTCGTCTGGTGAGACCAATTCTTGGAGTCTGAAGGATGGTCTAAGATGAGTGGAATTGATGTGAATGGTGCTGCTTCGAAACTTCCAGGCACTTTTCGGCATTTTTCCTCGGCAGAGTTTCCGCTTCAAGCATGACTGATACAATGATATCAAAGACAGCAGCATGCGAAGCAGAGTATTCGCAATTCAGAGTTGCCTTCACTTTTTGTTCTCCGCCTCGGTCCTTTCTCCTTCATTTTCTTGAGTCGCCTGTATTTGACTCGACGCCTCTAAAATCGCCCTCATTCCCCTTTGCCAGAGCATTTCCTTGCCCTTTCACCCTGGGCAGCTGCTGTCCGAATCTGCCAGAGCATGCTTCGCGGCCAAACATTACCATGGAGGACTGCGCTCCGGGCCAACTCACGCCACATCTGTAGAGACTGCAGGCGACAGCTTCTACAGAGGAATTCCTTTACGACCCCCGCGACTTCTCTGATTCCCTCTAATCGTCTGCCTATCGCTGTCCGTCAGGGATTACAAATACGCCAATTCACTTCTCATCCTGCCCGCAGGAAAGACAAACCTCCAGAAGATGATTCGCCGCCCAAGAAAGAAGAAGCAGATGCAAAGGCAAAGAAATTAGAAAACGAGCTGGACGAAGCACCGCGGACGGAAGATGCTGCTGAATCCAAGAAACCCCCCACTGAGCCGCAGCCAATCCCCCAATCTGCAAGCGATGGCCGACCGGCGGCTGCAGGAGCTAGCGGCAGTGACACAAGCTCAGGGACCGGAGCAAACGCCGGTGCTGGAGGCGACGGTAGCAGGCGCGGGAGGCGGAGCACACAGATATCTAAGCCCACCATTCCAGAGACCTATCCGCAGGTCATGGCCATCCCAATCGCGAAACGGCCTCTTTTCCCAGGCTTCTACAAGGCGATCACTATCCGAGATCCCAATGTTGTTGCGGCGATAACAGAGATGATGAAGAGGGGACAACCGTATGTGGGAGCGTTTCTCTTCAAGGATGACGCTGCCGACAAGGACATTATTGAGAAGATGGATGACGTTCATGACGTCGGTGTCTTTGCCCAAATCACGAGCGCCTTTCCCGTCCACGGTGATGAACACAGCCTGACTGCCGTTTTATACCCACATCGGAGAATCCGAATGACCGCCTTGATGCCCCCATCAACGACAGGAGAGGGGGTTTCGGTGGTTGAAGTGCAACCTGCCAAAGAAACAAAACCGAAATCCGACGGCACAGACAACAAGGGTGATGTTGTTGCAAGCTTTGAGGAACCGAACAAAGAGCAACCCGCCCAACTAAGTGTCTACGAACCTACTGCCTTTCTGCGCAAATTCCCTGTTTCATTGGTCAATGTGGAAAATCTGACAGAAATACCTTTTGACAAGAAGAGCGGTGAAATCAAGGCTCTGACATCGGAGATTGTTAGCGTGTTCAAGGAAGTCGCCAGCCTGAACCAACTATTTCGAGATCAGATCTCTGACTTTAGTGTGTCACAATCCGCTGGAAATGTCCTTGAAGAGCCAGCCAAGCTAGCTGACTTTGCAGCGGCGGTTTCGGCCGGTGAGATCGGGGAATTGCAGGACGTCCTCCAGACAATGGACGTTGCTCAAAGGCTTCACAAGGCCCTAGTCGTGCTCAAGAAGGAGCTGATGAACGCACAGCTGCAATCCAAGATTTCAAAAGACGTGGAGAGTAAGATTCAAAAACGTCAGCGAGAGTATTGGCTTATGGAACAGATGAAGGGTATTCGGAGGGAGCTCGGGATTGAATCCGACGGCAAGGACAAACTAGTGGAAAAGTTCCGGGAAAAGGCTCAAAAGCTGGCCATGCCTGAAGCTGTGAAAAAGGTCTTCGAGGAAGAGCTCAACAAACTTGCACATCTGGAGCCTGCGGCATCCGAATTCAATGTCACAAGAAACTACCTGGATTGGATTACCCAGGTTCCGTGGGGCCAGAGGAGCGCTGAGAACTTCGGCATCAAAAATGCTATGACCGTCCTGGACGAGGACCATTATGGCTTGAAAGATGTCAAGGACCGAATTCTCGAATTTATTGCGGTCGGAAAGCTCCGTGGGACAGTGGAAGGGAAGATTCTATGCTTTGTTGGCCCTCCCGGTGTGGGAAAGACATCTATCGGCAAATCGATTGCGCGGGCGCTGAACCGGCAGTACTATCGCTTCAGTGTGGGTGGACTGACTGATGTCGCCGAAATCAAAGGCCACCGCAGGACATACGTGGGCGCGTTGCCGGGAAGGATAATCCAAGCGCTCAAGAAATGCCAGACCGAGAACCCCCTGATTCTCATCGACGAAGTGGACAAAATTGGTCGCGGTCACCAGGGAGATCCGGCATCAGCGCTCCTCGAGCTTCTCGATCCGGAACAAAACTCCAGTTTCTTGGATCATTACATGGATATCCCGGTCGATCTCTCCAAAGTTCTTTTCGTTTGTACCGCCAACATGACCGACACCATCCCTCGGCCCCTTCTGGACCGAATGGAACTAATTGAACTCAGCGGGTACGTCGCGGACGAGAAGAAAGCCATCGCAGATCGATATCTTGCTCCACAAGCTAAAGAACTTTCTGGATTAAAGGATGTAGATGTCAAGTTGGATGAGTCCGCCATTGAAGAGCTGATTAACAAGTATTGCCGAGAATCCGGGGTGCGTAACCTCAAAAAGCAGATTGAAAAGGTCTACCGCAAGTCGGCACTGAAGATTGTTCAAGACCTTGGGGAAGAAGCTTTCCCCGAAGCAGAGGCTCTCACGGAAGAGGGCAAAGCTGCGCTTGAAGAGAGCAAGAAGGACGAGTCTGACGTCAAAGACACACCGGAAACGATCGAGCAAGAAACAACCGAAAAGCCTCGCGTTGCTCTTCAGGTTCCAGATTCCGTCCATGTTACGATTTCGAAGGACAACTTGAAAGACTACGTGGGCCCTCCTATCTTCACTGCTGACCGTCTCTACGAAACTACGCCACCAGGTGTAGCAATGGGTCTAGCCTGGACAAGTATGGGCGGCGCGGCATTATACGTCGAATCTATCCTGGAGTCTGCTCTTTCTTCATCCAGTCGACCTGGTCTCGAGCGCACGGGCAATCTCAAACCAGTCATGAAAGAGTCGACGTCGATTGCATACTCTTTTGCCAAGCACGTCATGGCCACAAGATTCCCTGACAATAAATTCTTCGACCACGCAAAGATACACCTGCATTGTCCAGAGGGCGCGGTCCAGAAAGATGGTCCTTCTGCGGGTATCACGATGGCAACTTCTCTTCTGAGTCTAGCGATGGACAAAGAAGTCGATCCCGCGTTGGCAATGACAGGCGAGCTGACCGTTACTGGCAAAGTTCTGAGGATAGGCGGACTGAGAGAGAAGACGGTCGCTGCCAGGCGGGCCGGGTGTACAAAGATCCTGTTTCCGAAGGATAACTGGGGGGATTGGTGTGAATTGCCAGAGGTATGTCTCTCCCGTTTCTTTTCGGCTGCGTCGTCCACCAGGCTGGCATACTAACATGATTTGAACGGCAGAATATCAAAGAAGGAATTGATGGTCACGCGGTTGATTGGTATGATGAGGTGTTCGACATTGTCTTTCCCAATGTCCATGCGGAGGAGATCAACTCTCGATGGAAAGAAGCTTTAGAGCGAAAAGAAAAAGACGACAAGGGAAAGGACAAAGATGGTAAGAACGACGATGATGACTGAGTTGAGTTGCAAGGACGAAGCTTGCTTCTAGATTCGCAGGCCACTTCTCTTGGGTACTGGAATAGTTTACGGTCATTCAGCATTCAGCTTCGGTATGACATTGTCATGTGGCATTCAAAATAACAGGGGATCCGGAACGGGACATATGCATAGATGTATAGACCGGGGCTTTCCGATACTGGCGATCCTTCGAACGGATGTACCTGCGGACGAACAACAGCATTTGAGCAATACAGGAGGACAAAGGAGAGAGTGAGGAGGGTCATGACGAACACTGTGAAGATAGTCGACGGTTTCCGGGAGGATTTAGTACCATGGTTCATGGTATTTAGTTGGTTACGATATGGAATCCCTTCTCTGCTGCCAGCAATGTATATTACTTATGATCAAGGTCAAGCAGGGTGTCTCAAGAACCGACACTGTATTATTCGGTCCCGGATCACAGAAGTATCTCAACAGTATTACATTTGTCCTTTACCACGGAGCAATGCCTTCAAGGAAACCAGAAGAGTACCTCTGGACCGATCGGGCCGTTGCTCATCGGACTGTGTATAACCAAACTTGGCATTACCTTTAGAGTGGTCTTTTGGCGAAGTCGCTGAGAAACCAAAATCCCTGCCACAGCCCTAGCCTTGCAGAAGTGGACGACTCACTCTGAGTATTACTGGAAGTAGAAGGTGGTCTAGCTTCGAAATCACTACTCCCCGAGGCGGATGTTGCATTGTGGCGAGGTCTATCTAGGCCTGATGTGCTTCCGTCATTTGGACTTGAGCGACACACGTTCGATCTTTCATGGCCAGCATTTGTTGTACGAGGTACTCGGTACCTACCTAGGTAGATAGAGATGAATGGCTAGCGCTGACATGGCGTCAAACAGTGGCTGGAATGCTTTCGCCGAGTATTCCTGGTGTACGAGGTACTTGGTACTTGTGCTGAAGGCGAGCAGCCTACGAGACTCGTAACGAATGGATTTGGCCACGACCGAAGTATTTCCAGGGGCAAAGCCAGACCAGATCCCACGGCGCACGAGACAAGTATAGGTCTCAATGATTCAGCTTGCCAAGTCGGAGAGTACTGCCTAGCTCATGGATGAGTTTGCCATGTATCAAGTGCTGACACCTTGTACAGTATTCCCGAGGTTTTGGCTTCATTGGGATAATGCGACCCGATATTGTCTCCTGCGGCGATCCCTAACAATCATCGCAAGAAGACATGGGTGGTGATGGCCGAGATTGTGCTTACCAACGGCACCAAAGCTTCATCAAATCAAGCGCTGCTAAGCCTGCTGGGCCCCGCCTTGTAGGGGCAATTTACACCTACGAGGCTCGGAGGATTCTATTCCTGTCATCACTAAACTTTTAGTAATGCTTCCTGGCACCAGCAGGTACTTGTTAGCTGCATACAGTAGGAGGATTTCGCTGTCGGCGACGGATCCTTGACTCGTGGCACATCACCACCAACGCTAACAGCACGGTGATTGTGCTCAAAAGTCCCTCAAGCACAATACCTACCTGGCACGGGCCTCTATCAAAGTAAAGGGTTGAAACATAAATACAAGGTAGGTGGCCTGCGATTCGGACATGTTCTCCCATCATCAACAATCCAGAACACAACAACACTCACTAACACACCAACTTTCCTTTTGTTCATTTCCATTCAGTCGCTCTTTTGCACCTCCTTTCTGCCATCACTTCACATCCAGCATCCTAGTATTTAGTATTCCAATCCGCCAATCGAGATGAAGTCATTCGTTGCTGCCTCGCTCCTTGCCCTTGTCGGCGCCGCTGCCGCTGCCCCTTCAACCCTCCGCTTCGCAAAGCGCGAGAATCCTGATAACAGCTGTGGACCCGACCCTGGCTCAGCTGCCATTGCCAATGCCATCAACCAATGGAACAGCGATGTCGTCACGGTCAACAGTTTCTTGGATGAGGCCGCATCGTTAGACACAAGCACGCTGCTGGTCGACCTTGAGACCGCCTTGACCGCAGCCCAAGACGAACCTAATCAACTAAATGTCCTTGCCTGCGAAAGTGACGTTGCAGGGACACCTGCTCAAACCGCAGCGAACGACCTCTTCAATGGCTTCGAGAACAATGTCCTGGTCCCGCTAGGGAACATCATCGCTAACCCGAGCGATGCAAACAATGTCGCGATGCAGCTACAGACCATCAATCAATTCCGATGCTGCCACGTTCTTCCGGACCTTGATGTTCTGTGGTCGGGCACGGCGGAGGATGAGGGTGTTGCCAATATTGTGCCCATCACTGCCCCAAGACCGAATACCTGCGCTTCTATCAGCTGCTAAAGAGACGTTCTTGCTTCCTTCTCACGGTGCAAGAAGACAACGACACAAAAGCCAGCATGAGATGCGGCCATACGATGAGGACGAACGCGGGATTTGAATGCATTGGAGTTGGAATGGTACGGAAGGACACGTTCCACGGCGACAGGGAGCGTGGCAAGGATTGGGTTGGAACAATATTCATTTGATAGACAAAACAAAAAAGGTCTTATTCCTAAGTATTAGACCTAAATGCGCAGAGTTATCATTCCCTAGAGCCATCCCGTACTTCCAAAGTTGATCAAAGCGTTGTGTAATAATACTGAGAAGAAGGCTTCGACGATCTCGCGAGAGTTCAAAGTCGGCGGAATGATCGCCAAGGTGCCAACCACTGCAACGTTCCTCGCCTCCAGCCAATCGGCCTCGTTTATCTTCGGAGCCTTGGCTTGGCAAGCATTTGCATCGAAAAGCCGCAGTTTGCAAAACTTCGGTGCGGACTGCGCCGACTCGACGTTATTACTTCCACTTCCTTTTCACCACTTGATCACGACGTGACAGTACATTCTGACGAGACGCAGACATGCCCTCAACACACAAAAAGGACAAGCCGTGGGACACGGACGATATAGACAAGTGGAAGGTTGGGAATCCCTCGTCATTGTCTTGCCTCCACTGACTTTTGACCAGATCGAAGAATTCAAGCCGGAAGACAATGTCGGCGGCACCTTCGCAGAAGAATCGTCTTTTGCGTGTTTGTTCCCAAAATATCGAGAACTCTATCTGAAGCAGGCCTGGCCGTTGGTCACGAAAGCGTTGGAGAAAAGAGGGATCGCATGTACACTCGATTTGGTCGAAGGCCGTATGGAAGTGCGGACCACCAGAAAAACCTTTGATCCAGCCGCAATTCTTGATGCCCGAGACTTAATCAAGCTGTTGGCGCGAAGCGTACCTGCTCCACAGGCCATAAAGATCCTCCAGGATGACATGGCCTGCGATGTCATTAAAATCAGAAATCTGGTTCGGAACAAGGAGCGATTTGTCAAACGCCGCCAGCGGCTCCTGGGACCCAATGGCTCCACTCTGAAAGCCCTCGAACTTCTCACCAATACCTACATCCTCGTCCAGGGAAACACAGTCAGTGCTATGGGAGGCTATAAAGGTCTAAAAGAAGTGAGAAGGGTGGTGGAAGATTGCATGAACAACATCCACCCTATTTACCATGTCAAAGAACTCATGATCAAGCGAGAGCTAGCAAAAGACCCTGCTCTGAAGAATGAAAGTTGGGACAGGTTCTTACCCAACTTTAAGAAGAAAACTCTGAGTAAGAGACGCGTTCCTCACAAGGTCATCGACAAGTCCAAGAAGGTCTATACACCCTTCCCGCCGCCGCAGGAGAAGAGCAAGATTGACCTGCAGATCGAAAGCGGTGAATATTTTCTTGCTAAGCAGGCCAAGGAGAGGGCCCGAGAACAAGAACGGCACGAAAAACAGAGACAAAAGAAGGAAGAGAAGCAACGGGAGCGAGAACAAGCATTCATTGCCCCGAAGGAAGATATGGTGCAGAAAAGGACGAAGAGGAAGAGTACGGACGAGGATGACGGACCCAGACCAAAGAAGTCCAAAAAGATAGAGGGATGAGTGAACACTTCGACAAAAGCTTCGCTCATGTCCACGGATTGAGTGGACGATCAGCTAACATTTAGGCACGGGCCTCACGCGGTCAAGCTGCAATCTGCTATCGCGTCAGCCGTGCTATCAGTCTGGTCTCGAACCGGCCACCAGAGTTGAAACATCATAGACCGAGAAACTCATCCCTTCTCTCAACTCAACCATTCCGAGCCCGGAGTCAGAGCTCGCTGCAGCTGCCAAGAGGGATCGAACTTCAGCCCTTAGTGTCTTTGCGATATCTCGCAGTCTGGAACGCCTCCCGAGAGACACGGCACCCACTCCTCCATGTTCTGAATGGACACTTTTGGACGTGGCTGGTCACGGCCAAGGGAAGGACCCAATACTCCAGCAAAGCCTGCAGACGTTACTACCCTGCGCGCTCAAACATGCATTACCCGCAAAGTGGACAGCGCTGTGGTCAAATACCGTCCGGCTACCCAAGGGCGAATCAGCATGTCAACAGGAACCGTTTGACAAAGTTTCTCAATTCTCACGCCATGCTATATTAGTCATAGTGAGGATTTTGATGCTCCACACACTTTGCCAACGCTCTTTCTAGCGGCCTTCTAGAAATGTCACTAGTTTGCTCATGGGTTTTGGATCAGCCACCAGCGAAGCATCAATATTCTCATCTTCCAGCGCAATCTCAGCTTGCTCAACAGCCGTAATCGGGCGATTCCAGAGTCTCGTATGCTTGTCATTCGAAAGTTCTTATTCACGCCAGCAAAAATTTGCATCAGTGGATGTCATATTGGATCGGTCCATACCCACGCGATGGCATGCACTAGAGGGATGAGGAGCGATATCCTGACATCAGCATCTTGTGGCCATCATGGGTATGCTGTCGCCCTAAGGTCTAGACGTCGGCGTTTGATCTTGCATACTTTAGCTGAGACTTGCGTCCGGCGTTAGTCGGTCCTCCTCGCCGACAGCTGTGAGGTCCCAGTCTGAGGGCCAAGTTGCGCTCTCAAGAAAGTCGTCCAATTATCAGGAGTGGATCCCGGTCCCAAGCCCGTCTGAGACATCTTATTGGGCAAATAGGTCGTCAGCTTCTGCAATGTGTGGCGGTGTCTCGTGGTGTGATGCATGGGTTTGCAGGGCCTTCGGGGAAACTCGAGCTTGGAGAAGCGCCGAAGCTGTCTTGGCTGAGGGGAATAGTTTCGCCGTTCCGGATAGTAGCCTTGTGCTCGCTCTCTACACCCCCCTGGATGCCAGCCAATCAAGACAGATCGCTCCGATGTGATATTGAGGAGAACAGCTGGGCACACGATTCTGGTTCGAGGGTGGACCACGTTCTCCACTTACCTGATCTGCTGCACACCCTAATTGTCGCTGTTATGGAGCGACGTGCAGGTAACTTGACTAGAACGGGTCAGGGCCAGGCTTTGCCCAAGAGGCTGGTCGGCCAAATTCGCCCTGTCAGGCGCTCGCAACACCTCTGCTACACCAAGCCAGCACCGAAATGCTCCAGAAGGAGAGCTCCGGGGAAGCTCTGACAGAAAGCTATCTCTCTCAGCCAACGACAGACATTGCCCTCGCATCAAGTATATAAGACGGTCCAGTCATTCCCCTTGCAATGCTTTCCGTCCATCACGATCAACAGCATCCTCACTCATTCCGGACTTGCAACCATCAGACTCTACGAGACCCTTTGGGTGACCTCACTCTAACACTTTTCCCCGCCTTCGAGCTACATATACCTCCCTCTATCCATCTATTTTCCACAGGCAGCTTTGTGCCTTTGCTGCTCGACCCTTTCGCCATAACCCAAAAACTAGCCTACTGCTCTCTTGAAGCACGCCGACATCAGCATCACCAGCGTCATTATGGATAACGAATCGATCGAACGTCAACCATCCAACGCTGATGCAGTCGCCAACCAACAGCGCAAGAGCGTAGCCAACAGAGGCTTGACAGGCGCTTCAGCTCTCACTGTCAGGCAATCTATATTCCCCATCACACTGGTCACCGTTCTCTTTTTCCTCTGGGGCTTCGCATATGGTCTCCTCGATGTGCTGAACGCCAAGTTCCAGACATCCCTCAACATCACTGCCGCCAAGGCAGGTGGTCTTCAAGGATCATACTTTGGAGCGTACTTCATCGGGCCTCTGACATACTCTGGCTGGCTCGTCCGCAGATTTGGCTAGTAAGTCTTCTTGTTTTGCACGACTGTTTTATTTTTGAAAGAGTTGTTTTGTGGTTCTAGCAAGATTCAGTAGAAACTAACCCATATTCGCAGTCGCTGGACCTTCATCACTGGTCTGTGCATCTACGGCGTCGGTGCCCTGATGTTCTGGCCCTCGGCAGTCTACAAATCCTTTGGCGGCTTCTGTGGTTCTCTGTTCATCGTGGGATCAGGCCTGTCTACACTGGAGACGTCTGCAAACCCCTTCATCGCCACTTGCGGACCTCCGAGGCTGTCAGAATTCCGCCTTGAGCTCTCGCAGTCTTTCCAGGCTGTCGGTTCCGTTGTGGCTCCTCTTCTGGCTTCTCGCGTTTTCTTCAAGAACACGGATTCTACCGACCTCTCCCATGTCCAATGGACCTACGTCGGCATTGCAGCCTTCGTCTTCTGCCTTGCGGTCGTCTTCTTCTTCAGCCCTCTCCCGGAAGTTACCGATGCCGATATGGCTCTTCAGGCGGAGCAGTGCTCTGACTTGACTGGGTACCAGGAAAAGCCCCTCCGGAAGCAGTACAAGCTGTTTTTCGGAGTCGCCGCGCAGTTCACATACGTCGGTGCCCAGGTGGCAGTTGCCTCCCAGTTCATCAAGTACGCTCAGGAATCGGCGGGACTCTCGGCCGCCACTGCTTCTGACCGATATGCCATCGGTCAAGCACTGTTTGCCATTGGGCGATTCGCTGCCGCCGGATTGTTCATGTTCGTCAAACCTCGTCTGGTCCTCATGCTGTTCATGACCATGATCATGATTTTCATTGCATTGGCGATAGGTTTCCACGGAGAAGCCGGTGTCGCCTTCCTCTCGTTGGTGCTGTTCTTCGAGTCCTGCATCTTCCCGACCATCTTTACTCTCTCCATCCGTGGCTTGGGCCGACATACCAAGAGAGGGTCTTCCTGGATCGTGGCCAGCGTCTCGGGCGGTGCCTTGTTTCCGGCACTTACTGGGCTCGCGGCTGACCACATGAGCTATCACAAAGCCATGTGCGTTCCCTTGGCCGGGTTTTTTGTTAGCTTCGTCTTCCCCATTTACTTGAACACGGTTTGCAAGAAAGAGTTGGACGGTTTCCGCGAGACCAAGATCGGCTACGTTGATGAGAGACGGGGAACCATCATTGGAGATATCACTGATATCGAGACATTCGACGCTATGGAGAAAAGACGGTCGGTCAATGTCGAGAAGGTGTGAGCATGACGCGGTGAAACAGGCGGCAATGAAGATACGGCCTCTATGCTGATGGGCAATTCTTTACTTCTAGGGGTGCCACTGTTGAGTGGAAGGATGTTTTGATGAATGGCTACAGATGATACCAATATTGTTGTGTTCTACATTGGCACTTCTTCACCCCTAGTCGCAACCACACAAAGTACTTCTTTGTAACCCATTTCTATCATTTCCGTCTGCAAACTGGAGACTGGTTTCTCTGCTGCGAAGAGGGCAGAGGGCCGATGGAAGACAGACTTGCGCCCTGAGCTGATCATGGCAAGCGGGGTCAGTAGAGTGAAAATGCAGCGGTAGCAGAGCTAACGCAGCTGCGCAACGAACAAACGTCACGATGGTCATGCGGCCTCGTGAGTCTGGATCGTTCTTCGTATTTCTCCTCGGTCGACCTCGTATATCACGAAAATATATTGGAGCAGGCCCGCAAGGGACAGGGGGTGACAAATGTCAACGAGCGGGGTTCTATGTATATGATTAGACGATGACTTTGGCCCATTCTTGGCCCCCTTTTTAATAGAACCATCAGAGCATACGGGAACAGAAACGTTGCTCATTACGAGGCTTGACCAGGAGCTGTATGCGGGATTTTCGACCCATATCTACCGTGGGTTCCAAGAGTTCAACAAGAGCTGGGGGTGATGATACTAGGTAAGTGTCCGCCCTTCACACCAACGTGCACTGGACCGGTCGCTTAGTTGCGTATATCCATGGTTCTCAATATCAGTCGTCAGTCTGACGCCCAGTCGTGATGGGGGGGACCGGACTCTCCGTATTCTTACGAGGCAAGCTCGAGTCCCGCCAGTCGTTGAACGTGGTCCCTTAGGCCTAGACACTCCGTTTTGGAAACTCGTTTACAAGATTAGGTCGTGGTTTCTGTCTATCGGTCCTGATCGACCCGGCTGGTCCAGCCTGATTGGAGGACCAGAATGAACGAGCGTAAAGAGCTGGCCTTATTGAAGACAGAACTGTCAGCTACCCTCATATATGTAACATTTCCCGCACAGCCATGTTGTCCCTGTACGTCCAAGGCCAAGTCGCACAGCCTCTTGACCGAGACGTGGGATTCTGGCATTGGCTCGCGTCACGCCCCTTCCAGGCGAGCTGAGGGTGTGAGTCCCCGTCGGGGTCGAAAATGCTTTTAATCCAGCCTCATCCACCTGGGAGGTGTCTTTCTCCAAGGTCTCAACCACTAGTCAAAAACGCGCGCGCGCTCTAGGCATAATGTACGGCCGGGACCCTTACACCTTCGTCAACGGCTCGCACATCCCCTCCGTCGTCCTTGGAGTGATCACCACGATTCTCAAATCCTGGGACCAGGCCTCGACAGACTACGAGTACATCACTGCCTTCCACCAACCCCATGGGACCCTGCATGTCGCGCCCGAGCCCGCCATCGGCGAAGCCGCCATGCGAAAACTGCACGACGACATCATTCACCCGATCAATGGACCTGTCGTGGCTTTGCAACACTACCTCGACCGTGTCTTCATGATGCCCGGCTCACCAGAGGGAAAGACAGAGACGGTCTTCACAGGGAAACTGACCAGTGTCTTGAAATCTGGGGAGGAGGTTACTACAGACTTCGCCACCTGGATCGTGGCGTCTCCAAACAGTGCTGGGGAGCTCAAGGTGGAATTGCTGAGGGTGTTTTCCGACACGAGCGAGTTGATGAAGAAGATTGGCGACATGATGGCGGTGAAGAGCTAGAGTTTTCTGGGAAGAAAGTATGCTGTATCGTCGAGCAGGACCGAGTAAGGACTGAGACTCGAGAAGTTCATTGTGGACGCACAGCATCACTCCAGAAACGCCTTACAGGTGACGCGGGTGTTACCCAGGTTGGAAAGCGAGATATTGGTGAAGGCATTCGCTTCCATACTAAACGATCTTACATTTCTATCATGACGTACTCCCGTTCAAAATCTGGCAAGGCTTTTCTTTCGCACAGGACTTCCCCCTGACGAGGCTGTCGCGAAAAGGGATGGACAGGGAGACACGGACACGACGCGACGCGACGCGGACAAATTACCCCCGTTTTCGATGACGGCTGAGCATTCTGGCCATAGCACCCAAAAACAAAATTCCAAGGGGTCGCAATACACATGAGATGGCATAATATATCATATCTTCATTCTAGTTCATACATTGTCATGTTTCTTTGGCATTTCACGTGCCTTTACTGGGCTTTTGGGGCCCGCCCACTCCAAACGTCCTGACTCTGCCAGGGCGAGATTGACCAGCAATGCTACAATTCACGCACGTACCGCGACACCACGCGACCCAGGCCTAATGGCCAAACGAAGTATGCGTGCTGACCTTGGTAAGGTGCTTGTGTTCGCGCTGCCAGCGCTTCGAGTATCGCACGCCGAAGCCGGTTCGGAACACCTCCCGGACCGTTTCCAGCGGCATTCCCTTACACTCTGGGTAGCAGAAGATGATGAACAGCCAGCCCACGAAACAGATGGCTGAATACAAGCCGAACGCTCCACTTGGCGTTGCGCCTTTCATGATGGAGAGAAAGGTGGATGCGATGATGATGTTGGTGCTCCAGCATGTCACGGTATTCTGTTGGAGGGGGACCCAGGATGTCAGTGACTATTGTGCCGGTGCATGTGCAAGGTGGAACAGGGAGTGCAAGGAGAACTTACCAGCATGGTTCCAAGAGCTCGCACTTCGAGGGGGATCAGCTCGGTGCCGATCCACGCGATCGTAGCCACTCCGGACGAGAAACAGGCCACGTACACGATGATGGCGACGAGCACCAGCGTCGCCGGCCAGCCAATATGGTCGGACTCGACCACGAGATCCTTGCTGATCGGAATATAGTGGAATGACACGGCGGCGATCATCATGCAGATCGACATGCCGAGGACGGTGACACACAGGAGCACGCGGCGGCCAAACTTGTCGACTAACACTAGGTTGACGATGGAGAAGATGAAGTTGGTGCCAGATACCGTGATGGCGACTGCCGTGGCATTTGTGAAGCCGACCATCTTGAAAAGGGTCGCCGCATAGTACATGAGCTGTGGTGGAGGTGTTAGAAGAGCGGGTAACTTGTCTCGGGTGCAAAGGAACACTTACCGTGTTGAACCCGCCCAACTGGCTGATGGCCATGACAATGCAAGCGGTGAGTACTGCACGCCCGGTCGCTGGAGTGGTGAAAATTCGCTTCAGCGTGGTCCAGAGCGATTCCTTGGTCATTGCTGAGGTTACTTCCTGGAGGGACATCTCGATCGACTTGATCTTGGCCTGCCGCTGCTCGCTCGTCGAGGTAGGATAGATTTTGAGCAACACCTGCTCTGCGGCCTCGTGTTTACCGTGGGAGACTAGTTGGCGTGGTGATTCCGGGCAGAGCAGAAGCAAGCCGGCCAGGGCAATGGGAGGCGCGGCTCCGATTGCAACAGTGGCTCGCCATCCCTCACCGTGGACATGCTGAAAGCCAGCCCCGATAGCAGACGCGACCAGTTGGCCAAAGGTGACGCTCATGTTATTGAAGGCGATCATTCGACCCCGGTATTTGGCAGGTGCCAGTTCCCCGACTGTAGCAGATACTGTCAGCAATTCCTAGCCCATGTACCTCTTTTGACGGGGTGTCATCACTGACTGTAAAGCGGGCAAATCATGGCCGCAGAGCCAACGCCCAAGCCGACCACGAAGCGGCCTACCGCGAATTGGACCAGATGATAGGCGCAGGTCTGGAGGACGGTGCCAATCACGAACAGAAGACAGGCACTCCAGATGGGCCATTTGCGGCCGTATCGATCGGCTATCAGACCGGCAAACACAGCGCCCACGAGGGCTCCGCCGCTGGTCAAGGATGTGACCAGTTCTTGCTCATCCGAGCTCAATTCGTGGCCGAGCGACGTTCCCATCGTGACGAGGACTGAAGAGATGTAGCCAGTGTCATATCCTGAAGCAAAATGTTAGTGTCGAGTGATATATATTTAGGAGGCGAGCGCATCGTGACATACCGAACAGGAAACCTCCAACAGAGACGGTAATTGAGATTAGCCATGCTGCCGTGGATGCAGCGGTCGCCTCGATGCCACTGAGTTCTGTGACTGCTTCCGAAGTGCTCTGTCTACGTTCAACCGCCTCGACTTGGTCGGCGCCGTATTTCTCGACTGACTTTTCAGACATGCTGGTGGCAGGAGGCGTGGTGCGGTAGAAGGAGAGCTGAGCAGCAGAAGAGTTGAGACTGAGAGGTGTAGAGTTTGTCTCACGATGTATGATTGTTGTGTCGACGAGAAGGCATGCCTTTGAAGGAAGATTTGCGATCCTTTAATAGTTTTGGTCCTCATGGTTCTCACGGATTGAGACTTTAGACTTCGATGATCCTTGCGCTGAAGACAGCCAGCTGGTCCACAGTGGCCGGAACTCCAGAGAGCCAAAAGTCTATGGTGGCGGAGAAAGATAGCACCCATCAACCCCATGGGGCGAGGGCGACAAATGGTCGAGGCAGTCGACTTCCCCAGCTGGAGTTACCGGGACGGAGAAAGATGGCTCTTTTGAGACGATATCCACGGGGAAAGACTTCCTAAGACTTCGTCTTCGGCTCATTCGCCGGCTGTTGCCAAACGGCGTTTGTCCGTAGGGAGGCCACCGCCGGGAACACTTCGTGTCTTATGTACTGCCTCTGTTCTGGACCTTCCTAACATCCTGAATTGGCGGAATAGGACGGCCTCAATTCATGGGTGGGGGTCGTTTACAACAAGTCTTGATATCGCAACAACGGTAACTGGCAACTGCTCGTCTGGTTCTAGCCAACGTAGGCCGCGTCGACAGGATTCTGCGTGTGCTTCTACCCCATGCATTTTGCTTGCATGAGACGATTTGTGGGATCCGGGTTCCTTGAGCACGGCGGACGCCGGAGGGCCATACATCCCGCTCATAAGTCTTCGCCACTTGGCAAGACATGGGCGCGTTCGCACAAATAATCAAAGATGAGACGATACTCGGACAGTTGGACTTTTGCCTGGTAGCGACTTCAATCTTTCCATTAGCCTCCCACGAAGCCGATATGGTCTATAAATAGAGTATATTTCGCTGGAACAATTATCAAGCAGATGTCGGCACTCTCCTCCAAACCTTGACCGGCATCTCTCCCAGTAGCCAGTTCATGGTCTCCAACCTCTCGATCTCCCAATTTGGATGAGGTAGGGCAAACTCGTATCTCCGGAGCATAGAAGCCAGCACCACGGTTTGTTCCAAGTAAGAAATGTTGCGACCGATACATCCTCGAGCGCCGGCAGAAAAGGCAAGGAAATAGGGTTGAAGGTTCTTGCCTTCTTCACCGAGCCACCTTTCGGGGATATACTTGTCAGCCTGAGGGAACCAGTCTTCGTTTCTGTGAGCGACCAGAGCCGACATGCCCACCGAAACACCCCCAGGAATATAGTCGTCCAGGATACTCAGACCCTCGGGAGGAGTCTCACGGGGAAGCGCGTGGGGAGTTGGTGGAAACAATCGTAGAGACTCGTCCAAACAAGCCCTCAGGTATGGCAAATGCTTGACCCGATCGTAGGGGACCACGGCCTGCATTCCCTCATCCTCTAGTGCAGCCTCAAGCTCTTCGACGAGCTTTTTCATCGCTTCAGGATTCTTGAGTAGTTGGTACAGGACATTTGCCATGGCAATTGCAGTTGTGGCACTGCCTGCGTTCATCATAATGCTCACTTCAGCCACAATTTCGCCCCATTCGAGATTGTTAGGGTGACCGTTTTTGTCCTCCATAAGCGCCTGGAAGAAGTCGTCCAATTTCTCGCCCCGACGATATCTGTCCAACCGGCGATGGGCAAGCTCGAGAGGAATGCCATCCCAGTCCCTACCAAGCTTTCCCATCCGTCCATAGAATGGGATGGCGTTGGACAGCTTGTTGATCAGAGGATACCACTTGTATGGCCATACCAGTAATGATTGTTTCCGAGCATTCTGGTAGAGGCACTCCCGAAAATTGCATTCATATTTGGTGCCGTCGGTTCTGCGGCCTGTGATACGGTCGTGTCCCCTGTCGAGGAATCCCAGTTTCTCCGACAAGCCAATATCGGCAATGGCATCCAATGTAAAGTAGTTGGTCCACTCTCGGTAATCCACATTCAACTCATGGGCCTCGGGTTGTCGTGCGGGTTTCAGAGGAGCTGTGCAGCACCTGTCGAAGTGTGCGATCATCCGGGCTGTCTTGTCCGCCACCTTGTGTTCCCAGCCTTCCAAGTTCTTCAAGGCGTAGGCCGATGAGAGAACCTTGCGTTTCCTTGCATGTTCTGGTTTATCGATGACGTCGGCAAGGTGGAAGTGGGAGCCAGCGGTAATGATGTAGGAGCCATCCTTTGTGCACTTTGTGTTGTGCCCGTAGATGTCCTTGATGGCTCGAGGGTCCGAGTAAGACAATGTAGTCGGCCCAGTCCGAATGACGGGATGTTTCCTATGGAGTTCGACCAAGCGAGATGATCGAGCACCCGTGTGTGCCAATACCATGAACGGGATAGATGAGATGCTAGACAACGGAGTCATGGTCGGAAACTTTCGAAGTCCTACTCTGTAAGTTGAGAATGCGCTCACCAAGTTCAGATGTGAAGTGCGAGCTCACCTTTAGGATCTCTGAAGTAGACCACGACTGGATAGACCAGGAAATAAAGGACGCAGCAAGTCCCCAAGAGGACTGCATAGGGGGCAGCTGGCATCGTGTACATGCTGAAGGTGTTGGGCAAAGAGTTGAACAGGATCAAAGTGAAGCGAGTCAACCAGGACAATGCATAATATAGACAACCACCACCAGAGCACCTCGTCCCATCATATTTATCTTCTCACGTTTGATCACAATGTGCCCCGCCATCTCCAGCGCAGTCCGCCCTCGAAGGGGGATCCATTGTTTCGAGAGATGGAGAAGCCGGAGATGGGAACAAGAGATGAGATCTGGAGAAATTCTAGAAAATATCAGAAGGGAAATCTTTCGCCGATGCCATGGTTGTTGATGGTTCGTTGACGGCGGGACGCGGAGAATTGGTGAATCCATGGTGATCGTCGACTCTGCCTGCGCCACCGTCAGTTGCAGGGGCCTTCAAGGTTGATGGGTGCAGTTCCCTTGGCCGGTTCCAGCTCTGCTCTAGCTCTGCTCAATGCCTGTCAGTCGCTCCAGGGCTGCAACATCGCAAGAGGAAATTTTTCGCCGGAACAAGCTGCAACTAAGCAACTCAATTACCACTCACGGATCCAATCAAGACTCCCTTCGTGGCATGGGATGGACTGGCCCTCATGAGCAGTCCTCGGTCGATTCTCCAGACTCTCGAGATGTGGCACCGAACCCGCTTCTCGAGAATCCCGCAACGCCTGCCAGGCAGTTTTCCTCCGCCTCCATCTTTCCTCAAGGGATGAGGCTCACGAATCCTTCTATAGTATATATCTAAATTGCCCGTCGTCCATTGCCCTTGGGTCAACATGACGCTACAGTTCAACTCGCAGATTTCACCATGGCTTCTCAGGTCTTGGAAATCTCATCGATCCCGCAGCTCGTCGGGCTTGTTACGAGAAGCCTGCAGCCCACCTCCATTGCAGATTATGCGGCTTTGGTCATTGCGGCCGTGATTGTTGCGGGATACCTGACCAGAGGGGCGTTGTGGGATAAGCCAGATCCTTACTATCACATCTACTTTGAACGGCCGCAACAGCGTGACGGCGTTGTCAGCTCGCAAACCCAGGCAGAGCGCAATATCGCAAAGAAGCTATCTGAAACCAATAAAAGAGCCGTCATCTTTTGGGGTTCTCAGTCTGGCACAGCAGAGCGCTTTGCAAATCACCTTGCAAAGGAAGTGCAATCGCGATTCGGCCTTGGTGCTCTTTCTGCCGATCTGTCGGACTACGACTCGGATTCCATCGCTCAACTGAACGATGGACAACTCGCAATTTTCATCCTCTCAACGTACGGCGAGGGTGACCCCAGCGACAATGCCCATGGCTTTTGGGACTGGATCAACAATGGATCCCCAGATGCTCTCCCGGGCCTACAGTATGCTGCCTTTGGTCTGGGAAACAGCAACTACAAGTACTACAACCGCGTGGTCGATGTTGTGGTCGAAGCATTAAATGGCAAGGGTGCAAGCCTTCTTCTGCCGGTGGGCAAAGCAGACGATGCAGAACGCTCCACCGACGAAGACTTCCTTTCATGGAAAGACGACCTCTTTGCCGTGTTCCGGAACAGGCTGGGCATGGAAGAACAAGTGGTCGAGTATCAACCGACTATTATCGTCACCGAAGACGGCTCTCTAACACCAATCGACCTCCATCACGGCGAGCCCACCCATTCTAGAGACAACCCCAAAGCTGCTGCATCTTGCTCGCCTATTCGACCCTTGTCAATCACGAATCCCCGAGAACTCTTCCAATCTTCCGAGCGAAACTGTGTCCATATGGAGCTCGACCTTGCGGAGCACCCTGAGATCCACTACAAAACGGGCGACCATCTTGCCGTATGGCCCACGAATCCGGAATCAGAAGTCGAAATACTTCTTTCAGCTCTTCAGCTGCATGATCGTCAAGACATTCCGGTCAGCCTCAAATCCGTCGACACTGCAACCAAGCTCCAAATCCCCACCCCTACCACAATTCGCGCTCTCTTCCACCGATATCTGGAGATATGCGCGCCTGTATCACGGAGCACCATTCAAGGGCTTGCGGCGTTGGCTCCGTCGCCTGACGCAAGATCGTGGGTCCTCAAACTCGGCCAAGACAAGGACGCCTACTTGTCGTACCTCCGAAATAACCACCTGACACTGGGCCGTCTTCTGAAGTTGGCCAGTCCGGACGAACCATGGGCTCAGCTGCCCTTGCCTTATTTGATAGAGGCTTTGCCTCTAATGCAACCGCGCTATTACTCGATCTCGTCAAGCAGCGTCATCAGTCCTCGGAGAGCCGCCATAACCGCCCTGGTAGCATCCGACTATGTGCCTGAAAATCAGGAGCAGAAGATCCTTGGCGTCACTTCCAACTATCTCCTCGCGCTATCGCAGTCATTCCCAGCGTCTGTCGCTGCTGCAGAGATGCAGGCAACAGAGAAGACCGTCATTCGTCCGCAGTACGACCTCTTTGGCCCATCCAACCTCCTTCAAGGGACCAAGCTCTTCGCCCACGTCCGCAAAAGCAAGTTCAAGCTCCCCATCCAATCCAGCTGTCCTATCATCATGGTCGCGGCCGGGACCGGAATCGCTCCATTCCGAGCCTTCATCGCCGAGCGCGCAAAACTCCACGCCATTGGGAAACCCGTGGGCGAGATGATTCTCTTCTTCGGATGTCGTCGGCCGCAAGAAGACTTCATCTACCGTGACGAACTGGAGCAGGCTCAGCTTGCTCTCGGAAAGGATGTTTTCAAGATCATCACGGCCTTTTCGCGGGTCCAGGGCCAAGGAAAAGTCTATGTCCAGCAGCGAGTGCGAGAACATGGCAAGGAAGTAGTCAGCTTGATCGAGGAGAATGGCGCGAGCTTCTACATTTGTGGCCGTGCCTCGATGGCGAGAGAAGTCGGGTTCAGCCTCGGTGAGACAATCAAGGAGATCAAGGGGTGGAGTGATTCCGAGGTGAAGGGCTGGGGTGAAGCGCTCAAGAGGACGGGCAAGTGGAAGGAAGATGTTTGGGGTTGAGAATCCCTACACTCGATCTACTGTTCTGACTTTTGGCGGATGGCGAGAATTTTAGACTACCAGTGTTCAATTTCTCAAAATATTTTCCGGGCTCAAAAGCTCAAGGGGCCTTTTTTTTTTTTTTTTTTTTTTTTAGCTTTGCCACTGTTCCCTGAGGTCGCGAATGATGTGCGAAGTCTGCCAACCCATGCGCCGGGTCATCTGTTCAAGGAAATTGACCGCAGCCTCCTGTTCATCTCGGTTGTTCAAGTACATGCCGCCTGGTGATCCGGGTGAGGGGTCAACGCACCACTTTAAGAGAAGGGAAAGGGACCAACTCACATGCCGAAAGGATATGGGACGCTTGAAACATGGCCGTCTGTACATGGTCGTTGCTAACAGCCAGACCGACCACCATTCGGAGACACTCGCGGACCATGGACTGCGAGAGGGGGAAAGCGTCAGCACGTGTAAGTTCCTACGTCGGTGTGAAGGGGACAGCAGCAGAAGGGGGTGGGTGGGCATACCTCAGAGTCCCTTCTCAAGCGCAGCGATCCGAAACTCAGCTTCGAGAGGCGAGGGTCATAGATGGCCAGGACGACCTTGGCAAGATAATAGTGCTGGAGTCCTACGACTGAAACAGGAGTCCCATCAGAAAACTAGGCCCCGCAGGAACAAGGGAAACTTGCTGCACGTACCCTGCGCCGGGTTACACACGTAGAGCTCGGGCCACGGTCCCCTGTTGGACGAATCGAGTGCAGAAACTCCGGGGCTCTCGATGAACAGGGGCGCAAAGTGCCACGGCTTGGACGCTTCCCAGGACGTGACCTCGGCGTCCAACTCGGTCCACTGCTCCAGGGACAACTGCTGCTCGTGGTCGTCGCCAAAGACATAGGTCAAAAGTTGGGCAAAGATGAAGATGATGCGATTCGCCCAGGATTCGTCGTCCGAGATCCGAAAGACGCTCGAATGCCGGTAGTTGGTGAGATTGATGGTGAGTGGGTGCTGGGAGGTCAGGGAGATGTAGATGTGCTGTCTGAGCGACACCCAGCTAGCCGACTCGCGGAGTCCGCCATCTGCGGCAAAGGAGGCTATCGAGTTCAAGATCCGCGTGGTGCCGAACAGATGGCGTCGTTCGTCGTTTTCTAATTTCGGAAACTTTCAGCGTCTCTTCCCCTACCACCGTAAAACCGACGAATGCACAACGTACCGGACATTTCCTCATGAGTTCTCAGGAGAATGACAGCCGCCAGCAAGTTCTCATCAAAGTGACCCATAGGGTCCTCCAAAGCCCTGATCAAGATCCGGAGACATTCGCTCACATAATGAGGCGATTCGTCGTCCTGGTTTCCCGCCAGCAGGCTCATCTGCCGTGAGGCCACGGCGAAGATGGCATTCTTGATGACTGGATAAGGTGCAGCCCGTTTTGGTATCTCCTTCCCAAAGTGGCGCTGCTTATCGCAGGAATCGAACTGCAAGCTATTAGTTCAAAATAGTAGGGATTGCCTTGGCTTGCTCGAGAGCTTTACCTGCATTGATAGGTGCACGATGTAATGATGGAGAAGGCGTGCTTCATGTTGGTTCTTGAATGGCCAGCATGTGCCGAGTCCATAGCTCGGGGATGATGTATCAGCAACGGAACTTAGCAGGACGGAAGGTGAGTGATGTTGTGAAGATGGCCTCCCCACAGAGTGCGCAGGGGACAGCACGATAGGGGCGCGGGCATGCGCCGAAAAATGTGAGTCCGGACTGCTGTGTTGAAGAGAGGCCTGCAGGGGTGTTGGAGGCAAGGCTGAGCCATGCGGCGAATTCCAGTCGTGAGCAACCGCTGAAGTAGGATCATGCTCAATACGGAAATCCGTTTCGGCCTCAGCTGCGAGAGGAAGAATGGGCGGAGATGGAGCTTGAACCTCTTCGACCCGGGTGTGGAGATCTTGAGAGTCCGTCTCGTGGTCAGGAGAAACAAAGCGGACTGTATCGAACCGTATCAACAGAGTGAATGATGCCAACGGTCAGACCTACCTTCTGAAGGGAGGTCGACCCAGACCTGACGCGGAGTGTGCCTCAAGTCGTGTTTGACCCTCCGTCCATCGACACTTTTCAGCCGGACGGACTTGACGGGTCGAAAATGCAAGGGCGAGTCCAAGAGACATTCGCGGTCAGTCTCCTCGCATTTCTGGCATTTCCGAGAACCGGCAACTTTGACGCCTTGGAACGTGTGAGATCTCAGACGGACAATCCTGGGGACATGGACTTTACACTTGACATGTCGGTCACGACATGGCTGACTGTGTGAATCCCGTCGTCAGTAACAGCGAGATGTGCGAGAGACATCTGGGAACTGACCATCCAGTTCTCGTGCGCATCCCAGGCTGAGCTCACGATGAGGGCACGGATACAATGGGAACGTGAGTGGGTTCAAGAAGAGGCAATGAAACCCGAAGTCGACGGCGGGTCTTTAAAGCATGGTCCCACCTGCCACCATGTTGCCCCTCTTCGTATTCATGCTCGCGATAACTTTGCTCTTTCTGATGCTGGAGATGCGGAGATGTGGAGGTGAGGAGGCAAGGAGGCGAGGTGCCAGGAGAGGAAGTCCAAGCCCGGCTCTTCAATAGCGGATCCATTGCCGGCGAGATAGAGGCGGGGAGCAGCCCCGGTGCCGGGTTTTAGCGAGTATCAAACAATGTTTTTGACATGGTCACCTTCCACACTGAATTTCCAGAAAGACACCGACAGAATGTCCGTTGTTGTTACTGGCGTTCGCTCAAGCCGGCGGCGTTGCATTCACAGTTGCAACTGCAAGACACCCACACAGGGATTTGTGAAGCAAGGGCGTCTGCGGACGTCACGGCGTCAATGCATGTCAGAAGCCTTAGAACGCGCATGCAACAGTGAGACAGCAGGAAGTCATCAAGGTCTATTCCTCACAAAACGGCTTGGAAATGAAAAGTCCAGCTTACTCAGACTATTAACTCCTCGCTATTAGGAAAGCTGCCTACATCCAGATCAAGGCCTGCCTGCCCAGAACCGAAAGTCTCATCGTCCCGTTCCATTGCGGCGACAGTGACAAATACCTAACAAGCATCTCCAGCCTGAATCGCAATCGGCCCCTGGCATGTCCATCCCACAGGGTTTCCCGTATCAAGCCAATATATCTGGTACGAATTTAATGCGCTCAGAGCGTCGTCCTGGCAAGCATAAAAGCTATTGTACCCATTGTGCAATAGTGCACCATCAGCACCGAATGAGAAATCCGTCGTGCTTCCGCCCTCAGGTGCGCCGCCGTGAGGGATGCTGAATCCCACAGGCTGGCTCTGGTAGCGAAAGACGTACATCTGCTGGTAATCTGTTGGAGATTCGTGGATCGAGAGAAAAGAGACCGAGTTGTCGCTGCCGTTGAGGGCTCCCACGATGAGGGGTTCAGCGTACGACTGGTACTTGATCTGACCGACGTATGCGGACGAATTGGCATACGAAAGGCGGAAGGTTTGCAAGTAAGTGATGTCGAAGTTGGCACCATTGAGGTAAAGACCTATGGTGTTGTCGGCGTCCTGAGCGGATTGCCGGGCGACGACTTCTGCTTGTGCACTGGCCACATTCAGTGCCAAAAGAAAGGCAATCGAGGCGAAGACGACAGGTGCGTGCATTGCAAAGAATGTGTGTCAGACCTGCTCGCGAGGCTTTCCTAAATATCAAGGGACTTCCACAGAGGCTGAAACGTCCTCAAGGTAGTGGAGCCTCTTGTTGCAGACCGGGGTAGAGCTTGACAGACTACACCAACTTGAACACGCTGATGGAAAGAGACATTGTCTTTTATGAGAAATCATGAACTCAAGATTTCAAATCCCTCAGACCAAGGGTATGTCAAACTACCCCAGCCGTAGGTCTTACTGTAGTCGTGCGGTCCATGGCCGAGACGGCCTGAGGGGCAGGTTTAGTTCGTGGAGAGGACCAAGCAACTGAAGATGAGCAAAGCAGATAGATTCCATGAGATACTGGATGTTGCTAAGGTGAGAGGCGCCAGCTGTCCATGCAGAGTTGGGAATAGTCAGCGGGAGAGATTACATGTCAGCCTTACATGTAAATTCAGATGAGATGAGGTGTGCGTGCAGCTACAAGTCCACTCCCTCTGCCAATCGGCACTGTACTGTTCAGATCAACGAGGCTGTGGCGGCGCGTAGCTTAGTACCTAGGTAGACAGAACTTGGTAATCCTTGACACTATACTGAGTACTCTATAGGCTGACCACCATGGGCCGTCTGCCGAACCTATGCTCTCGCTCCCTACATACCGCCATACAAGTTATACTCCGATCTCTGTGGGCCAGGGTCAACAACGCTGTTCATTCTTAGATTCACCCGCTGGGGACAAACTGATAGCTCAGACTGTGACAAAAGCAACGAACCTGAAGATACTCCTGATTGGAGGGCAATTGTATCTTTCAACGACAGAAGGACTACTTATCAACATGACATAAACCGATCAGAAATACATAAAAGGGATCTGGGAACCACGCCACAAGTCAGCTGTTTCAAGAAAAAGCTCCACGACCCTTGGATGCCAACCACTTAAATCCCGTCTGAAGCCACTCATCCGCCTTCTGACCCTGGCATGGTTAAACAGCTCCTCGTGTAGTCCCCCAAGGCAGAAGACTTCGAACCCACAGGAAAACAAATAACGCACCAGACCACAGTCCCTTTTGACTTCTGTATGTCGTCCGTTGACACGAGGGCATCGCATGTCTCGGCAGAACCACGGTTTCTCGAAAGCCGCGTTGATGAGGTACAGCCCGTGAGCGAGGTAGACCGATCGTTCCAGTGCCTCTGGCGAAGCGAGTTGAGATTCCTCAGTATCCACGGTCTTCTTGCGCTTCCACCGCAGGACGCGGTTGATTGTTCGCCCCATTTGAGACAACCACTTGCTCTCACGCTTGTACTGTTTGAGGAGACTGTCCTGAAGACTATTAAGAGCCGCTACATAGCGGAGAATAAGCTGTCTGCGTCCGCTCTTCCCCTTAAGTTGATACCAGAGCGCAATTCGATATGCTTCAAGCTCTGCGAATAGCTGTGCGATATCACCATTGATCCCTCTCCCGCAGAAGCTCGCATGCTCCCAGAAAGCCATACCAAACTGCTTATCCACTTCACCTGGGGTCAAGCTGGCTAAGATGCTGTCAAAAGAGCAATTGCCATGACTGAAGCACTAATAGTCTGGAAAGTATTGCCTGTCAACATCGTCATGGAGAGTCCTGCAGAAAGAGTCCAATAAGCCTGGTTGGTCGACGAAGATGTCCATGTGCTGGACGTTGTTTCGGAATTTCACAATCTCTCCACGAAGTCTTTGTCTTCCCATCTCTGCAGAGGCAAATGTGGTGGGCGATGGAGCATTGCTGGACAGTTGCAGTTGCTTTATGATTTTAGGATCATGCATTTTGGCGAGGAAACTGCCCAGTCTCTCACCTAGCAACTTGAAAAACCGATCGCAGATTCGAGGACACGAGAACATAGTCCGAACAGCAGATCGGTCTGCCTTCCTTAGGCGAGTTTCTGTGTTTTGGTCAAAGACTTCGCCGAAGATGAGTGAAAGTGGCCGCAGGTTCCCCCATTCAGAAGTGAGTAGGATCGACCTTTCCAGGCCACAATGGAGGGCTCTGGGGATATGAACGTCTGTCTGCTTCCGAATGTCGTACAACGACCCTCTGGACGGTGAGTCCAGCGAAAAACGACGAAACAGGAGAATTCGAGCCAGTGCTCCAAATCTGGACGAGGTAGCTCTCTCGGCCAAGGTGGAAGAGGGCCGGGAGAACATTAACAGTGCTGCTTGGTGGATGCTCTGTAAGTCGGATTAGCGACAGTCAATGATGTTCTTTTGGTCCAGAATGAGGCGAAATGCGGGTAAGGATATCGCTAGAAGGAATACGGAAAGCATTTGCCCTTACTAATGGGTTTGGTTGAGCATCTGAAGTAGGTTCAGGAAGCTGGTAAAGGACCAGCGAGGCAGGTAAGATTGACCCATTACTCAGCTCAATGCTTCTGCCAGACTGGTTGCGGAGGGTTGCTCGAACAACAACCGAGTGTTCTGTCGATAGATTACGCAATGGGATGATGTCGTATCTCACATATTGCTGGCTCTTGTTGAGACTATTCAGGTAACCCTCAGGGTCAAGGACGTACCCAGACGATGGTGAGGGCCGGGTCAACGAGATGAGGTGGCTCATATCTTGATCAGGGCTCTGAATGGGCGTGTTGCGCGATGACGACCGCCTTCGGTCGAACAAGAGTGGGCAAAGGAGAATAATGAACAAGAACCTTTCAACACCTGGTCGACTTAACTGTAGAAGATAAACAGATGTGCCAACGAATCTGGTATGTCGAAAACGAGAGATGCGAGCGTGAGGAGGGCTGAATGAAAGAATAGGAAGGAGTATTTGAAGCTGCGGTTGGGTCGCAACAGGGTTGCATCTCCTGCATGACCCAAGGACTCCGGTAGGCACGACACAAACCGAAGGAGGGAATCCTGTCTTAACTGCTGCAATGAACGGAAAGCACGAGCATATCGGCCGCATACATGCCCGTCTATTCGTGATATTCGTCTTCTGTCCAATCGGCGAAGAGGTCATGTCGCTGAATACCTAGCCACACATGGTTGAGAGCTCTGGGTCGCAGTGGCCGCAAACGCTGAAGCTGCACTGTACATTCCTGCAGCATATATCTCCCATAATACTTGAACCCCTCTTTGAATGTCTGCTGAGATATGAAAGAGTACGCGAGAAAACCATCCACACGAAATGTCGCCATTCATTATTTGCCCGGGTATTTGGCCTTTCCGAACGAAAAAGGAACGTAACGGTACTTGATCATATGTTGGATCTGCCGTCTCACTTTGGATGGTCAGTGATAACGCTCGCCTAGGAAAGATGAATCAACTCACTAGTCAGGGAGAAGAGGATTAGCCAGTACATGACAAGCACAGGCCAAAAGACTGGCAGGTTGAAGATTTCGAACCAGCTGCAGAGAAAGCTGATCGTGATGGCTCTTGTCGCAGAATGCCAGAACTTGAACTCTGGTAGTCTTCTGATGAATGGTCTGAACTCATCATCATTCTTGGTGGGCAAAGATGAGCCCTCGCCATCTTCGAGGCCCTCGTCCTGCGACAGACTGGGATCAAATTTTGGCTGAAGGAACGCGAGGAAGAGGTTGAGCAGGTATATGCCCAGACAATAGGCGACAATGTACCAGCCCTGAGCGACGATGATGCGGAGGAAGAAGAGAAGGAGGAGCACGGCGGTTGCCGACCATCGGTAGGCAACATAGGGGGTTGATTTGTCGAGGTAACTTTGGTATTGCTTTACAAGATCTCCGTTAGCAGCCTATCTCTTTTTGTGCCTCCTTGTACTGGGAGTGTCTTCTCATTCTCATACCCTCAGGAGCTTGTTGCTCTGTGTACTTATGGCATCGAAGGGGGTTGTGTCCGGCTCCGGCCCGTCCATAGTGGCAGCGCTTGTTGGTAGGGATGAGGAGATATAGGGTCTGCGCATGCGCTTCAGTGCTGCAAAGGACGAGGTATCGAAAACGTGCGCAGGTAGGGAAACTGTCAGTGCAACGAGGAACAAAACTTCCCGTGCGAACAAGCGCGATATTAGGCGACAAACAACGAGAAGACAATGTGGTAAAGTGTTGAGGATAGGGAGTCTAGTTTGTTGAAGCCACGTCGTGTTTTTCGCTCGTGGCAGCCTTTCACAAAACGTTTAGAGTGGAGGTTCCTGATCGCAGGGCAAAGTCAAACTGCGCCTCAAACTGCAGTGTGGCTAGCGGGCACGCCTAGGTCTCGGATTATTCTATTATTCCATTCCGTGACCCCGTGCGGCGAAACGTCGGGGATCCGACCAGCCTGCGTGTGCAACCTGCGGAGAAGCAGCCGAGGACGAACACGAGAATTGCGGCTGTCGTCGGCGGTGCGTGAAGCTCCTTCAATGCTTCACTTGCAATATGTACGAGGTAAAGCGTCACTCCTCGAGATCTTTGTGATCTCCCCGACATTGCATACCTAGGTACCAACAATCCTCACAATGCCTTCTCTGAGGTTACTCTCACGGCCTGCGGCCGCCCTTTCAGCTGCACCACGAACCCTTCCACGGCTGGTCCGATTTCAATCCACTTCAAGCAGCTATGAAAATATTCTCGTGTCGTCACCCAGACCAGGTGTTGGGCTCAGTACGCCTTAACCTATATTTGCGTCCGCGAGAGAGTGCAGTCTGACCATTCTAGTCACACTCAATCGTCCAAAGGCGCTGAACGCCCTCTCTAGTGCTTTGTTTGTCGAATTAAATGATGCTCTCAAGAAATATGAAGAGGACAAGGACATCGGTGCTATTGTTTTGACAGGAAGCGACAAAGCATTCGCAGGTAAAGACAAAACACACATATCTGCAATACTTTGTTCAGGCACTGACGGATTGTGAACAGCCGGCGCAGATATCAAAGAAATGGCTCCCCTGACCTTCTCCGATGCCTATGTCAATAATTTCATTGCTCCCTGGTCCTACATGATGACCTTGCGAAAACCGGTCATTGCAGCAGTATCCGGGCATGCTCTTGGGGGTGGTTGCGAGCTCGCTATGATGTGCGATATTCTCTACTGCACCAAGACTGCAAATTTTGGCCAACCTGAGATCAAGCTCGGCACCATACCAGGCGCCGGAGGATCTCAACGCCTCACCGCGGCCATAGGAAAGAGCAAAGCCATGGAACTTATTCTCACGGGCAACAACTTCAGCGGCGAGGAGGCCGAGAAACATGGTCTAGCTGCCAAAGCCTTCGAGGGGGGCAACAAAGAGGTCCTTGAGGGTGCTCTGAACACAGCCGAGAAGATCGCCAGTTACAGTCGTGTCGCGGTCATCGCAGCCAAGGAGGTTGTTAACAAGAGTCAAGACCTTGGGGTTCGAGAGGGTGTCGAGTACGAACGACGCATCTTCCACAGTCTGTTCGGAAGTCAAGATCAAAAAATTGGGATGAAGGCCTTTGCGGAGAAGAAAAAAGCTGAGTGGACAAACTCATGAATCCAGCAACAACGGACTCGACACAACAGAGTGAAATCAGCCTAGAGATTAACAAGAGCTGAATATGGGGTTTGTGTATAGTACATTTAGGAAAGTGGACTAATAGAAATGGGTATAGGGGCAAAGTACAAGGCTGAACAGGTAAAAGCCCATCGACACCTGTCGACGACCTTCCCAGTATTCGACCACTATGTCTCCTAACTTAAGTCCGAACTGCACGCGGCCGCATTGTGTGAACTAGGAGTCCAGCTAGCGGCATCTAGTTGAGGTATGCACTCCCTCTACGTCGTACTAGTCGGGATTCGGTACAGATACCGAGTACGAGGTACTCACATCCCAGTGTCTCGTTGCCCGCTATTCTTCAGAGTTCATAGACTCCATGCTGACGTGAGGAGCCACGCTTGGTGTGAATAATATCACTGCAGCTTGTTCCCCCTAATCGGTAACTCCGGATAAACCCCCCGGGGTTAAGCAGCTGCCATATCAAGGCGATAATACGAGGATGGAAAGCACCGCTCGTTCTCAAACATGGATATTATCAGCCCCCTTTCCCCAGTCTCCACGAGGACGGGGTTCTCGTCGAATGCCGTCGCCGCTTGACCCAGGAACGGCCGCCGGGGATGCAGAAAGGATCACCCCAGCAACAGCCAGCCCGAGAGGACAGAAGGACCTCATTACTAGGTATCCTGGCAGAGGCTGTGTTCGCCTGCGAAAAAGGGCACCCGATGCTCCAAAGGTGCGTTATTAAAACGACACCGCTATCTTACTAGTACACCGCATCTATCGAAGGATCGAGCCAAGCTGAACCCAAAATCACAGTCATTGTTGAACTGCACGATGGCACATTCAGGCCCCCTCCTAGGCTACGTGTAGCGAGGATCCCATCTTTCACTTGGAGCCGCGGAATACAGGTAGGTCTAAGGGTACATGCTAGTACCTAAGATAGCGAATGGGCCAAGCGATATCCAACAGCATTTTCCATTTCCGGCTATTCTGGTGGGTACCTCGTGTACCTAGGTAGTGCTCGTACCTACCCTCGCCTCCATCCGCCGCCCTATGATCATGGACGAGCACCAAGACGTGGCAATGCAGTGGTATTGTGCTTGGTAAGAAGGCAAATTTTGTGTCACTCCGCACAAAAGCACGAGGAGAATCTCACTTTATAGTTCGTAATCCCAAGCGGGGTGTGCCACCAGGATTCGACTTGTGCTCAAGTAAAAAATGTCTCCAGGTAAATCAGTCAGCTGTGGCGGGGCTCGGGTTGCACAATCCGGAGTGACAGGGTCCGTTTAGATAAACTCTTACGAGGTACTAACCGTCCTTCACCTGCATGCGAGTGCCTAGCAACCTAGCTGAGCCGGTTTGGTGGACACTTTGGGGTCGAATAGATCCATTAAAAGGGACAGCACGAATTACTAAGTAGGAGAAATTCCAGGTTTCAAGGCCTGTGCCTCGGGACGGAGTCGTTAGTGATGGACCACTGGTGGAAGCTGGGGAGGAGGACTTGAGTTCTGAGCTCTGGTGGTGCATTTGTCGTGCCTCTCTTTGCCTCTTTTCTTTTGTCGCAACTCCAATGAACAGCTTTCATTTCTGTCGCACACTTCTCTCGCTCTCATGATTTGACATCCAAACAAGGCATTCGTCGATCCGACTCTGGTTGTCCCAGTCGCCTCAAGAGCTGTCAGCACTGAACGAGGACCCCAAAGCCTCGTCAGGCCCACCATCTTGCGCTACTGCTTACTCGACAGGGATTGCTGAACACCTTCCCAGAACAAAGACTTTTCCACATTTGGGGGGGGGGGGCTTTGGGGGCTGGGCTCCTCGTAAACCTGTTGATTTAGCTATCCAAAGTCACCGAGTATTGGTGGGGTAGCGGGAATGGAGCCCTGCATCGACTGCTACCTACCTAGGTATTATGCATTCGTATTTCCGTCTCGAAAGAACCTCCACATCAAGCGTCCTTTGAACCAACGCGGCCCAGGAGGGGCGAACGGCCATCTCGCCTGTTGATTTGCCGCAGCCGGCCATCGTCGACCACAGCGGGGTGCAATCCAAATCCAAAGAAGCTTGATACTGATGCAGTCGGCCTGACGCAGCGATACGGAATGCAGTTTCAGAGGGGGTTGCATACGTGATCGTTCATTAGCGGTGCTCGTGGCCTTGGGTTGCTGTGTCTTCGAGGTCTCATTGGCGCTGACCATGGATCGTGCCTCACGTTTGTGCATATATAAAACCATCTCTTGCCCTGGTGTCTTGGTCACCGTTTAACAAGCTCTTCAGTAAACTGCCGTGAATCAGTCGCCGTTGATCAAAGCCCGCCCGTACAAGAAGTTTCAATCTTACAGAGTCCACGCAGCAAAATGGCTCCTTCAGCGACTACCGATGCTCCCACGCAGGGATACAAGCCAAAGCACATCGAAGACCGCCTCTTTATCAATGGAGAGTTCGTTCCTTCCAAGTCAGGGAAGAAGTTCGATATCATCAATCCGAACAACGAGAAGTTTGCGGCTTCAGTCTATGAAGCTGGCGCCGAGGATGTTGACGAAGCGGTCAAGGCGGCCAAGGCGGCATTCCCTGCCTGGTCGGCCCTTTCTGCCACTGAGAGACAAGGATATCTCGAAAAGTTGGCCGATGCCATCGAGAAGAACCTAGAGGAAATCGGTTACCTAGAGGCCATCAGCATGGGCAAGCCCTACATTGGTGACTGTGAGTTTGTCGACTTCCTCCATATCAGTTGCACGAACTAATCCTTTCCAGTCTTCGGCCACGTCGGTGTTCAGATTCTGAGATACTTGGCCGGTAAAGCCCTTGATGTCCAAGGCGACTCGTCCCTGAACACCAAGGACATGGTCAACATCACTTTCCGTCAACCTTTTGGTGTCTGCGGCGGAATTATCCCCTGGAACGTCCCTCTCCTCATGCTCATCAACAAAGTCGGTCCTGCTCTGGCTACCGGCAACACTTTGGTCCTCAAGTCCTCGGAGAAATCACCCCTCTCTTCGCTCGTCATCGGCAGACTCTGCCAGGAAATCGGTCTGCCCAAGGGTGTCTTGAACATTCTCAGCGGCTATGGAAGACCTTGCGGTGAGGCCATTGCCAAGCACATGGACATTCGAAAGGTTTCCTTCACCGGTTCAGTCATCGCTGGACGAGCAGTCAAGAAAGCTGCCGCCGAGTCCAACCTGAAGAACGTCACGCTAGAGCTGGGAGGAAAGAGCCCGCTGATCATCTTCGACGATGCTGACCTGGCAAAGGCTGTTCCCGCCTCGGCTTTCTCCATCCTCGCCAACTCAGGCCAGGCCTGCATCGCCAGCTCCAGGGTATACGTGCATGCCAATATTGCCGATAAATTCATGGAAGGCATGAAAACCGCCATGGTCCAGATGGGCGTGTCTGGCGATGCCACGGTCGCTGGCACCCGACGAGGACCTCAGGCTGACAAGATCCAATTTGACCGCGTGATGGGCTACCTCAACTATGCAAAGGAGCAAGGTCTCGATATCCCCATTGGCGGTGGCCGGGAAGGCGCAACCGGCTACTTCATCGAGCCCACCATCATTGCCAACGCCCCTGAAGACTCCAAGGTCATGAAGGAAGAGATCTTTGGACCTGTCGTGTGCATCAACACTTTCACCGACGAAGAGGAGGTGCTGAAGCGCGCCAACGACACCGAATACGGACTGTACGCAAGTGTTTTCACCAAGGATATCTCGCGTGCTCTGCGTGTGGCAAAGGCTCTCGAGGCTGGGTCGGTGGGTGTCAACTGCACGAGCCCGACAATGGCCATTGACATGCCGTTTGGTGGCTTCAAGCAGAGCGGTGACGGCCGCGAACTGAGCAAGTATGCGACGGATTATTGGACCGAGCTGAAGTCTGTCTTCATCTCCCTGTAAATGAACCTGCAGTGGCCGAGATGGCCCTGTGTGAACAATTATCTGCCAAAGTACTCGCGACCAGCAAGGTAGAATGTAGTAAACTTATGAAAATACGAAATGAGAAATTACTCCTTGAAAGAGATCAAAGTAATCTTGTCCTTTGCGGTCTTGTTCAAGAAATGCGTAGGCTGACGGTCAAATATGTCTTACAGAGGCGAGGCGTCGCATTTAATTCCTGCCGGCACTTCTCTCGGTGGCCGCAAACCGCATCATCTCGGTCTAATTCGGTAGAATAGAAATTACGGGCTCCTCTCGAGCCCTCTAGTCTCATTGAAACATGCCTGAATAATCGAAGCATATCAATCATTGGAGGGAGGACATATTGAGGGGCTACCAAGTATTCGTCCCAACTATGCTAAGTCCCCAAGGGGTGCTGCCATGCATGATGAGGTCCCCGAGTCACTGTCGGAAGGCACATCTGTACAGAATACATCAGATGTGTATCTAATGTATATATGTACATATGTGAAGGCCCCGAACATGCATCCTTCACCACCTTTCCGTTGACTACCTACTAGGTACCTAGGTACGTTCTCCCCTATCACTTTATTCTCCCAAATAAGGACTATTTGGTCGCCCCGCTTCCTCGTCTGCTCCCTTCTCCTATCTTTCCCTCTTCCTGGCTCCCCATCTCCGCCGGCCTACTTGTACGGCACTTCCTCTAACAGCATCGCGACCTTCTCACCTTCTTCGCTCTCTTTAGCTTATTCTCCTTATCCACAAACAATCCACCCATTTGCTATACACCGTACCATCATATAGCTCAGCTTCGTCCTATTTATTTCTTCCCTGCTTTTGTTTTCTTCGTATTAGACCCTGAGCTGGTTTCGTCGGTCTTCGTCTTCTTTTTCTCTTTTAGCTCAGGGTCGCAGTTCTTGCATCCAGATCCCGGGAGAGGCAAAAAGCACGCGCATCCTTGGGGTCCGTGTCCGTCAGTGATGGGTGCTGAGGTTTTGAAGGAAGAATGTCGCACCCTTTTTGGCTATCAGACGCTCTCTGAAAGCCTTCATCTCCTCCTCGGTCAGCATCACGTCTCCGTCTGACTCTTCCTTATCGTCGTCTTCGAGGATTTCGTCCATGAAGCTGTAGTCTACACAGCATTTGCCGCAAACGGTAAGCTTATGGGCCGAGCAGACCAAGCGCCCATCAGGCAATTCAATGGGAGAGTCTGCCATTCTCGATAGCTTGTTCCGATCGGTGATTCCTCGTGTACTGAGTCTGATTTTAGAACCGTACCAACTACACGGTTAGAGATAGACGATGGAAAACTCGTAATGGTTGTGACCGAGGAAGGGCGGAAGGCTTTATCAACGATGGGCTCTTGGTGGCCGAAAGTAGCTTTGTCAGACAGTGCCATTTTCCACCGCAGCGTCTAGGCCAACGCATCATTTCTGGCGTATTCGTTCCATCGAAACGGCCTCGACGGGTAAAATCTCCCCACTGTTGCAATCTGCCTTTGCCGTCAGACCATGCCGCATTCTTCGCCAGCGGAGATGCCCCTTCCTCAGCTACAATATAACCAGTTGATGAAAACCTTGAAACCCACCGCGCAGCATCAGATCATTCGTCAAGAGCGATAAAACCAGCTATCTGGTGCTAGCGACCGAAAAGACCTCCAGGCTGTCTCAAGTCGCAATGCGTATGGCCCACCGTGATATGCAGGGACCGGACCCGGAGGCAGACACGGACTCCGGATGGTGAAAGAAGTCCTGGTGTCGAAGAAAGCCACACGCTGGTCACACTTGGTCCCAGAGGCTCTGTTTTCCTGCTGCTTGCTATCTAGTATATGGCAAATGGGTCTGAACTAATGTCCATTGTGTTTTCGATAACTTGCTGGAAATTGACGTGAAGGCAGAAGGGGGAAAGGGCTGGTTAAACACCACCTTTTCTGAGCTTGACATGCTCGTCGTTGTCAAGAATAACGCCATCAGCTGCCATATACAGTTGGGCCATCCTTTTGTGAAATCATGGCAGCCAACGCCGAGCTTCCGTCGTCTCCGCCTCCTACTGACACGCCGGGTTTGAGAGCGAACCGGGCCTGTCGGCCTTGTGTACAGATCAAGGCGAAATGCGTTCCACTGGAAGGGTCTATCAACTCCATCTGTGTACGATGCCACCGCCTGGGCAAACCCTGCACGACTCCGGCGCCGCTGCCACGCAAACGGCGCAACAACGGAAAACCAACCCGCGTGGCACAGTTGGAGGAGAAGATCAATACGCTGACGAACCTCTTGACATCCAATGATGGCCCTCCACCTGCACGGCTTGATCCTGTCGCTGCTCCAAGTGGTAGTTCTCAACACTCCCAACCTGCTCATCCTCCTATTTCGGAAAGCGGTTCTGGTGACCCGAATGGACTATGGTCAGCCTCGCTCCTGACTCCAACGTTAACACCACCTACAGGTGGGCGCAACAACAACGCCGAGACCATCCAGGCTCAATCCACCGCAACTCATGCAATCTGCTGCGGAAAAACTATGAAACTTGTGGAACCCGCTGGTGTAAATGCAGGCGGCCACTTTCGAGTGACTCTGGCTCCAGTGTTGGAAGAAAAGTTGTTCAGTGACTTCCGCACACAGATGAATATCCATTTCCCTTTTGTGGTGATTCCACCTCAGGCAACGGCTGTTTCTCTTCGGGAAGAGAAACGGTTCCTTTTCCGGACTTGCATCACTGCCGCTGCTCAAGCTGACCCGCCACTACTAAGGCAGCTGGCAGACGACTTGATGAGGTACATCGGAGAGCACATCCTGATGAAGGGGGAGAAGTCTCTTGACCTCCTACAAGGGCTCTTGGTGTTCTGCTCCTGGTTTCAGTACTACAACCACAACAATCCCCAGGTGATGAACCTTCTACATTTGGCAACTGCCATGGCCACAGACCTCGGGCTGAATCGACCTAAGCAGCCTGCGGTATTGGCTCCGATCGGTATGGTGGTTGACGCTGCGGAGATGTTTCACGGCAAGTTAGTTAACAACGGTGTCCAGACCTTTGACGACCGACGAGCCCTACTTGGAGTCTACTACCTTTCTGGACATTTTTCGTCCTGCTTTCGAAGATCGGATCCCATGAGCTGGACGCAACACCTAGAAGATTGTTGCAATGCTCTTGTCGCAGCAGCCGAGTATCCCTCTGATATCTATGCTGTTCAATTGGTCCGATTGCATCGGGTCATAGAAGTATATTCTCCCTCCCTCGGCTTGATGACAACATCAAATGTGCCTCTCCAAAGTCTCATGAGATGTCTTGAAAGAGACCTCCAGCAATACCAGGAGAGCATACCTTCCAGTCTTGCGGGAAACAATCTCTTCCAGATGCAAATCCAGAGTGCTTATCTCTGCCTCTACGAAACCATATTCGCAGTCCAGGTGGAAAGGGCATATCACCGTGCCGAAGCATTACATGCCTGTTTAAGTCATATTAGTCAATTTTTTGACAGCTTAGAGGCCATCCCTTGGCGGTATGTGCCCAACTTGACTTTCTCGTTCTGGCTGAATCTCGTTCATGCCTTGGTTGTTCTGGCCAAGATGTCGTTCCTTGTCCTCGACGGATGGGATCTGCAATCGGTTAGGGACTCTGAAATGAACTTCCCGTCGACTGTAGACCGGTTGGTGCAAAAGCTGGAAACCGTATCCCACCAAAGCCTTTCCTCTGGGGACACGCCAGCAAGTAATGCAGTTGCAACCCGCTTCAGCTTATTCGCAGAGAAAATGCGCCTTTGCAAGAAGTGGTACGCGAGCAAGCTCAACGCAGAAGCCAGCATCTCCGCTTCAAGTCTTGAAACTGGTGCCCTTCCAGAAAACATGCCTATGGAGGAGTTATTCGGGGGCTTTGAAGACAGCATCTGGCCAGACCTCACAGCTGATTGGAACGCCAACATACAATTTTAGTCTCGTGGAGAGCAAAGACACCCAGCTGGTATCGCTTCCATGGATACAACCCTCTCTTTCAGGCCGTAAACTCCGACTGACCACATTAGCCTCGATCTTTTACGTTGAATATGGTGGGACCGGATACGGAGTGTAAAGCAGGGGGCATTGATCCACTGGCCGCACTCACTGATCCGGACAATTATAAACATCGCATTGCCATATTCTCCTTTGAACATCTGGGTTTTCTACTCCCTCTCCTCAGCAATCAGTTGTTTCGAACATGGCGTCCGTCAAAATGAAGGAACGAGCTGAAGCCTCAACCCCTGATTCGGTCACTGCTTCAACAACTATTACCACTCAGCCTGCTGGCAGCGATGAAAATGCAGAGTCGTTTCAGAGTTCTTCTCCCAAGGCCGATGAGGAACATAAATATCTGGCGACACGGCCGTTAACACTTCTGGGCGGCTCCCTCTTGCTCGTCATATTACTCGTTACGCTCGATGCCTCGATCCTTGCTACTGCCATTCCAAAGATTACAGATCACTTCCATACCATTGCTGACAGTGAGTCATCCCTCTTTGACACAAGGCGATAGCCCTCTGCAGGATCTGTTGTCAGATGAGGAAGCTTCTCGAGACAAGCTAACAGACATTGGCAGTCGGCTGGTACCCTGCAGCATACATGATAACAAATGCATCTTTGCAACCTCTCACCGGAAAAGTGTTCACATACTTCTCACTCAAGCGCGCCTTTCTTGGTTTTGTCGCCGTTTTCGAATTGGGATCCTTAATCTGCGCCCTCGCCTCGTCTAGCACAATGTTGGTGGTTGGGCGAGCAGTCGCTGGGATGGGGGCGTCGGGTCTGATGAACGGGACCCTCACCATCATTGCTGTCGCGGCTTCTCCTTCTGTCCGACCTACCATGATGGGACTCCTCATGTCTTTCGCTGGTGCTGGACAACTCATAGCGCCACTGATTGGTGGTGCCTTAACCGAGCATGTCTCGTGGCGCTGGTGCTTTTGGATCAACCTTCCCGTCGGCGCAGTGACCATAGTGGCGACAATGTTCATCCGTTTCCCGGCATACAAGGCTCGCAAGACAAATTGGACATTCCGAGATGTGATTCACGACTTCGACATTACTGGATTTGTTGTTTTTGCGCCAGCATGCGTCATGCTTCTTCTCGCTCTGGAGTGGGGTGGAACCACGTATTCATGGTCGTCCGCTACGATCATCGGACTATTCTGCGGGTCGGCAGGGGCATTCCTAGGCTTCTTCGCTTGGGAGTACCGTCAGGGAGAGTCTGCCATGATTCCACTATCGCTGATACGGAAGCGAGTCATTTACAGCAGTTTGCTCAACGCTGCATTGCAGTTCGGGGGCATATTGCTCTACGTGTATTACCTGCCTTTGTGGTTTCAAGTGATCAAATCTGCCAGCCCAACCATGAGTGCAGTCTACATCCTCCCAACTTTTGGGCTGCAGATCTTCAGCGCAGTCCTTGCTGGCGCCTTGACGTCCCGGTTCGGCTATCTGGCACCGCTGGCTGCAACCGGTTCCACCTTGGTTACAGTCGCAGCAGGGCTAGCCAGTACACTCGGTGTGCATACAGACGCGGGGAAGTACATTGGGTATCAGGTCCTCAACGGCGTGGGTCGAGGCTTCACGATGCAGCAGCCCATCCAAGCCGTCCAGTCCACCGTTTCACCTGCCATGATCCCCGTCGCAACGGCCACCGTGGCATTCTCCCAGACCTTCGGCGCCGCGCTGTTCCTCAGTCTCGGTCAAACCACCTTCCTGAACCTCCTCCGTCCCGCCTTGCGCACTCACGCACCCGGCGTCAACGCACAGGACGTAATCAACACCGGCGCCACGAACTACCTCGCCAATCTCCCCGCTGGGACACACAACGCCGGAGTCAGGAACGGCGTGCTCCTGGCGTACAACGACGCGATCACACAAACATTCTACCTCGCCGTGGGATGCGGCGCTGGTGCCTTTGTGGCGAGTTTGGGGCTGGGCAAAACCAAGGTCCCGACGAAATCAGATAAGAGGAACAAGAACGCCGAAAAGACAACAAATCGGGACGAGGAAAAGGGCGAGCGTCCCAGCAGCCAGGAGGAAAGTGGCCGGAGTACCAAGGAAACAGAGGGCTTATCGTAAAGGAGTCAGACGCAGGGGTAATTACAGTGTATGGTTCTCTTTGCACGTTGTGGGCGTTATTTTCTTTGATATCAAACCACCATCGCCCCCGCGCGGGGGGCCGGGCATCCGCCGAGAGAAAGGGGGTCTGGGTGGGGGGAGAGTTCTGAGGAATGTGAAAAGACATGGAAGATGGGGTTGGGGCTTAGATCATCTCTCCTCTACGGCGCAAGCAAAATGGAGACCATCGAAAGGGTGTGAACATGAGTGCATGGAGGAAAAAGTGGTCGCCCGGTCTCCATGATCTTTCTTCCAAATTTGTCTAATTGTCTAGTATAGAGTCTATCAGGTCTTTGTGTTGGCCTTATTGTTCTTGTGAGCACTCCACCGCTACCTTCTATGGGGACGATCGTCTAGTCGTCTAGTCATCTAGTCCCTTCTGTTCTTTGTGACTCTTGTTCCGCGAATGCATTGAATGTGAGCCGTCTCTGCTTGGGCTTCTACACCCAAGACCTGGAGACAACCCGGCGCTTCCATCCCTGGGACCACACTCGATGCTCGCTCTTACTCGAGTCTGTGGGCGTAAGCTGCAGCTCTAAGCACCGACTGCGAGTAAGGACTTGACAGTGTCGATAACACTGTCCTCCAAACTTCGGTACTTCAACCCCAGGATTTCCTTCGATCTCGAGTTGTCGTACTGATAGATATCTGACGGCATGTCACTCACAAGCTTGTCTGGGAGCTTGCTAGCCAGATCTGGGAAGTGTTGCTTGATGATATGTGCGATGTCGGCGTTGGAGTAGAGGCCCGCTGTGGTGAAGAAGCGTTTGCCGCCCGCTTCGGGGATTTCCAGGGCTTTGACGTGAGCGAGTGCAACGTCCCGAACGTCGATCCAGAGATAGGCGCCTGTAGGAGGGAGACCGGTATCCTTCGTCCGGCCTTGGATCATGTTTCTGATCCGTTCGTTGGAAGTGTTGATAGTCTCGAGGGAGTTGAGGTAGTGCACAACCGGACCAAGGACGAGGGGTGGATTGATGGTCGCGATGTCAAAGTTGGGCTTTTCTTTCTCGACAAACTCCCACGCCGCCCGCTCAGCGAACGTCTTTGACGCGCGGTATGTAGTTGCGGGATCCTTGGTGGCTTCCTCCTCGGTGACCGGGTTCCAGCTCTTCTCGCTGTAGACCTTCTCGTGCGACTTGGGGTTGATGATTGCTGCAAAGGAACTGGTGATGACTACTCGCTTGACAGTAGGTGCATATTTCTTGACAGCCTTGAGAATTCCAGTGGTGCCAATGATGGCAGGATCCAACAGATCTTTCTTGGGATCCGTGACATTGAAGTGGAATGGCGACGCGGTGTGCAGGACGCCTTCGAAGGGCGGATCTGATTTGACGGCCTCGTCGAAGGCGTTTTCTTGCGCGATGTCGCCGACGATCACGTAGCTGAGTTTGTCCTTTGGTTGACCAGGCTGATTCCTCAAGATCTTTTGGCCCTTTTCCGGTGATCGTACGGTGAAGACGACGGAGTGGCCATGCTGAAGCAGGTAGTCGACGCAATGGGCGGCGATAAAGCCGGAACCGCCTGTCAAGAGAACTCTCATATTGTTGGGTATGTGATGATAACGGTTTCTGAAGATTTTGGACGGGTGGATTAGCTGTGGCTGAACTGGTCTAAAAAGATTTGTTTTACTGAGCAGCATCGAACTCTTTATACCTTCTGATAAGCTTCGGCAGTTGTCGGTCAAAAGTCCGTCATGGCAGAGATAGTCGCCCTTGTATCAGAAAATGGGCGAGGTAAGCACGTCATTAACCTGTTCCTGGCGCCAGCTAGAGGGCGAATTGAACCCTTAGTCGCTTGAAAACTCTTTATCCATTCTCCTCGTCATGGAGTTGGTTGGCTTCATCTCCGCTAAACCCGTCGTAATCGATAGCGGCTCCCCACATGCCACGCCGTTCAAGGGTCCGAATCGGATATAACGTAGACTTGCGCTCGTGGGGGTGATCCCGAGTTGCAAGCTGGACCACTCATCTCAGACTTACTGTATGTGTGGAAGTGCCTTGGATTGGGCATCGACATGGTGGGTTGGAACGCTGCGAGGTCGCGATAGGATGTGTCGCCAAGGTGGACCAAGAGAGTGGCTGCTTTGTGAGAGATGGCCAAGTACGAGTAGTGTTGTAGTTGTTGCTGGGCATTCATCTTAAACACTGGTAGCCTGATATATCACCTCTGAGGAGGAGGGTAAACGACGCAGGCGATGCCACGGAGCAAGTGGGAGTACGTTCAGTATCTCACCCAAGCCTCAGCAAGCTGCTTTGTGCGGCCCCTACTCGTGCTTGGCTGCGATGTTGTTGGTATGAGTGGCGCATAGAGACGCTGCTCGGCTGGTAGGAGAGAGGGGAAGGCGGGAAGGCTAAATGGCTGCGGAGAAATTGTCGCCTCCCACTAACAAACCACGCGTAAGGCTGTCCATCTTTACAACTCGAGTTTGTTCCCTTACGCAGCACATCCACCCGGACTTATTCACCATCATGGGCAATGACGGAGGAAGGTGAGTCGATTCCTGTTGTCCTGAGACATTGATGTACAGATTGCTGACAGTGGACAGTATTCCTACACGACGTGAGCTCGTCAAGGAAGCGGCGCGGAACCCAACAGCCACCGAACTAAAAGACAAGCAAAAAGAGCACCTCGCTCACCGTTGGTCCACCTGTCCAGTCTCCCACAAGCCCCTCAGGAAGCCTATCGTCTCAGATTACTCAGGCGACCTCTACAACAAGGACGCCATCATTCAGTTTCTCTTACCCGCCGAAGCTAGCTCTGTGGACAAGCCAGAGTACGAGAAATTCATCCAAGGCCGCATCAACAGTCTGAAGGATGTGGTCGAAGTGCAATTTGAAACAGAACATGATGAGAAGACCAGGTCGGACCGATGGATCTGCCCCGTCACATCCAAGGAGCTCGGTCCGAATGTCAAGGCAGTCTACCTCGTACCCTGCGGCCATGCTTTTTCACAAGAGGCCATCAAAGAGATGAAGAGCGAGGGAAAATGCGTCCAGTGCGGCACTCCATACGAAGAAAGAGACATCATACCCATTCTTCCGAGCACTGAGAAAGACAAGGCGCTCGTAATCGAGCGGATAGAAGCCTTGCGCTCTCTGGGACTCTCGCATTCCTTGAAAAAAGCCAGCGGGAGCAAAAAGCGGAAGGCAAATGGTAGTGACAAGTTGGAACAAGTGCAAAATACTTCGGAAGTGCAAGCAACCAGGACAAATGGGCAGGAGAAATCATTGCCGTCTAACGCCTCTCGTCCTGCGACAACCCACCCAGGAACCTCGACGCCCAACTTGCCCCATGGGATTAAGAATGCCACAACCGCCAGTCTCACTGCCCGAGTCTTGGAAGAGGAAGAAGCAAGGAAGAAGAGACGGCGTGAGAACGAGAACATCAGCTCCCTGTACTCGAAGCATTCAGACGAGAAAGCCAGGAGAGACGGCGATTTCATGACTCGAGGGTTTTCGATCCCTGCAAACGCCCGACACAAATAGTCACAACGTCATCCGACGCTTCATCCAAAACATTCTACGCCTACGTCTTCCGGATGGAGGAGCATTTGACCGACCATTGTGGTCATTCTGGCGAGAGTTGAGTGCAGCAAGATTGACATCTTGCGCAGATGGCACCGATACTAACTTCGCACGCTCATCATATGGCTTACTTCCCCCATCAATGCGATTTGCGGGGAATGTGTCGACGCCGCTAAAATGAGCACTCATAATCCAACACCTGTCGTCGGTCGAACAACAACACGGGGTACAGGTGGCCTATCATATGTCTTCCTGTCTGGGGAGGCGATGGGCTGCGGTCGTTCTAAGGCTGGCTTACTCGTCGCTTTGGCTTACTGGCTCACGTCCGAACGATGAAATGCCGGAATGTCCCAGCCCAAAGTATTCAACCCCAGCGGTAATCGGACATGGTCGTCACGGTCTATATGCAGATTCTCTCACCGTAATCAGGGTATACTACCATAGAAGCCGTTGTCATTGGTGCTTCTCGCTTTGACTGATTTCCGACACCGTTATACTCTGACAAAGCTCGGCCAAGAACATTTCCTCTTGTGGAACTCTAGCTCAACACATCAACTGAACGACAGTTCTGTTGTCTATCTATTCACCAGCTCGAGTATAAAAGCAGACCACACCTTCGCAAAATGCTCCAAGTATTCGATAAAGAAAGTCCTATCGGTACAACCGCTTCAGGAGACACAGCGTGATCTGCCGTCTTTCAGGAAGAGACAAACCAAGGTCTGCAACCTTATTGCCGTCAAAGCACTATGTCGAAGTTTCCCTCCTTCACCAAAACATGGCATCACTCGCCCTACGCTGCGATTGACCCTCGTCAACCTTCTCTATCCGCTCAGGGAAAGACTGTTTTCATTACCGGCGGCGCAACTGGAATTGGCAAAGCAACGGCAATCGCCTTTGCCCAGGCGAAGGCAAGGGCCGTTGTCATCACAGGTCGGACCAAATCCACGCTTGACTCTGCGAAGGTCGAGATCGAGGAAGCAGCACAGGCTGAAAGTAACCGGGACTTCCAGTGTCTGGTCTTTCAAGCCGACGTGACATCCGCAAGCGCCATGGAGGACGCTTTTGGTCAGACCGTCCAGAAGTTAGGCGGAATCGATGTACTTGTCTCCAATGCAGGTTACGTGGATAGCCACTCAGTCATTGCCCAATCAGACCTGGATGATTATTGGCAATGCTTCGAGACGAATGCCAAAGGCGCTCTCGTGGTTATCAAGGCATTCTTGAAAACGCATTCAGCAGCTCAACCTCAATCGGCGTCAGCGCAGAACCCGCCTGTTCCTAAGCCCATCATAATCAACATCTCTTCGGGCGCTGCTCACCTGCCTCCCCCCGTGATACCCACCTTCTCCGCCTATGCTGCCTCGAAACTCGCAGCTCTTCACATCTTTTGCTACCTCCAAGACGAACATCCCGATGATCTCATAGTGTTCAATCTCCAACCGGGTGAAATTCCTACCGCAATGGCAAGAAAGGGACAGCGAAACATGGCGAAGGATGACGTGCGGCTACCTGCTTCCTGGTGTGTCTGGGCCGCGGCCAAGGCAGAGAGTGATGCGAATTTCCTCAAAGGTAGGTTCGTGTGGGGCAATTGGAACGTTGATGAGCTCTGTGAGAGGAGGGAGGAGGTAGAGAAAGGAGATCTCCTCAAGGTAGAGTTGAAGGGTTGGGGAGGGGAGTTTGTGGAACGATATGTTGAATGATACGCTTTGCGAACCGATCAACGGATAGGTCTAGGTATCTCAGGTTAAAGCGGTCTTGGGAAAACAAGACTTACATCCAGAAGTTCGAGAGAACACTGGCAAGTATAGACAGTCTGAACCGTCCATTTTTCAAGTAATAATAACTTATGAGCCCTTCTGGACAAAGCATCCATGCCGATTTTGGCCGCCTGGCAGGGGTACGTGTCCGGGGTTGCGTTCTCGTACGGTCAGATCGATGATAAGCAAAGTCTAAGTAGAGCTTACTACATCAACCTCCTTTTCGTTTGAGCTTGTATCTCTGATCCACCGTTCCGCCTGTACATCATAACAATACCCGATATTCTTCATGGCTGCTGTTGTAAAAGCCAAGGGCTCCAAGCATGGCCGGCATCTGCTCAACAAGGGTCACCAAAGCCCGCAGCAATTACCTAGGTACCCAAATTCCTAGGTAGGTGCTCTCGAGCATGAAACGGCACGTGCCAACACTGTCATTAGTGTCGCCGAAAGATTTGATCCCGTCCATTGGGATTATCCAGCGGAATTCCAGCCATATGATATAGCAATCGAATGTGACGAGGGAGTTTTCAGCTACCTTGTCTGTCCCCATTCCGAGCTCTGCCTGGATCCCAATAGGAGAGAGCCGCACCTAGACTGTCTTGTTGTTGCCGTCGAAGGGGCTTGCTCTGGAAATGGGAAGCAGCACTCGGATGTGAAAGCAGGCATCGGCGTCTACTTTAGAAGCGCCTCATCAGGGAATAAACGAGCCAGCCTTCCCAGCCAGATCTCGACGAATCAGCGAGCAGAACTTGTAGCATCCATTGTCGCCCTTGCTCGGATCAGGAGGCTTATGGGACCAGATGGTATATTGTGCGATGACTGCGGTATGAACCATGTAATAATCAAGACGGACTCGAATTATGTTGTTCAGGGGATGACTGAATGGATGGGGAAATGGCAGAAAAATGGATTCCGCACCGATCGCGGGGCCCCTGTTACAAACTCGGCTCTCTTTCAGTTGCTGGGCAAAATGGTCACTTTGGTCCAAGATACTCTGGCCTGCACGGTTTATTTTTGGCATGTCCCCAGAACTTTCAACAAAGAGGCGGACAAGTTGGCTAAAGAGTCTCTGATCGCGGGTGCCGTTGAGGATCCTGAGATGGAGCTGTGAGCATTGGCGATTGAAGAACGGATGGGCGCAGAAACATCCCTCGACAATAACAAGGAAGCAGGACCCTTTGTGTGTTTGGATCAAATGCTGTCTTGTGGTCCAGCCCTGAGGCTCTCAAGGGGCACATCGGCTCAAACTCTGTGTTAACAAGGCATTTTGGGTGACGTGGTGGTCATTGGAGGCGTCGAAAGCATCAGCAAGGAATATGAGAGGCAGAGGCACCTGCTGGAGGCGAATCATATATCCTCCACGATGTGCTGTGGGAGTCATGGGACAAGGAGCGGCAGCCTCGCCCACCCGCAACGAGGCTGAGACTACTAGCCTGAGTCGCGCCTGCCTCATGTACCGAGTCTCTCTGTTGCTCTGTGTAAACTGATTGCACTCCTGGCAGGCGCCACCAGAGAATGTACGCAGCCCCGTCATCACCTCCATTTTCAAGAATCTACTACCTGGTTCACCTTTCTCTTCATGCGAAGTCGGCCATTATTGCACTTTGAAAGGGACTCTTTTTTTTTGGCAGAGTCATGATGGACGCTTCCGGAACAGTGCCCAAGAAAGGCCGCAAGAGACTCAGACAGACTCTTCTGACATTTTCTGCTCATGCTACATCAAACCCTGCCTCGCAGAATTCATCACTTGTCTCTGACCGTGTCGGTGGCACCGTGAGGCCGTCTCAACCACCCACCTTGCCCGCCGAGATTTGGCACCGCATTCTTGAGCCACTGAGTACTTTGGGACTGAAAACAATGCGCTTGGTGTGTCGCGACTGGTCTCTGATAGGCGCTCAATACTTGTTCAGCACCGTCTATTTGAACAGCTACGAGAAGGCCTGGGCCGGGCTCCGGAGCATTTGCAATTCCAACTACGCTCCTTGCGTAAGGAGGATTGTCTGGAATCCGCTGGTATTGCTTGAAGCATGTCTCGACGGTCCGGTGTGGAGGCGCAGGTACCAGAATCTTCTCGAGGGATTGAGTCAATCAGAAATTTCCGCCCTGCATCGAGAGTACATTAAGCTGCATTCGAGAAGGAGAGACCTGTTTCGATCTTCAGCTATCAACCCCATATCAAAAGCCCTTCGAAACCTTCCCCACTGTTACGAATGTGTCATATCAGACGACTACGATTTGGAGTCAACTTGTCTTGATCCTTATGTGAGGAAGAGCGTCCAAGGACTTCTCCGCGAGCTTCCAGGTCATGCTATATGGGGATTGCGGCCCAAGTGGACAGTAAATTACTTCGGTGAATACGTTCAGAACAACGAAGTCAAGCAGATAATGCACACTGGTATAGAGGTATTCAAACTGCTCCAACACTGTGCGTCCATCAAAAGCTTGTCCGTTGAATGTTGGGGAGAGAGTTGGTTTCGCATTACAGAACCTGGAAGATCTCTGCGGAAAGGCTCAGGAGTTATGCATGGATACACTATCCATGGTGTCTACCACTCGGCCATTCAGAACATTTCATTGCGCCTCAAATGCTGCAGGGGTGGTTGGCTACCAGGCAGTCAGGATCAGCCGCCATTTTACTTCGAGGATGCTTTCGGTGGCATGTTCTCGTTCCCTGAGCTGCGGGAATTGTCTCTCGAGCCGGTTTACACAGACCCAGGTCCGGACTTCTTCGAAGATCCTTACACAACAGAAGGAGATGAAAGCTCCCCTGAGCCTGAGCCTGAGCCAAATGAGGATGGCTCTTCAGCCGGATCACAGTCCGGGGAATCGCCACAGTTCCACAGCACAGCGTGTGAGCTGCGAGAATGCTGCCCTCGACCACATTGGCTGACACTCGACATGATGCATTCACTTTATGCAAAGTTGGATCTTGGTTTGGTGAAGCTTCCAAAATTGGAAAAGCTTGTCGTCACCAATGTCACACTTGATGCGAGATGCCTTCTTTTATGGCTATGCGAGCAGGTGCAACTTCCTGTTTCTGGGCTTTCAATCTGCTTACAAGGCACTGCCTTTCTGTTTGACCTCGATCCGAAGACCCTGTTCCAAGGACTCGCTCAACTAAACGTCAATTTGTGCTATGATCCAGATAAGACATTCCACTATGGGAATGATCCAGAGAGGACATTCCACTTTGGGAATGCACCAGATGCCCTCATACTCTCCGACGGGAACACCATCCGACATGTTCCGACAAGTTGGACTGCTGATCTGGTGGTCTGGTCAAAGTACGACATCGAACTGCTGCTCTGGGAGAGTCCACCCGTCCAGATGCCGCCATCTTCAACGTTCGAGAATCTTGTTGTCGGACCAATCGATGTCAGGCGTCGCCCTAGCGCATTTATATCTATGCACCGCCAGTGGCCGAGCATCGAACTGGCCTACTACACCATGCCTGGCGTGGAGGGTGGCATCTGCGACTGGTTGCCAATCAGCCCGCCCGAGTCATTGACCCTCCTTGTGTACAGGCCGCATCGATTCTGACCCCGGTTCTTGTGATGAAGAACTCGAGCCTGCAATACGCAGTAGCACAATCGAGGTGGATCAACAAGAGGCACAACTCGATTAGCAAAGACAGTAGACGCTCTTACTGTTCGATGCGGAGTTGTTTGTACTTGAAGTTATGGAACAACTCAACCATACGAATAGCGAAGATTTGTCATTCACCCTTGTTGAGGGAGCAGACAGAGAACTCTCTTCAAAAAACAGAGTCAAAATGGACGCTGATATTTTTCCAAGTACCTCGTGTCGGAGGTCATGACTATTGCCCTTTGGAGCCGGTGCAGTCCTTCTAGCCGCAACGATGAGGGAAGCTGTTCGACAAAGCATGAAAGGAGACCAGGCTACCGATTGCCTGGGTACCTAGTGTCTGGCAAGGTTCCTCCATTTTCTGGTAAGCGGCATAATGAGATTGAGGTAAATGTGAAATAAATAGACAGCTGTGCAGCGAATGTCTATCAATTTGCAGTAGCGTCTCTTTCTCGCAATCTTCACCATGTCCCTCGTATTTGGATCCTCTCACTGTGCCCCTAGTTCCTCCAGCTTCGTGTCGCTCACCATCATGGGCAGCCTGTAAGAGCAGTGAAACCAGAATGCGAAGAGAAGGAACGAACCCACTCATTTTCATTTTTCTAGCTCAACCGGTTCAAGAATCCTCTCTGCGAATCCGGGGTACGCTGGGCATCGTTAGTGGTCATTCTCCCTGGCTGTACCTCGTATGAAGCCGGCCTTCCTAAAAGCGGCGCTTATTCCGCCTCAGCAATTTACGCGTCGAACGCGCCGACCTCTATCGTTTGATTGTGGCCAGTTAGACTCAATGCGGCCATTTGTTCAATCACTCCATGGCCGAGACCTCCGATTGCTAGATAGCATCATTCGCCCCCGGCCGCTCCTCATATCCCACAATCCCCCTCGAGAGACCAAAAAGCCCACCGTCAAGCCATGGCTCCTGGCCCAAGGTCAATGGAGGGGAGCAAAATCGGTGTCAGGGAAGAAGGTGAAAGAACTACAACAAGGCACGATCCAGGCTGAACCCCTTCCCGATCTACCTGCCGACGATGAGCCCCAGTATCCGACCGTGCTCAAGGGTGCCAAATCCAACATGGCCAAATTCGACAACTGCGTCCTACTCACCCGTGTCGGCAATTTCTACGAATTGTACTTCGAACAGGCGGAAGAATATGGGCCGCTCCTCAATCTCAAGGTCGGCCACAAGCAGACCAAGCTCGGTCCCGTTGCGATGGCGGGATTCCCCTTTTTTCAGCTGGACAGATTCTTGAAAATGCTCGTACAAGACCTCAACAAATATGTTGCCATATGCGAAGAATTCTTGGTCCAGGCCTCGGGCAAGGTCAAATCAGGAGGTCTCAAACACGACCGTCGGGTGACAAGAGTGATTACCCCGGGCACGTTGATTGATGAGAAGTTCCTAGACCCATACGAATACAACTTTTTGCTATCTATTGATCCGGAACCTATCGTGACCGACCAAAGCAGTGTTAGCACCTCCGGAGGGTCAGCACCCGAGCCTGAGCAGAAGATCGGTCTTGCTTGGTTGGATCTATCCACTGGTGACTTCTATACGCAGATCACCGGCCGCGGCTCGTTGTCTTCGGCGTTGACCAGAATTGATCCCCGGGAGATTGTTCTGCCTTCTGACGTTTCTGAAGAAATTCGCAACGAGGTACAGAACATTGTTGGCCATGATCATCGACTCCTTACATTGCACAAGACAGAAGGTGAATTTGTATCCATGACAGAGTGGAACGAGATGCTCGAGTCCCCTGTGGCTGAACATTCAGACGGAGTATTCAGCACAGCAGAAAAATATGCTGGTCACCGACTCTTGGACTACGTCCGCAACCGGCTGCAGGGGTTACAGCTTCGTCTGCAGCCTCCACGTCAAAGGGAACTCCAAGCAATTCTGAACATTGATCGTAACAGTCTTAGGGGCTTGGAGATTTTGGAGACTGCACGAGACGGCCTTGGGAAGGGCAGCTTGTTTCATGCTGTCAAGAGGACCTCAACTAAAAGCGGTGCTCGCCTTCTTCGAGACCGTCTTACATCACCATCAGCTTCCCTGAGCGAAATCAATGACCGACTTGACCTGGTGTCAGTATTTGTTGAAAATGAGGAATTCACGGAGTCTTTGATCTTCCGTCTTCGACGGACATTCGATGTCCAACGTATCGTTCAAAAATTTGCTCTAAACAAAGGAGATGCTGACGACATGCTGTCGCTGGCGAGCGCCATCGCTGAGACTGTTGCAACGAATGATCTTTTGCAGTCACTGGAACAAGATTTGAAGACCGCTGAGAACCATGAGTTGGATCAAGCAAATGTGATAGTTCCGCTCCAAAAGCTGTTACGGCGTTTTGAACTGCAAGGCCCGGCCGAGCTTCAGGCTCTGATTTCCTCGGCCATTGATGAGCAGGGTCTCATGCAGAAACACCGGCTTGAAGAAGACGAAGCGGCAAGTGTGGCAGCCATGGCACATGATGTCGTCCTGCAAAGCGCTCCAGAAGAATTGGAGTTGTTGCCCAAAGCTGTGAGAACAAGGACCAAGTTGGAAGACCCGAAGAAGGACGAGATTGAACTCGAGGAGCCATGGATAATGCGGCGCAATGCTAGCGAGGCGCTTCTACGGCTACATGAAGACCTAGACTCACTGCAAACAGAAAAGGTCAATCTGGCGAACAGACTGCGAGAGGAACTATCTGCGCCGACTTTGATTCTCAAATCCACACCGGGCCTAGGCCACATCTGCCATATTCGCAGCGCCACAGGCTTCAATCGAGAAAAGTTGGAATCGCTCGATGCAAGGATGGTCTCGTCTTCGAAAAGTACTCGCTCCTTCTATCTGAGTGACTGGACACGGCTGGGCCGACGGGTTGATCAAGTGGTTCTCAACATCCGGGAGGAAGAAAAAAGAATCTTTGCAACGCTGAGGGAGCTTGTCATCAAGAACTTAGTGACATTGAGGCGCAATGCGGCAGTCATGGATGAATTAGATGTCGCAAGCGGTTTTGCTGTCCTTGCGAGGGAGCAATCATGGGTTCGACCCATCCTAAACAACGGTATGGAGCACAAGATCATCGGGGGCCGGCACCCTACAGTCAAAGTAGGATTGGAAGAGCAAGGCAGATCCTTTGTCAGCAACAATCTCCTCCTTGACCACAACGAGCGAATATGGCTTGTAACCGGGCCCAACATGGGTGGAAAGAGTACATTTCTCCGGCAGAATGCTCTGCTTACGATACTTGCTCAGGCCGGGTCGTACGTCCCGGCTGTCCACGCTGAAATTGGGCTCGTGGACCAGATCTTCAGTCGAATAGGGGCTGCAGATGACTTGTTTCGAGATCAGTCTACTTTCATGGTCGAGATGCTGGAGACAGCAGCCATTCTCAAACATGCCACTCCCAAGTCGTTTGTGATCATGGACGAGGTAGGGCGGGGCACGACTCCTGAAGATGGCACAGCGGTTGGATATGCGAGTCTGTATCACCTTTATCACGTTAACAAATGCCGGACGCTTTTCGCAACCCATTTCCACGCACTAGCAGACATGACGCGGAACTGGTCAAAACTGGGTTGTTATTGCACTGATGTGCTCGAGCACGAAGATGGCTCATTCATGTTCCTGCATCGATTGAAACAGGGCATCAACAGACACTCCCACGCACTGAAGGTGGCCAAACTGGCCGGACTGCCTCCAGCAGCTCTCAAAGTTGCAGAAGAAGTCTTGTTACAGATTACGGCGGAGAAGACTAAGGTACAGGGACAACCTCGTCCGCCAGAGGCAGCATTCGAAGGGGGAAAGACATTGATGGCTGCAACTGGGTGACCATCGGTGTCATTTCCTCATTCGTCCGGGAACCTCGGAGGCTGTTGAATCTCACCTGGTGCTGGTTTCGATGTTGCAACTGTGCCACAATTTTTACATGTCCGGGCGTCCTTATTGTTCTCAAACGCCAAGACACCTTCCTTGATCTGTGTGCCCAGGTCTGTGAGGTGGAAGCTTGCCTCATGGACAATGTTGTGACAATTCTTGCAATACCACCTCAGCGTGTCAACAGATTCTTCCGGCCGGGGCTGTTCAAGTACAACACCCACGGTGTCCGCAAACCGGACAGGGTTATGAGGAGTGTTGGGAGGTAGCAGAAACATGGAGTTCTCGTGAATGGGGACGTCAACGGGCGTATGCGGTGTGGTGGAGGTGTCCATGGTTTTCAGCAGCATGGAGCCCTTATGCTGATAAAAGAACTCGGGAGTGGTATTGATGTGATAGTCTGTTCGAGCGTTTGGCCCGCCGACAACCATGACAGTCAGACCGCCGGTAGAGGACGAAGGGGCGTAGACACAATAGTTGTTAATGGGCGGCTTGAGCAGGTGCGAATTGTCTTTGAGCCTGAAGAACGAGTCAGCGCGAGTCCGTGCAACATCGAAACACTGAAATGTTCATGGTACCATTTGGGTAGATTTAACGCGCCCGCCATGATGGAGTGGTTTCTAGAGGGGACCAGGGTCAATTTGGAGGGGAATGGGCCTTTGCTCAGCCGTGCAGCAGGAGGAGCGAACAGTCCGACTTGTGTAGAACAAACCCGAGTATATCTGCGCAGACTCCTGACAGACTTCATGGAGTGCGGCTATGTTCCTGACTTGCAAATGTGGCCAGCAGAAGGTGACGGCCCGCGACTCTTATATGAACTGGTGGAATTGCGGGAAGTTTATTAATGAAGGCGACACGGGCGATCAACGTCAGTCGACGCATCCACGCATCATGCAAAAAGCGGCATGTGAACTGGGCAGCCCTGGCACCCACCTGGGACTGCCACTGACTGGGTGACTAACGAGCTGATTCCGATGCGGAGAAAAAAATTGTGTGCGGAGAACCTGAAGCGACAAGTTTCGACTTTTCTGATGTGAATGTTCGATTCTCAAGCGCAGGCACAAACACAAACAGTCGCATCCGCACATGAACATGAGCTGACCCTTGACCTTCCTCCCCTCTATCCCACAATGTCGATCTCTCAACCTTCCCTTCGGTTCTCCTCCCACAAATCCCTAACCTCACGTCTGATCCTCTCGACGTTGCTCGGTCGGCCTGTCCGCATCGACCAGATCCGCCCCAATTCACCCACCAACCCTGGCCTGGCGCCTCACGAGATCTCCTTCCTGAGACTTCTCGAAGCAGTGACGAATGGCTCGCACATTGAAATATCATATACAGGCACGGTACTGCTGTACAAGCCGGGATTGATCACTGGGTCGGCGCCGGGTAGTGGAGCGGACGGTGTCTCCGGAGTGTTGAGACACGAGATCCCCGCCACGAATACACGAGGACTGGCCTACTTTCTGATCCCCATGTGTCTACTTGCGCCGTTCAGCAAGGCCAAGTTCAACATCTTGTTCACTGGCCCCGGTGTGATCACGAGTTCCACCCCAGACACGTGGGGGGATATGAGCGTGGATTCGGTCAGGACTGCGATTTTGCCTCTCTACGCCAAGTTTGGCATCGAGAGGGATATCGAGTTGAGGATCTTAAAACGATCAAACCCTGGACCTAGGGGTTTGGGTGGAGCGGGCGAGGTACAATTGGTGTTCGGCCACCAAGTGCGACTACCCAAGACTTTACATATGCTCAATCCAGGAAGGGTGAAGAAGATCAGAGGCGTGGCTTATTCAACTGGTGTCAGTGGACAGAACAATGCAAGAATGATCGAGGCAGCGAGGGGTGTGTTGAATCAGTTCGCTGGGGACATCTATATCTTCTCCGACGTTGGCAGTGCTAGTCTGATGCCTGCACCGACAAAGGACAACCCAAACGCAAAGAAGAAGGTCGGGCTCGGGTTTGGGCTGTCACTCGTGGCTGAGACTTCAAGTGGATGTCTATACTCTGCAGACTCGGCGAGTCCTCCCGAGGGTGGCAGACCGCCGGAGGACATTGGGCGGATGTGCGCATTCCAGCTGCTTGAGAGCATTGAGAGAGGTGGGTGCGTGAGTCTGGAGGCCCTCGAGACAGTCTTCACCTTGATGACCATGGGATCTGAGGATGTCGGTAGAATCCAGGTGGGGCGAGATGTGATGGCCAACGAGCACACGATTCAACTGGCGAGAGATCTGAAGGCCTTTGGCTCGGCAGGGTGGGGAATCAGAGATGTTGAAGGTGAGAAGGGAGATGGGCAGCTCTTGGTCAGCATTGTGGGTAGAGGAGTTGGCAATGTTGGGCGAAAAATTGGTTAAAGATGAGTCGATTCCACGGCCTACGAGTGAACTGCATCTAGTCATCAAGCTGTCCGACAACCTCCAGAAAGGACGAGACTCGCTCGGCTTCGCGGACCGACAGACTGCAGCATCACGCTCCCTTTCGTCCTTCTCCAGACTATCGGTTCCCCGATCACAGCTGAAAGCGTCAGATTTTCCCTGCGATCTGAGATCTGCGATGTCGGCACGGCTTTTGCTGCGCGCCTTGCTGACTAGAGGGCAGAAGGATGCCAGCGATGGATGCGATACCTCAACGCGCCATGCAGTCCACAAGGTCATTAATAGCAGTCATGGTCAGCAAAGCAGAGTCAAATCGACCTGGCCTCCATCAGCGCACAACACAACAAGACAAATAACAAAAGTTGTTTGTCGGCGAAGAGATTTCTACACGACTTCTCGGCCAGCTGCCGGTCTTTGTCTCGCGCCGAGCTGATGGCGAGGCTCCGCTGGAGCAGCCAATAATAGAAGGAGGGAGATCGGAAGGGAGAGCCAGACTCGGCGCTACGGGACGCCCGGATGGTTGGCGACTTGCGACCAGGCTTGTGAAGCTTGTGAAAGCCCCCGGGGTCTGCAGCTTCCAGGGTTGCATAATAAGACACTCGCGTGCCTGAGCATAACATTCCTAGAGGTACACGGGTATCATGAACGACAGAACGAGATACCAGTGTCGAGGCTTGTAACACCATATGCTCTGTTGTCCTTGGACTTCAAGTTGCCACATATTAGAACTGACTGGAACGGAGAGAGGGGCGGAAGAGGCGGGAATAAAATCGTTGCCAGTGACGAAATGGCATCATTCATGTCCTTTTTTCTCCACGCCACATGTGTCTTTCAACTTGATTGTGCAAGTAATACACGTCCATGTCACACCGGCATTAGTAGAATTCAGCAACCGAGCCCTCACGGACGAATCCAAAGGAACCATCAGCTCAAAGGATCCAGACAAAGCTCACCAGCTGGGGCACACGACAAATGCCTCTATGTACGAGCATGGATGGAGCTGCCGGAACGCGGATGCGTGCCTGATTACTTGATACAGGCAAGCTTTGGTCACCATCAAGAGACGATCCCCACCGCTGGATGCGCCTTGTCCATGGTCCATTGGCTTGTTCCTATCACTCTGCTGGTCCGCAAGGGAATCTGCTGACCTAGGGTATACACCTGTGGGTGCCTGCGGGCAGCCAGTGAGCTCAGCTATTCTTTTCCAAACACGCCCGTTGACTAAATCGCCGCTGGAAACTCTGTTCCCTAGCCAGAGCCTCGGTGCTGCCCGGAAGGGGGCCTCACCTTACTCATACGAGCTGCCGGTGTGTGAGGGACTGATGGCATCGACAGGCTTTTTCCCCTTCTAGAGGCAAGGGTGGTGGCTGGCATGCTCCTCGTACCATATGCTGCCTTGTCCTTTGGGCTGGTATCCGGCTTGCCCGTGAAGTGCATGCTCTATCCCCGGTCCATACATATTGCCGCTTATCCCACATCGTCTGGCTGTTGTGAGATGCTTGCGGCTCTTTTCCCTAACAGCTGACCTTTTCCTTCTGGATAGCCTCTGTAACCGCGACACACAGCAAGACACTAGGCAGATATCAGAATCAAAAGAATACGGCTACAGACGACCTAGCCAAAGCAGGGAAGTTGCAAAAAGACGAAGAAAGGTCCTCGCAATGGGCGGTGCAGGCGCATTCCTTGAGCCTTTGGCCGTCATCGTCCTCCTCTTTGGCGGTGCCTGGATCAACCGTGCCCCGGATTCCTTCTCATTCTCGCGGGGCCCTCTCACCTTCTCGTCCGAGGAAGATGATGACACCGACGTCCCCGACCTTCCGCTCGCTCGCGCGGTCGATGCCGACGCAGACGCCGATGTTGAAAACCAGCACATCTCCCGATCGAAGCGATCTCTAAGCCCATCTCTATTGCCGAGTCAAGAGGACAAATGGCGGGAGCGGGAGCTCAAGATACCTGTGTGGGGATATCGGAGGGTGATCCAGACACCAAATACCGCAGTGTTCAGGCATAGACTGCTGAGTAGAATATTGCACAAGTTTCCCTTCTTGGTAGAGGCCTGGTATTGGGCTCTGATCTATTGGGTCAGTCAAATTCCTGCAGCAGCAATCACCCTGGGTCCTATCGTGGAACTCCCATTCTGACACACATGTGGGAAATAGGTCTACCAGCTCGGCCGCGCATTTACTGCTGTCACGTTAGTCGAAGGCACCGTCCACGTTGCCCGCCGACATGCGCTGCAAGTCATCGAACTCGAACAGCATCTGCACATCTTCTGGGAAGTCCCCATCCAGAAGTTCTTCATGTCCTATCCGCGCTTGATGATGGGCATCAATTGGCTGTACAGCTTTATCCATATTCCAGGCACCATCGCGTTCTTGGTGTGGCTGTTCTACTATACAATCACGAAGAATCGGCAGATTCAACGCCGTGCAGCTGCACAGTCAGGTGAGAAAGCGAGCGACGTCGGACCGGCAGGATCACCCTCGGGACCGTGGCTCTACGAAGCGCGCAGACGGACGATGGCGGTCTGCAATCTGCTAGCGTTCGTCGTTTTCACGCTGTGGCCATGTATGCCGCCTCGATTGCTGAGTGACCCGGAATACAATGGACCTCAAGCCGAAATCGCACAGAGCTTTGGGTTCGTTGATACTGTGCATGGCAAAGAAGGCGCAAGTTCGGTGTGGACGCAAAATCGGTTCTGCAATCAATATGGTGAGTCAAGAATCCCCATCTATCAGATCTAAGAGCGCAAAGCATGAAAGCGGCCAGTTACAAGGTATGGATGCTGACAGTCCTGTCCTGGACAGCGGCAATGCCCTCCCTGCACTTTGGCTACTCTCTCCTGATCGGCGTCACCATTATGACGATCCCGCTTGCGCCCCAGCACTCGCAGCCCTCGAAGATCGTCCATCTTCCGTTCTTCAACAACTCCCACCCGGACCTTGCCCCTCATATCCGGCTGCCCAGCACGCGGCGCATGCTCTGCCTTGCCCTCGGCTTCTTGTACCCTTTTTCCATCCTGACAGCCATCGTCGCGACAGCGAACCATTTCATCCTCGACGCGGTCGCAGGCTCAGTCGTGTGTTTTCTGGGCTGGAAATTCAATGATGTCCTCCTCAACCTGCTCGTGGTTGAGGATTACTTCCTCTGGTGTCTGAGGATCCACAAGCCTGTCCAGGTCCCGCTGCAGGCCGAAAGGCAAGCGAAGCCAGCAGGATCGGGGCTTAAAGAGAAGGAAGGATGGGAGCCGGAGAAAAGAACTGTGGTGGTGAATGCTGCTTGAGGGCTGATCTTGTCTCCGGAACAGGAACTTGGAAGGATTGCAGCATTTACTGGGCCTCCCATCATGATCGATTGAAAGTCTTTACTGGCCACAGAGTTCATTCCAAGGACGTCTCTCTTCCAAGTGTCTCAGATCGCCCGCTCCGTCCTTCTCGGAGACGCCAGACAGTGCAACTCTTGCTCAATCTGACAGAACGGCGCGGTACTCGGGTGCAAAGACCCGAAGCTCAACCAACCGACCCACCAACTAATCCACCCTAGCCTTCCCGTTGTCTAAGGGTTTCTACCCTATCAGGGGCCTAACCCTCCCTCCTGCAGGACTACGACAAATGGAATGCAAGCCTGCATAGATTGATGCTGAACATGAGCGTCTGATGGATTGAATGTATATAGACTAACTTTTCTTGATAACGAGGCGTTGAACGATATGACGATTTACGACGAAAGGCCCCGGGAGGGTCCTGCGTTTGGCATTCTTCGTGTGATGTGTTGGGGCCATGGAATCTGATAATTAATGCATGCATCAGGGACGAGGAGAAACAGGAGAGATGTCTGAGGGGAACTGCTTCATCTGAAGTCGGGAGAGGAACATGGAGCTTGATGCCCGCCACTACTGTCAACGCCTGCGCTGAGTATCTACTTGGTACCATGGCTTGATAATTGCCTTACGGATATCCTCGATAGATACCAGAGAGCGTTGGAAAGAGGATCCCTGGGTTCTCAGGGGAAACGATGCACGTTCTCAGTTGATATAATGAACTATGCACGTACATTGTAATACACAACACTCCCGGTTACAGGAGAGGTTTCCGCCTGACAATCCAGTCCTGGCTCTCAGGACCGTGTGCAGCCAGCGATCATCTACGTAGGATGGCAGTGGGAGGATTACTTCCCATCAATAGTGAATCCAGACATGGCTGCCAAGTCCACAGTGTAGGCCAACATTCGACAGGATGGAGTCACGAGGAAATAGATATACAAAGGACAAACATATTGCCTACCTAAGGAAGTAGTGAATTTAGACCCTTCTTCTGATATGGCAATGCCCTTCCGCTGACCACAAATAAGCCTCTTCGACGCCCACGAGGACTGCGATAGAACGACGACAAAGCGCGTTGTCGGCAGATGCCAAGCCCGATTGCCGATGCGGTATGAGGTCGCATGCTTCACCATATAATCGCATTTGGCTCTCTGCCTTGCCGTAACTGCAATCAGTCGCAGTTTCCAATTTCTCATCAGCGACGTCGCTGGTTCAAGGGCCCCGACTTAGACGGTGTTCAAATTGACCTCATATTGCTGCTCTGGAAATAGAGATGTCAAGATATGTCCAGACAGTGATCAGCTGAAGGAGGCCCCCCGATCTCACGAGTGTCCCAAGGGATACCTTCCCATTTGGTGCTGGGCTGATATCGATCTCTGATCTGAAGCTGCGGTGCACATTTGCCACAGCCTCCCGCGGCTGCGGTTCTTTCATCCCCAGCCACTTCCCTTTTGCCCAACAGAGACAAAGAGAATGAATGAACAAGTTGCACAGTGCAATTGATCACCACCTTCTGAATCGTTTTTGAATCACGTTGCTATCGCGACAACAATACCATCAGTACCGGCCAAACTCCCTCCAAACATCATACCCGCCCCGAGGCCGCCCTTTTGGAAAGGCAATCGCAACTGCCTGTGTCTGACACGGGCATTGACCTCTTTTCCCCGCCCGACTCTATCGGAGCTTAAGGTCAAGACCGGGAATCCCAACAGCAGCTTCTGCTGGTGAAGGAATCAGGTGAGCTACTTTTATTGTTTATGTTAGAGGTCCGGATGGTGTCTGGAAGAGCACAAAGAAGAGAAGGCTATCGCATGGGTTGACCTGGCACGCTCAGGACACAGCAATGGTGATTGCCAGCCCGAGTTCCCGTCTCGCCGTTTTCCACAGGGCAGCTCCCCCAAGGGTCTTGGCGACAGGCGGGCTTGTGATTGGCTCTCAGGCAGTTGCAGTGGCTTTTCTCTGAGTTGCTTTGGGGCATTTCAATTCCCTCTCCATCACAGTCGCAGTCGCAGTCTTCAATTCTCACCCCATCGCGACCACTTGCACCCTGCCATCCCACCCTTTGTCGCATCGATATCATCGTCATCATCATCCATCTATCCAGAGTCGCTTGGTTTGTGGTTCTCCCCCTGTTTGCCGTTGTCGGGTGGCCGATCTTGTTCAATCCGGGTTTTGCGTGAGCTAGTTGTGCTGTCGCGTTCCTCGTCCTTCGAGCGCACCACAGCCTGCGCCTTGATTTTACAGGGCAAACCGATCTTGCATTGACTAGTATCTCTTCAAGTACACCATTACTGATACCTTTGTCGGACAGGCTCAAACAACTTTCTCTGCCGCGCGCTCCACTTACGCGTCACTTCCCTCAATCTTCCTTCTTCACCTACTTCGGTTCAACATGGCTTCTGAGGAGTCGGCTCCCACCACAGAGGTCCCTGTTAAAGTGCCACAACCTGCCGATGGAGCTCCTCCATCGTTAGCTGAGCCTGCCTCTGGGACCGTCGCCGAGATGTCGGGAGCTCTTCCCGCTGAGAAATCTACTGAGGCTGAACCGGTTCAGAGCACAGGTACTCTTGATGCATTCATAGTTCAGGGCTCGTGCTGATCTTTACTCGCAGATACCGCAACCGCGAATGGCCCTGTCGAGACCGCATCAGAACCAACCAAGGAGCCACAAGAGCCGGTGACTGAGCCTGAACCTGTAGCAGGCACTGCCGAGGACGCAGAGACGAAAGAGACGGATGAAGCAGAGACTGCTCAGCCAGAGACCAACGGCGCAGCCCCTGCCGATAAGAAGTCTTCGTCCTCGAGAAGAAAGTCATCGACTGTCCCTGAACACAAAGGCAAGAAGCTCAACAAGAAGAAGTCCATGTCCAAAATGACCCATCTCGATGCCCAACCGGGCGATTACTATCTTGCCAGGCTCAAAGGATATCCACCTTGGCCATCAATCATCGCGGACGAAGATATGCTTCCTGACATCATGATCAACACCAGGCCTGTCACCACGAAGAAGGCCGATGGAACCTACAACGAAGCCTACGCGGATGGCGGCAAGAAAATGAATGAACGAACGTTCCCTATCATGTTTCTAGGCACAAATGAATTGTAAGCCCCTTCCCAACACCGCTGTGGTTGCGATGAAGCTGACGACAAATAGCGTCTGGATCCACAACACCGACCTGACTCCATTGACGCCCGATGAGTGCAAGGATGTCCCAGAAAAGGGCAAAGGCAAAGCTCTTCTCGGCGCATACAAGGTCGCTGCTGAAGGTCACGACTTACAATTCTTCAAGACCATGCTTGATGAGCATGCAGCTGCGTTGCAGGCTGAAATCGATGCAAAGGAGGCCCGAGAAGCCGAAAAGGTCGCCAAAGCTGAGAAGAAGAAGCGCAAGAGCGAGGCGAAAGCCGAACCCGAGGACGTGGAGATGGAAGACGCTGACGTCGATGTCGAGCCCAAGAAATCTTCCAAGAAGCGTAAGAAGGAGGTCGACGAGGAAGAAGACGAAGATGAGAAGGTAAGTGGCAGGAGGTTTTCTTGATATCGGCTGTATGTTCTGACTCGGTGTAGCCCGCAAAAACCCCCAAGACCACCAAGATCAAGTTGACCACCAACAAGACTCCCAAGACTGAAGAGAAGAAGCCCAAGGAGAAGGCAACCAAGGGCCGAGCGGACAAGAGGAAGTCTCGAGCTGCCCAAGAGGACGAGGAGATGGCAGACGTAGTCGAACCAGAGCCAGAAGAGAAGCCGTTGGACCCTGTCGAGGCCCGCAAGGCTCGCGAGAAAGAAGGTGAGTATTCAGCAACCCAGACCATTGCGCACTAGCTAATCTAGCCCAGTCCTCTTTCTCCGCCACAAGCTACAGAAAGGATTCTTGTCCAGAGATCAAGCTCCTCAAGAAGATGAGATGCCAATGATGGCAACGTACATCAAAAAGCTCGAGGGCTATGCGGATCTGGAAGTCAGCATCATTCGAACCACCAAGATCAACAAGGTCTTGAAAGCTTTGATCAAGCTTAACACCATCCCCAGGGATGAAGAATTCGAGTTCCGAAAGCGCTCTATGGAGCTTCTGAGCCAATGGAACAAGATTCTTGGTTCGGAGCCAGCGGATGGCGATGCTGCTGGGGACAAGGACACTGCCACGAACGGAGTTCATGATGAAAAATCCGAAGAAGCTCCAGAAGAAGAGAAGAAGGAAGAGTTTTCTGCTCCTCCCGAAAAGCCTGCTGATGCTGCCGAGGAGAAGCCAGCGGCGGAGCCTGAGGCAGAGAAACCTGCAGCGGACGCGGAACCCGAGAAAGCAGTAGCCGAAGAGCCAAAGCCTGTCGAAGCCGCAGAGCCACCGAAGACTGAAGTGGCTGCGCCTGAAACCGTGGAGAAAGCCCCGGAATCGGCAGCAGCTGCTACGGAGGCTGCGGACGTTGTCAAGGCCGCTGAGTGAGAGTGCACACAAAACCTACAGTGCGACGGTCTTTGAGGGTGAGGGATCATTGACGCGTGATATGCAATGTTTTTAGGCGTCCCTTGGAGTTTGGTTGGGATCGTCTGTCATCACTCCTGATGCATCCTCGCGGTCAGACACTGAGAAGGGCTCATGTGTTGGTGCAGAGGGCCTAGAGACGTCCTCGACATTAGTACGACACAGGTTGAGCAGGGTTGGCAATGATCGAAATGGGATCTTCACGCACATTGTCACGCTTCACGTCTCCGGAGGTCTTTGGAGGGAAACAAATGAGAGCTCAACAAGCACGATGGCGGGCTCTTGGCCTTATTGACTTCTTTACTTCGCCTTGTATTCAGTCAGATTATTTAGGAAAGAAAGGCAGCGCGCTGAGAGAGTTTTGCCCAATGTAGCTAGGACACGAAAAGAAAATGCGATATATTCCAACGAAATCATGTTGAACGACCCCAAAAGAGCAGTGCGGGTTACGAGTCGTGATCATGGTTTCATGGATACTTTGTTCTTGATCACCCGCAGTCAAGCTAGAAGGCATAGTAGGCGCGGGAAGGTCGCCTGCTTCGTCCTCGACGTCCACATCCACTTCCACTTCCATATCCACATCCCTCACCAGGAGTCTGAAACCGAGCCACCTTCTCACACCATAGACAGACAGATAGGAGAAAGAGAGACACGGACAGAAAATCCGATGAACAGATAGATACCAGGTAGATAGATAGATCCTATTTCGCCGCGCCCAAAGCTGCTCGGTACCCTGACCACGCTACCTACCCTAAGAGAAACTTTTTCAAGTAGAGAAGCGAAAACACTTGAAGTAAAGTAAAATGTGTGTGCATGCGTCGATCAACGACAATCGGATCGGGAGGCATGTGCGGGAAAAGTTACAGTGAATTTTCCTATTCAAACGCGGCCCCTTTTTCCCTCCCTCACAATTCGCCATCGCCCTCCGAGCCTGGGGTTTCATCGTCTTCGGGCAATTCGCTCAGACAGGTGTCAATCAAGGTCATCAGTTCGTCCACGTCCGGCCGCTCTGCCGGTTCGACCTGGAGACACCGCCTCACGACGTCTCTGGCTGCTGGGTGCGGGTATATTCTCCCACCGCTGGAACCTGGTGCAGTTGTATCGGTTGGCTTGTTCGCGTCGCCATTCGCTGCGGTGGTGCCGCTTTGCGATGACGCCGTGTTTGAACGTGCCGGCGCGGATCCGACTTTGTTCTTGCCCTTTGAAAGGTTGCCCTCGTCGGGCCACCTCCAGTCACCGCCCAGAACGCAAATGCTTAGACTGCCGCCGGTCTCGTCACTTCGGGCTTCAAAGGGCGATTTTCCCACGAGACAAGCGTACATCGTGCACCCGAGACTCCAGATGTCGACTTTTGTGTCGATCACGGAGCCGGTTTTCACGTCGAAGAGTTCCGGGGCACGGTAGGGCATGGTACTGTGTTCAGCCGCCGTGTCCTGCACGGCTATGGCGAGGGACCGGGAGGTAATAGGTGTTGGACTCGGTGCAAGGGATCCCAGATCCATCAGAATCGGGGTGCGGCCGTCGTCGTCGATCATGATGTTGCCGGGTTTGATGTCTCGGTGAGCATAGGCCCGCGTTTCGCCAGGATTCTTGCCTTCTTGCGCGCGAGTCACTTCGTCCGAGGGCATGAGCGGTTCTTCCTGTTCTTCCGCCAAGTCTTCCTCATTCTCCTGTGACGCCGTCATTGTTCTTTTGTTGGCTCGAGCTTTCCGCTTCGCGGCGTCAGCATCTTCACTTGCGGCTTCGTCGCGGATGGATTGCGCGGCGGACCGTGAGGGTGTATTCCGCACGCGGTATTGGTGCATGGCTTTCAGTGCTTTGCAGACTCCGAGCATCAATTGCATGAGCCGTCTCTCGCCGAAGCGGGTGTGGTTGACTAGGTTCGCGTTGATCATGTCTTGCAGATTGCCTCTCCGGTAGTATGGTAGGAGGATATAGACGGTTTTACTTGCCCCATTGGACGCATCTGTTCCAATCCCAGAGACTTTTGTCGTTGAATCGGTCTGCACAGCGTGGTCGACAGCGTGGATTATGTTAGGGTGCGGTGCGAACAGCGTGTATGCTTCAACTTCCTTGAGGGCTTGTGAGACCGATTCTTGGCCAAAAGGACAGCGGATCTTCTTGAGTGCGTAGAGCGCGGAATCGGAGGTGTCTTGGACGAGGTAGACGTAAGAAAAGCCGCCCTATACAGAGAAGAGATGGTGTCAGCACTGTACATGTCTGATGTGTCCAGGTTCTTGAGAGCACCTACCTCGCCCAGCAGCCGAAGCATACGGAAGCTTCTGTTGTTGATCTTCAACTGCGGACTGCTCGGAAAGCAGCATATACAGCTGGATAAAGAATAGAATATATCCAGGATTGTGTTCGCCATGATGGGCGGTTGAGGAACGAGACAGGCGTAAGCCGACCGTCAGTCAGGAGGAAGCTGAGAGTCTGCAGGACAAACTCGATCGACAGCGACGGTGAACGTGTACGCTAATCGCGTTTCTCAAGCAGGAGTCAAAAGGAAGACGATTAGGGCAAGAGACCTAGCAATGAAACCTGGCGTACAGTCGGTATTCAGTGTGTCGCATTTCATCAAAAGTACGGGGAACAGGCAAAGGTGTATGCATTGGACGCCGCATCCGCAGGTGGTATGATTCGCGGTACGGAGGTAGATGATCCACCGTACCGTGCTGGTGCGACTTAGGGCGGAGTATAAGGTATATAATGCAAGTCTTTCATCCTCAGCCTCGTGGCCCATTCCCTTTATGGAAGGTTCGCCGAGAACTATGCCAAGATTGATGGCATCGAAACTTTTTTGAGTAGCGGAGGTCGCCATCATAGACGACAGACCGACCTGCTGCCTGGCTCTGGTCTCGAAAAGACGAGTGGTGAACAAGTGCAGATCTCGTCATATCTGCTCATGGCCACCAATATATTCCTCATTTCCCAGTAACGGCTTGCACGACTCCTCCGAATATCCTCCCCAGCGTCTATGCCCGCTGCGCATCTATCGCAACCCCTCAATCGATCCATAAGATTGTGACCCCGGTGCCGCCAACATGGCAGACCCTAACAATGTGTCGCAATACAAATACTCGGCGATGTCCAACCTGGTCCTCCAGGCAGACCGTCGATTTATTTCCCGCCGAACAGATGAGAATACCGGCGACCCCGAGTCTCTGGCTGGAAGACTGAACATCCGTGATATGGGTTCGCGAGTTGCACGAGATGAAGTGCCAAAGCAGAAGAGGATTGCGCCAGGCTTACAAGGTGTCGAAAGAGGCTCGATACGGGAGGGCGAAGATGTCTTGGAACGAGAGCAGAGGAAGCGGAAGAGGGGTGAGCCTGCCCAACCTCGAGGTGCCGGCGTCCTTTCCGCCGGCGATGCATTGATCGAAGGGCTCAAGTATCGTCCTAGGACTCCCGCCACTCGGGCGACTTACGATCTACTGCTCACCGTGACTGCAAATGCCCTTGGAGATGTCTCACAGGAAATCGTCCGAAGCGCAGCCGATGCCATCCTCGAGTATCTGAAGGACGAAAACATGAAAGACCTCGATAAGAAGAAAGAGATTGATGACATCGTTGGTATTACAATGACCCCGAAGCAATTCAATGAATTGGTCAACCTGGGCAAAAAGATAACAGATTATGACGCGCAAGACGACGACGATAATATGGCAGACGGTGACGGCGCAGACGGGGCAGAGCTTGACGAACGCCAGGGCGTCGCAGTTGTCTTTGACGAAGACGAGGAAGTTGACGAAGACGGCATCGCAAGGACATATGAAGTTCGCGACGAAGACGAAGGGGACACTGACGAAGAGGAAGATATCCAGGACCAGCCAGGTCTTGAAGAATCTGCGTCAGCTGGTGGAGCAGCCGCCCCTGACGTCGACGCAGACGAAGACGAGGACGCCGAGCTGATTATCGACAGCGGTCTAGGCGAATCTGTTCGCAGAAAGCGTGAAGACACCGACTTTATTCCCATCGACGAAATTGATGCTTACTGGCTTCAACGGCAAATTGGTTCGGTATATTCTGACGCCGTTATCCAGCAGCAAAAGACTCGAGATGCCCTCCAAATCCTGTCCGGCAAATCTCTCGAAGGTGAAGAAATATCCCTTCGTGACATCGAAAATGACTTGATGGACTTGTTTGATTATGAACATCCTGACATGGTTGGAAAATTGGTCTCCAACAGAAATAGGATCGTCTGGACGACTAGGTGGCGCAGAGCCGCAGAGGATGAGGACGCTCGACACCTCGTGGAGAGCGAGATGGTTGAGGCAGGTCACCGAGCCATTCTGGACGAACTGCTAGGCAAATCAGGTCGGACTGGGGAAGAGCCACGACCTGCTAAGAAGATGAAGCTAGATCTGATGGACATTGATATCCCCAAAGCCCAGGAAGAGGAAGAAAAGAAAAAGGACGGCGCTCTTTCCGGTGGCTTACAACCACAGCGGGTTATTAACCTCGACAATCTCGTCTTTGAGCAGGGAAACCATCTCATGACGAACCCAAAGGTTGTTCTTCCGCAAGGCTCCACGAAGCGAACATTCAAGGGCTATGAAGAAATTCATGTCCCGCCCCCCAAACCCAGACGAGACCCTGGCGAGAAGAATATCCCTACTACCGAGCTTCCTGATTGGGCCAGGCAAGGTTTTGGGTCCGCGAAGGAGCTGAACCGGATTCAGTCGAAATGCTTCCCCTCTGCCTTTCACGATGATGGCAACATGCTTATTTGCGCTCCGACTGGATCCGGCAAGACAAACGTCGCGATGTTAACGATGCTGCGCGAAATCGGCAAGCACCGGAATCCAGAAACTGGCGAAATCATGCTGGACGACTTCAAGATCATCTACATTGCTCCTTTGAAGGCTTTGGTGCAGGAACAAGTAGGAAATTTTGGAAAGCGACTTGAGGTGTACGGGATCCGGGTTTCTGAACTCACAGGAGATCGTCAGCTCACAAAACAACAAATTGCCGACACCCAAGTTATTGTAACGACTCCGGAAAAGTGGGATGTGATAACACGAAAAGCAACTGATCAAAGCTACACCCGACTTGTTCGACTCATCATCATTGACGAAATCCATCTCCTGCACGACGACCGTGGTCCAGTCATCGAAAGTATCGTCAGTCGGACTATCCGAAAGATTGAACAGACTGGCGAGCCTGTGCGGATTGTAGGCTTGAGTGCAACGCTTCCCAACTACCGAGACGTGGCCACTTTCCTGAGAGTCGACCCTGAAAAGGGCCTATTCCACTTTGATGGGTCCTTTAGACCATGCCCTCTCCGGCAGGAATTCATTGGTGTGACCGACAAGAAAGCCATCAAGCAGCTCAAGACAATGAACGATATATGCTACGCAAAAGCCATCGAGCATGCGGGAACGAATCAACAACAAATGTTGATATTTGTCCACTCTCGAAAAGAAACTGCGAAAACCGCCAAATATATCCGTGACAAGGCCGTCGAGCTGGAAACAATCGGCCAAATCATGCGGACTGATGCAGCAAGCAGATCCGTCCTGCAGGAGGAAGCTGAGGCTGTTAACGATGCGAACCTGAAAGACTTGCTGCCATATGGATTCGGAATCCATCATGCTGGAATGGGTGTTGCTGATCGGACATCCGTGCAGGATCTGTTTGCCGATGGCTATCTTAGAGTCCTTGTCTGCACAGCAACCCTTGCTTGGGGTGTCAACTTGCCTGCTCATACGGTCGTCATCAAAGGCACTCAAGTTTACTCCCCGGAAAAGGGAAGCTGGGTCGAATTGAGTCCACAAGATGTCCTCCAGATGCTTGGTCGGGCGGGTCGTCCACAATTTGACTCGTATGGAGAAGGGATCATCATCACTTCCCAATCAGAGATTCAGTATTATCTTTCGTTGATGAACCAGCAATTGCCCATCGAAAGCCAATTGATGGGCAAACTTGCCGACAACCTCAACGCAGAAATTGTCCTCGGCAACATCCGCACCCGCGACGAGGGGGTTGAGTGGCTCGGCTACACTTATCTATTCGTTCGAATGATACGCTCACCTGGGCTCTACAGTGTAGGTGCAGACTACGGCGATGATGAGGCCTTGGAGCAGAAGCGAGTCGATCTCATCCATTCCGCCGCCATTGTTCTCGAAAAGGCCGGGCTTGTAAAGTATGAGAAGAAGACCGGAAAGCTGCAAGCCACCGACCTTGGTCGGATTGCGTCGCATTACTACATAACACATAATTCGATGCTGACCTACAACCACCACCTTCAGCCGTCTATCGGCACCATCGAACTCTTCCGAATCTTTGCTCTCAGTGATGAATTCAAATATATCCCTGTCCGACAAGACGAGAAGCTCGAGTTGGCGAAGTTGCTCGGCAGAGTACCAATTCCTGTCAAGGAAGGGATGGACGAGCCACAAGCTAAGATCAACGTGCTTCTTCAAGCATTTATCTCTCGACTCAAGTTGGAGGGTCTGGCCTTGATGGCTGACCTTGTCTACGTCACACAGTCAGCGGGGCGAATCATCAGGGCAATTTTCGAGATATGCATGAAAAAGGGCTGGGCTGGTGTGGCAAAGACTGCCTTGGACCTCTGCAAGATGGCCGAGAAGAGAATGTGGCCTACAATGACTCCACTAAGGCAATTTCCAATGTGTCCCAGGGAGTACATTCAGAAAGCTGAGCGAATGGAAGTTCCCTGGTCCAGCTACTTCGACCTCGATCCGCCGCGCATGGGGGAGCTGCTCGGGCTCCCGAAAGCAGGACGAGTTGTATGCGACCTTGTTTCCAAATTTCCACGATTAGAGGTTCAAGCACAAGTGCAGCCGATTACCAGATCACTGCTCCGTGTCGAGCTCACGATCACACCCAACTTTGTCTGGGATGAAGCGTTGCACGGAACCGCTGAGTCGTTTTGGATCGTTGTGGAAGACTGTGATGGGGAGGAAATCTTGTTCCATGACCAATTCATCCTGCGTCGAGAGTACGCAGAGGGTGACATGTCAGAACACTTGGTTGACTTCACTGTTCCCATCAGCGAACCTATTCCACCCAATTATTTCATTTCGCTGATCTCAGATCGATGGATGCACTCCGAGACCCGAATTCCCGTCTCGTTCCAGAAGTTGATTCTGCCCGAAAGATTCCCTCCTCACACTCCGCTTCTAGACCTGCAGCCCGTGCCTGTGCAGGCGCTGAAGGTCAAAGATTACGTCGCGCTCTATCCCAAGTGGGACAGATTCAACAAGATCCAAACTCAGGTTTTCAAGTCCCTGTACGACAGCAGCGACAGTGTCTTCGTAGGAGCGCCTACGGGGAGCGGGAAGACGGTTTGTGCCGAATTTGCACTTCTACGGCATTGGAAGAACCCAGACGCCGGCAAAGCAGTCTATGTCGCTCCTTTCCAAGAACTAGTTGAGGGCCGTTACGCTGACTGGAACGAACGATTGAGCCCACTTGGTCGGGGGAAGGTCATCTCAACACTGACTGGCGAAATCACTGCTGATCTGCGAATCTTGGACAAATCCGACCTCGTATTGGCAACTCCCACTCAATGGGACGTCCTGTCTAGACAATGGCAGCGCCGAAAGAACGTGCAGAACGTGGAGTTATTCATTGCTGACGAACTTCATATGATTGGTGGCGAAAATGGCGCCGTCTATGAGGTTGTGGTTTCTAGGATGCAATACATCCACATCCAACTAGAAAACAATATGCGGATCGTTGGATTGAGCGTCCCGCTGTCGAACGCACGGGACGTGGGTGAATGGATTGGCGCCAACAAACACACAATCTACAACTTCAGCCCCATGACAAGACCAGTCGGTTTGCAATTGCACATCCAGTCATTCACCATCCCTCATTTCCCGTCCCTGATGATGGCAATGGCCCGTCCAACATATCAATCTATCGTGCAGCTGTCTCCCGATAAGCCAGCAATCGTCTTCATTCCCGGGAGGAAACAGGTTCGGGCTACTGCCCTTGATCTTCTTCTAGCGTGCATCATGGACGATGACGATGAACGATTTTTGCACACTGATGTAAATGAACTTACGCCTTTCCTGGAGCGAATCAACGAACGAGCATTGGCGGAGTCCTTGACGCACGGCATTGGGTACTATCATGAGGCGTTATCGACCAGTGACAAGAGAATCGTCTCACATCTGTTCAAGATTGGTGCTATCCAAGTGATGCTTGCTTCCCGCGAAGTGTGTTGGGAGATCCCTTTCACAGCACACCTCGTCGTCATCATGGGCACGCAGTATTATGTGGGACGCGAACACCGCTACGTCGATTATCAGATTAGCGAGATCCTGCAGATGTTTGGTCGAGCGTGTCGGCCTGGTGAAGATGATATCGGCAAGGGCGTGCTCATGGTCTCTGCCGTGAAGCGCGAGTACTACAAGAAATTCCTCAACGAAGCTTTGCCCATAGAAAGCCACCTACAGCTGGGGCTACATGACGCGTTTGTCACCGAGATCAGCACAAAGACAATTGCATCTACGCAAGACGCAGTCGATTGGACCACATACACATACTTCTACCGCCGTCTTCTGGCGAACCCGAGCTACTATGGCCTTAACGACACGTCCCACGATGGCCTCAGCACGCACCTTTCGGAACTCATTGAAACCACGCTGAAGGAACTCTCTGACGCCAAAATCATCGACTTGGACGAAGAAGACGATTCCGTCTCCCCATTGAACCCTGCCATGATTGCCGCGTACTACAACATCTCCTTCATCACAATGCAGACCTTCCTTCTCTCCCTTACAGCTCGCACAAAACTCAAGGGTCTTCTCGAGATTGTCACGTCCGCCACGGAATTTGAATCTATCCAACTCCGTCGCCACGAAGATCACATTCTCCGGCGCATCTACGATCGTGTGCCGGTGAAAATGTCCGAGCCGATCTTCGATTCACCACACTTCAAAGCGTTGGTGTTATTACAGGCACATTTCTCCAGGATGCAATTGCCCATCGACCTCGCCAAGGATCAAGAAGTCATAGTCTCAAAAACCCTCGCGTTACTCTCCGCTTGCGTTGATGTGCTGAGTTCGGAGGGCCACCTGAACGCTATGAACGCCATGGAAATGTCGCAGATGGTCGTGCAGGCCATGTGGGATCGCGACTCCCCGCTCCTGCAGATCCCACATTTCGACTCTCAAATTGTGGACATCCTCGCCAAGCAGGGAATAAAGGACATCGACGATTTCATGACAGCAATGGACCCCTCCGAGAACCCCGATCAGGCGAAGCTGGTGCAGATGATGGGATTGACTAATCGACAACTTGTGGAGGCGGCCAACTTCACGAACAACAAATACCCTAGTCTTGAACTGGAGTTTGATGTTGAGGACAAGGAGAAGGTCACGGCAGGCCAGCCAGCCTATCTATCGATCCGCATCTCAAGGGAAGCGGAGGAGGACGAAGACGAAGACGAAAATGAAGAAGGTGGCAAAGGCAGTGCTGAACAGGAGATTGACATCACGGTCCACGCACCTTTCTACCCGCTCCGCAAGCTCGAAAACTGGTGGCTCGTCGTGGCCGAGGAGAAGACCAGGACCTTGCTCGCTATCAAACGCGTCACGATCGCCAAGAAGCAGTTTGGCACCAAGCTGGAGTATGTCGTCCCGACCGCCGGCAAGAAGGATTTGACCTTGTTCCTCATGTGCGACTCGTACGTGGGTGTCGACCAGAGCATGGCGTTTAGTGTGGATGTCAAGGAAGGAGAGGATGAGGATGAGGACGAGGAAGGAGACGAAGATGAGGAGATGCAGGATGGCGGAGAATAGAAATGTATTTACTGTTTGATTAGGCTTGGAAGGGATTGTTACTGTGCAATTCAAATAAATACCACACGGGAAGCACCGCGAGTGAGCATTGTACAATCGACTTCCACCGGCTTGCAGAGGTCGATTGGGATTGCTCCCTTCGGCTCAATGGCCTCTAGTCGAATAGTTGCAACAAGGCTGGAAAAGATAGCGAGAAGGTGAAATGTGGTTGTGAGCATGTTCGAAACTTATTCCGATATGTGGTAACTTCCATTTCTAATCCTACCTACAGTACATGTAACAGTCTGACTGCCTCGTCCCGGTTTGCTCAATGTTGACGACAGCCTTTCATATGAGGGAGCAAGGAACGAATCGACTAGTCTCTCCATCGCTGCGTCGCAGATGGGATAGTACATATTCACGATGTGAGAATGTTGATACACTGGAAATCCTTCCGTTGAGGTTCGCCTTCACACAGCTGCAACTGCCCTTGTCCTGAACAACCCGGCCCACGCCCACTGTATCCTCAGCTCTTTGAGCTCGCTAGGAGGAACTCTTCGTACCCTTGTCGTTCTGACTCGCATGATGGAGAATCCCTCGCAAGGAAAATTTCAAAGCCTTGGCCATGTCTCCATAACCGCATTTCCGGGCAACAAGGACGAATTCGTGGTCGTTGCGGCACTTTTCCTCTTCATACCAGAGGCAATCTTCGTCCAATTCGTGCAAAAAGCCATCCCCGAAGATCTCATCGTCCCCTAATGCTTCCTCAAAGATATGGAACATGATTCCTTCTATGTTGCCTCCACACTTGAAGAACTTGTCGATGCAGATAGGATTGTCTTTTTCAGCGTCGACATGGACACCGATAGAAGCTTTATCCGGCGGGCTGCAGACATCAAGACAATCTGTGATGTGACAGCAGAGTCTGATACAGCCTTCACGGCTTGCTCTGTAGCGACTCAGTAGTTTGAGACAGTAATCTGGAAGATGCTCAAGTGCAGACTCGTTGGCAGATACCCATATGTCGCCAGACAGATTGTCCATGTCTTCCTGAAGCCTGTGATACAGCATGTCGGCTCTCAAAGACAACGCAAATCTCATTCGCGGACTAAGATAGCCGTCAATGCACTCGCCGCAGGTGCAGCCATACCGAAATTGTTCCAAGTCTTCCTCTGTGTCAATTTTCACTTGTTTCAGCAGAGCAATGCATTTTGCCGAGGCAACTGTATGGCCTTCGAAATCGTCTGACACTATAGTGATTGACGTGCCAGACCAGGACCTTGTCCGCACGATCTCAAGCTTTTGTAGCAGTGCCTCGAGTGGAGTATTTCCACTAGAATTGCGCATTCCCATCAACTGAGCTGAAGCTGGCTGCTGCATGATCCAAGCTACACTTTCAGGGAGGGAGTTTAGGGCGGCAAGGTGTAAGAGAGTGTTCGCCTCTTTGTCAATGGCAAACCATTGCTGACTGTCTGGCTTGATTTGTTGAACATATTGTTGGGCGGCTTTGAGGAACATCCTGTCGCTCGACTCAGCCCGAATTGACTCTGGCAAGGTATCTTGGACGGCACGCTTGAAAACAGGAGGGTCGTAATCATCCCCATCAGGTATGTATAGGCCACGCCAACATGCAAGACCGAACCAGATAGAAGAACCTATTCGTCGGAAACCAAGTGAGCGGGCCCATGCAATAGCCACAGAGTCGTGATGATCAAAGACCTCCGGTCTATGGACATTTCCACTGTCTCCAACTATGGCTGTGAGGAGATCCTGAAAATGGACATCCTTGGAAGATTCAGGCCAGAGTATCACGGCAAACCCACCCTTGGTCTTGCGCTTGGTGGTTTCCAGCAGCGCGGTAACAATCTTCTTCGCAAGCCCCAGCCGCCGATATGGCTTCTCGATGATAATGTCTTCAATGAGCAGAATATCGCCCTGATCGAGTCGGGGTTCCCACATAGGCAGTCCTTTTCGGATGGCGTGGTCCTCGTAGTCGTCCTTCAGGTTACCAAATCGGTCAAATAAATCGAACGCTAACAATGTCGGCTCATCAAAAGTCTTCGACATCTGCCTGTAGAACTTTCTGCGAATCTTGGTGCGCCTAATCAGCTTTGCCCCACAGAATCCGACTATTTCCGCACGTCCATCAAGTGAAGAGTCTCCCCTGGTCATCACTACCTCCATCGGCTCTAACCAGGGTAGATGGGAGAATTCATCATACTCGGCAATTTTGCTGTCAAGATACTCGACGTTCGAGGTTTCTTCATCGCCGTTCGCTGGATGCTTAGGGTCATTCCGTACAGCCTTCTTCTCGGAGCAGATTCTGATCTTCAGATGAAATTCTGTTAGTGGGCGGAATGGTGGATCAGGAAGTTGTCTGTTGATTACTGGTATGTCCTGATCAGGCTGCGTCAGGATGTTGCTTGCAGCGTCAGTTGAGGATCGCTGGATTTTTGAGGCAACAGGTATGGCAATATCATCGCCAGGTCGTTTCCCGGTCCCCATATTCTCAGTGCAAGATGTGAAACAAAGTGAGGAATCAAGGTGAGAGGTGCAATATGCTGGATTCAACAGAGATATACCCTGATTTTCTGAATGAGGACGCCTGAGATGAAAAAAATTGAATAGGAAAAGGACAAAATACACCGGGAAGCACCTTGGGAAGGTTAGGACCGAAGGCGAAGGAAAGCAGAAAAAGACGGAATGAAAGAAGCTGCAAGGGACAGCAGTTGTTACCTGTGGTCGGTGATGAAGGCAGAAGTCTTCTGAGAAGGAACTGTTTTACCTGAAGGCTTCCGTCTCAACGCATGTTGACGTTTGCCTCTGACTGATGGTAGTGAATTTTCCCTGTATCGTGCTACAAGAGATCAGGGATGAAGCAAGTGAGACAAGTGAAGCAAGCTGCACATCGCAGTCTGTATGCTCTACCGCAGGTCATGTACTTCCACCGCAGTCTAAATGCTCCGCCGCAACCCCCAGGTGGGGCCGAGTGTTGCTTCCGAGGCCCCTGCCCGCTTCCGATGGCAACGGTTCAATTGAGTGATATTCTTTACCCGACAACCATGCTTTCCCACGATTACCATTCTATATATCTTTGCCTCATTACTACTGATGCTTTGTCCTGCTTTTGAAGTCTTGATAGACCAGAGAAAATCTAGACCTGCTGTCTGAAATTACATCGGAAAACTCTCCTTTCGGATATCCCATCGTACTCATCAAACATGGCAGCCGCCAAAGGTCTAAAGCAGATCCTCACCAAACAACCCAGTGATGTTGTCATCCTGTCCTCTTTACGTACTCCTGTCACCCGAGCTGTCAAAGGCGGCTTTCGAGATGCTTACGACCATGAACTCCTCTCCCACGTCCTGCGCGCTACCCTGGCTGCGAATCCGAACCTCGACCCAGCGAAAATCGACGACGTTGCCGTAGGTGTGGTCCTCGCTGAACTGGGTGGCTCAAAAGCCGCTCGTATGGCACAGCTACACGCCGGATTTGACGAGCGAACGGCCTTGCACACGGTGAACCGAGCTTGCAGTTCAGGCCTGGCTGCTGTTACAAGCGTCGGCAACATGATTGCAACGGGACAAATTGACGTCGGCATTGGCGCAGGCATGGAGAGTATGACAAAGAATTACGGCAGCAAGGCGATCCCCACTATGCTCTGGGACGAACTCAGAAACAGCCCAATTGACAATGCACGAGACTGCATCATGCCCATGGGCCTTACCAGCGAAAATGTGGCAAAGAGGTATGGGGTGAATCGACAAGACCAAGATGCATTTGCTGCCGAGTCGCATCGCAGAGCTTCCAAGGCACAGAAATCCGGTCTGTTTGACTCGGAAATCGTTCCTGTCAAGGTCAGACAATACGCACCCGAGCACCCTGATGCGACTCCCAAAGAGGTTGTGGTTGACAAAGATGACGGTATCCGACACGATGCTAGCCTCGAAAAGATGGCTAAGCTAAAGCCCGCCTTTTCACAAGATGGATCCTCAACGGCGGGCAATTCTAGCCAGATTTCAGACGGCGCTGCTGCAACGTTGCTCATGCGCCGGTCCACAGCCAACGAACTCGGCCTAACCAAGAGCATCATCGGTAAGTGGGCAGGCACCCAGGTCGCGGGCTGCAGGCCGGATGAAATGGGTGTTGGTCCCGCCGTGGTTATTCCGAAACTTCTAGACTATACCGGCCTGAAGACAGAAGATGTGAATATATGGGAAATCAATGAAGCATTTGCAAGTCAAGCTCTGTATTGCATCCGCAAGCTGGGGTTGGATACCGAAGTGGTCAACCCAAGAGGTGGAGCGATTGCTTTGGGTCACCCACTGGGCATGACTGGGACGAGACAGCTCGCAACTTTGATGCCTCAATTGCAGGAGGGCCAGGTCGGTGTCGTGAGCATGTGCATCGGTACTGGTATGGGCATGGCAGGCCTCTTTGTCAGAGAGTAAGCTCTCTCCCCGCCCCGATTGTGGTAAGGAGCAGAGCAGACATCCAGGGTAAGGAGTGCTCTATCAATATCCTACGGCCACGTCCCGCCCCGATCGACTCTTCGATACTCGACTCCAGCTCCCACCTTGTCGTCTCTGCGCTGCTCCAGCCGCGTTTCGCCTGTGCAATCTAGACTCTTCCGAGCCTCAGTCGAGATGAACACGACAAGCAACGAGCAGCCATTGCTTTCTGCTCTCGCTGAGCCTTCACTGAATCACAGACTCGATTTTCTCCACCCGTTCGTCGCCTTAACCACCTTCATCGAACGGGTTTCTCTTCACATGTTTATAAAGTCGCCATTTCAATATCCAAAGCCTGCAAAAGTCAGCGGCTGCAAGAACTGTATATATCTGTTTTCAGCGGCCATATCTTAGCATCTTCATTCGCTATTGATCGGTAAAAGTTTTGAGATACACGAAATCGCCCGAGGAATGGTATCCAAAACGGGGTGTGTGGGCATTACATTGCATTGAGGCAGGCAGCTGGAACATTTTAGAGAATATATAGTGTCCATATAACATTTTTCTTTCCCCTTTTGGTACAATTTTTCAACGTCTTCTGGCATGGTACGCTGCTTGTTTCTCTCCAAAATGTCCACATCGCAGAATCGATCGCATTCTCACTACGCAGTGAGTCTTGGGCTGAATGGAGCTGGGCACTTGTGGAGAGTATAGTCGCAGGAAGAGCAGTACTGGCTTGTATTTCACAAATTCCTCTGCGCAACTTCCCCGTCCGTGTCCTCTTTCCTCCAAGCTTCGCCCTCCGGCACCAATCTCGGAATCGGATACACCGGCAGACCCCGGTTCTCCAGTTCGCGCCTGATGACCTTCCAGCGCCCGACCTCCATTTCGCGATCAACTTCCGTCTCGCGGCGGGGGAAGATCATCACGTTGGGACCGAGGGGCTGGAATTTCTGTCTCTGCTTCTTCACCTTGTTCTGAGTAGGATCTTCTTTCAATGTCGGGTCTGCTGCGAATGGCGTCTCCTCAACTTCGTTGGCACGGAGTTTCTCCCTTGCTGCGAAATCCAGTGCCTTCTTCTGCTTTGCGAGTAACAGTTCTGCGAATCTCTTGGGTTTGGGCTTTGCGGTTTGAGTAAGCAAGTCGATAAAAGTCGTCAGGGATTTGCTGCCGCGCAAGACGGTGTTGAGGAGAGGGTCGGGGACGTGGTAGGAGGTGAGTTGGGAGAAGCGTTTGATAATCTTGGAGTAGGTTAGCTTGACTCGGCTTCAGAATAGGGAAAACGGGGAAAGAGCCCGTGGTAAGTGGGCAAGGACAAAACGTACAGCAAATGTGAGAGGGTCGCTGAAGTCAAATCTTGCGCCAGAGAGCTGTTCTTCCACCTCGGGGATGGAGAGCTCGATCTCTTCTTGTCTCTCTGACTCAGGCCTCGGCGCTTCGTTGGCTTTCTGCAGAACACCGCGTGGATCCTCAAGATGTGACACAGTTCCAGAGCTCGACAATATGATCTTCAGAGAAGTCATGTCACCGTAAAAGTCAGGCGGACCCTGCTCAAAAAGAACCGACGGATCATTGCCGAGGTGTCTGTGTGCAAGGCATTCGACAATGGAAATGTAAAGGAATGAAAGGAATTCGTCGCGTCGAAGAGGTGTTGCGGTGGTCGGGTCGAGCCAGCTATAAAATTCCACGTTTTAGATCTCCCCGAGCATGTGCGATTGAGGTGCGAAAGACTTACGGCTCATAATTGTCCTTGGGATCAGCGGGGAGATCTCTCCAATGTCCGTGGTGGCCTACATGCTCCAATCCATCCCAAGTAGTCGCTTCGACATACTGCTCGATTGGCGCGGGAGTCTCAGCTTCTTCAGTTGGTGACCGTTGTGTAGGAGGCTGAAAGCGGCTGAGGAGAGATTTGGAGGAGGCCTGACGGCGTTGTTCATTTACAGTACTTGTGGACCGTCGAACACTGGGTCTTGACGACGGGCTTGAGTATTGTCGGGCTTGCTGTGCTTCGCGTTGCAGGAGTTGATGTTTGCATGTTCGACAGACATATCGAGGTCTCACAGCCGCTGCAAATCCACTGCTTATTGATTTCGTGGCGCGGTTCGCAGTCGCCATTCTGCGTGGTATGGCAAATGAGTCTGTGGACTGAACTTGAGCAAGGCTGAAAGATTCTTGTGATCGGATTGAGATTGAAGTTTTGGAACTCATTGAAGCTGCGCAACTGGGCACCAAGATTTACGCCGGATCAAAACATTGTGAAGTGCAATATATCCGGCCGATCATTTAAACCCAAAACTATTCGGCGAGGTCGGGTTGCTTCTCCCGCAGAGTCACCCACAGTTCCATACCTAGGTATGCAGTTTTTGCCGTGTGCTCGACATGTTGTCCTTGTTGCCTCTCTAGACTTCTATGTGATATCATTTCAACCACTACGAGGTAGTTTACAGAGGAGTCTCAAAAGTTCACATTGGTCTGCTTGCCATCACCTGGCCGAAAGGAATGCGATACCTGATTCAAGGCCAATTGCATATCACATTGACTACTTCTCAGCATGAGACGCTCAGTAAGTCTCGCCGTGTTTGCGACCAAAGCTTTGGCACAAGCCCTATTTGATCTGATGGCCATCTGAGGAGGTGTATTCCCAAATTGCCCAATATCGGAGTCTTTGAGCCATTTCTGCATGGATTAAGGACTGATAGTTGCAAATTCCACCCGCAGTCGGTACAGAGATGGTATTTCTCGAACTTTCTCATCACACCCACCACTTTGCTGACTAGTTGTGTATCACCAAGCCCTGACTGGGGGGTTGTTGCAGTAGACATTTGGCCTGCAATTTATACCTTCCACTGTGCGGTCTGATGCCCTGCCCCTGTGTTCCTTCCAGCATCTTATACAGGTCCTCATCTGTTGAACAAGCTCCCAAGGATGTTGGGAAACCCTCCTCTATGACCTTTTGTTAAACAATGCTCGAAGGTGTAGTCAAGGGCTTGTTGCTGGTCATAGTCTGAAGTGAAAGATTTTCGATGTCATGCTCAAGTTCCTCCGAATGAGACGGTGTTCTTTGGGAGCGACCAGTGGCGTCGAAACCTTTAAAAGTTCGCTTGAAGTAGAATTTTGACCTGCTCTCATGCTCGGCGCAACATGACTGGAACTGAGCGCCGCGCGAAGGGGCTCGATCAGAGGTATCTGTGGGCGTCGAAACATGGAGATACGACGACATCTTCGGAGATATTAGGCGCTGGAATAACGCTTTAAGTGCCGGGGCTGATGCACAAATGATGGCAAGGTGCGCTTCAATATCTGTCAAAGCCTGTTCTGGCTTTAGTATCTGGGTGAAGTTTGCGGATCTCTGCAACTTACGAATGTCGGCCACCCATACCAAGTCACATCATGGGTATCCGGGCCCAGTTGGTAGTTCGTAGTCACTTTGACGAAGTATGTCATCCTTGCAATCCCAATTCCGGCTGTCAGCAGCCCTGCCGAAAACAGAGCGTATAGGCTAAACCTCTGTTTGCTCGTCAAGTTAAGGTTCCGAACCCACAACATCGGCAGAACTGATGCGTAGATGTCGGAAAAGGCAGAGGCTGCTGCACTGAAGACGATGGGAACTTGTTCGTTCCCGCACGTATACTTGCCAGTGAATTCGGGATTGTAAGACTGCCAATATGAACTCAGCGGGCGACAGATGACAAGGAGCTCCAAGACCAGTCCAAAAGTATAGACAATCGTGAATATGATGGCTGCCCAGGTGAGTCGAATGAACCATATGCTGTGGCTTCTAGATGATAATTTGCGGTAGACAAGCAAGATCGAGATCTTGACGCAAGCGTTTCCGAGCAAGAAGAAAAGTTCAATAAGCCAAGCAGATAGCCGAACGTATTCCAGCCGATCTAGAGGGACATCCCAAAGATGCATGTTCCAACCACAGGTTGTTAGAGCCTTGTACTCCGCAACGGTCTGCCCGATCGACAACAGCTGGAAATTGTCAATGGTGAGATGAGATAAGGGATAGGTGACACGTACAAAGCCTGCAACAAGCAGTGCGTCATCCATTCCAGGGGATTTCGTGATAGAGTAACGGGACCATAGTCTGAGCATTACCACTGTTGCTGTTACAGCGCACATAACGATGAACAGCGCAGGGGCACCTCTCTTTGGTGGATCATCAAAATTTGGTAATGGCCACCCCTGAGGCCGGACCGAGCTCGCCATAGCAAGAATTGATATTGCTGGGCTCGTTGTTGCCAGTCGAAAGCTAGAGGTCCAAAAAGGAACGAGGAGAAGACTTGATGAGGACAGGAAGCGACAAAAGATATGGAGACCTTGAAGAGTAGCTTCTGCTTCCAGGACGAAGTTTTGTACTTTCGCAACAAGTGAGTTGGGGAAACCTTAGCATCAGAGGCGGTGATGGTCACTATGCTAGCGGTGGTTGTGACGTGGATCATTGCGCATCGCGTTTTCATGGTTGAAACGGCAAAAGAAGGAGACTTCCTGTCTATTCACCGTCCCACCGCATTGCAATGCCGAAGTGAAGAATACGTGACAATGGTAATTCTTCGCCAAACACCTACCGGGACAAGACTAACCTCAATTGGGGCGCGTGACCACTAGATTACTCCTAATCTGGAGGCGCCGCTGTAGAAGGTATCATATCTGGGGGGCAATTGTGTAAGTGGATCAGTGGGCCCTTCTAGAAAAGGGCAACGGTTCGACGGTAAACTTCAAGTTCGTAGTCAAAAACAAGTCCAGCGTTCGGTAAAGCTATACTGCCCCTCTCAGAGTCACAACTGGATCCTGTAATAATAATCGTGATAGTATTGGTGAAGGGCAGCAAAATATCGATTCGTATAGGCCCAGATGACTCGAGTTAGGCAAGCTTTTCACAGACTCGCACAGCCTGACGGCAACAGTCGTCGTCAAAATTTCTGACTCCGACTGGACAGTTGGAGGCAGGGCAATGCCCTAGTGGGAGAAGGAGGCGCTTACCCCTAACTGCGGGTGCGACGAAGTTGAATTGCTTTTTCCGAGCATAATTTGATCCGCAGCTCTCAGTCTGCGCAAGTTGGAGAAAAAGCAACAACGATCTACTAGAAGACTGGAGGTCAGTTTGAGTTTATCAGATGTTCCACTAAACCTGCGTAGCTTTTCTGGTGCCCTTCACCGGAATTGATACCAAATCGGTCTGAACAGGCGAACTCGAAAGGAGCCGATGAATAGGTCGATGAGCAAGTGGGCCTCCAAAGGAGTTGTCGATATGGGAGCAAAGGGTCATAAGGTTGATTCGCTCGGATTGCCATATGCCGGCCTCAATGCCATGATGTACCTTTTCTTGTCTGCGTCCCGGCCATTGAGAACGCGTGGCAATAGAACCAATTCTCCCGACAGCTTTTGACCGTCCATTGGGGCAAATGGGTCAGCCTGAAAGCAGTTGTTGGCGGTGATAGTGATCACTTCGAGCGGCGCAGTAGAGGTCGGGCAAGTGAATTATAACAGAGTACGAGGAATATAGCACAAACGACGGAGGGGAACACAGCTGGACAGCGTTGAGTGTTGTGTGTTGTATGACTCCCGAAAATCGTGTCTTCGCCTTTGGGCCGTTTGCTTGTCCGTATCAGTGTCACGTGAAATTCATTACGGCCGACATCTCCGAAGAAACCGCGAGCTTCGATTCTCCTTCTCGCTTGATAAGATTTTCACCAAAAGTGTCTATCATAGCTCATCGTCTCTGATCAAGACGCCTGGTAGGCTCAGATTACTGTTATACAGATGCTTCGACACTTCTCTATCCCGTGCGGAAGGGATGCTCGCCTTTGCCTCAATATAGCAGAACCAGCCTTACGCGCACAAGGCTTAAGTCTGCAGACATGGGCATCCTCCTTTGTGCTCGCGAGCTTGCTCCATAAACTGTCAATCGACCTTTCTTCCCCTGCTTCCATACCTGTCCTCGAGCTCGGTGCGGGTACTGGACTTGTCGGCCTGACTGCAGCGGCACTGTGGAAATCACCTGTGATACTTACAGACCTTCCGCCGATTGTTCCGGGATTGGCTAGTAATATCAAACTCAACGCGGCCACCGTGAAGGCTATTGTTGAGTGTGGTTCATTGGACTGGAGTAACCCGGAGACTCTGACCCTCCAAGGCGGTACACTGTACCACACGGAAAAGGATAAAGCCCGCGTTATCCTCGCCGCAGACACAGTATACTCGGAAGAGCACCCGGAGTTGCTCTCCAAAGCCATACTCCGTTGGCTCGCTCCAGGACCCTCGTCCCGTGTCATTTTGACATACCCTATGCGTGTGGCTTATCTGGATCAAATTCGAGAGTTGTGGCAGCTTCTGGAGAAGGGTGGTCTCGAAGCTCTTCATGAAGGTCGTGAGCAGGCCGACCTTGACGCCTGGGACGATGAGGGTCTTTGCGAGTGGAGTGTATGGAGATGGCAGCAGAACTCCACTCATACTGAGCAGCGTCACACCGAGACATGAAAAGTGAACGGGTCTTGTCACGACTGCCTCAGCATTCACCTGCCACCACGCTACAGACGAGGGAGCTTTGCACGCAAATGGTACCTACTTTCGCAGTATAATTCCATGCTAATAGGCATACAATAGACGGGCTTCTCACAAAGAAACTTGCACACCACACGGGCCTCTAAGCAAAATTGCACCGGGTGCTTGCCGGTCTGGACGCATCATCTGGAGATCGATTTTCCTCCCAGTCAATTCACCTTCCTATATCGACAACAAGCTACTTCCATTCTCACATATCGACCTATCCCTCTGCCAGACATTTGTTCCAACGGAGCGCCATGCGATTGCTATTGACTTCACTGTTGGCTCAAATACACCCTGTCGTGGAGATCCCTTTCCTAATTGGTCATTAGTGGATGTCGTGATCATATGTCGATATTGTATCATGGCCGCTAAAGCCCAACGACAACACTCGAATTGTAAGCCGGAGATGCTGCCGCTTGAAATATTTATGGAGATGGCCGACGTGGTTGCAGTGTGATTGTGTGACAATGACCCACGAGCAGAGATCCGAAGAAACGCTGAAGTTACTTATATCCCAGCACCAATGGCTTTTGCTGGATCACACTGCTTGATTCCAGAAAGGGGACAAAATGGCTGCTAACCAGGCCTCACTTGAAGCCGACAAGATCACTGCGGTCCAGACTAGTCCTGCTTCGGTCGCCAGTTCTCCTGCGAACTCAGCGGACCTGGACGATGACTATCATTTATACAAGCGGAGTGATGATCAAGAACTCGACCCAGCCGAATCCAGAAAAGTGCTGCGCAAGCTTGATGTGCGAATAGTTCCTATCCTCTTTCTCATATACCTACTGCAATATCTCGACAAGAATGGCATCAACTACGCCAGTGTGTACGGTTTGCAAAAAGGCACGAATCTACATGGCCAAGATTACTCCTGGTTAGGCTCGATATTCTATTTTGGTAAATTCTGGTCCTGGTCCTAATGGTTTCCCTGCTGAATGTCCTAGGCTATCTCTGGGCGCAGTATCCGGCTGGTTATTTGCTACAAAGACTTCGGGTTGGAAAGGTGATCGGGGCCACTACGATCGCTTGGGGGATCATCCTGATCACGACGCCGGCATGTACAAGCTTTGCCGGCATCGCGGTGAACCGGTTTTTGCTAGGCTCGTTTGAGGCGGTTGTCAACCCGGGATTCATTCTCATTATGAGTATCTGGTACACATCGCTGGAGCAACCCTTGAGATTAGAGGCCTACTATTGCACAAATGGCATTGCAACGATGTTTGGAGGGTAAGTTCTCTCATCTTCACGCAATTCACAACAGGATACTGAGAGCATATCGAGCTTGATTGGTTATGCTGTTGGGCATATCACAACCGGTCTCCCGCGCTGGATGTACGTCTTTATTATATTCGGCAGCATTAGCATCGCTCTGGGTATCCTGGCTCTCGTCATCCTCCCGGATCAACCCTCGACTGCAAAATTCCTCAGCGACGCGGAGAAAGTGATTGCCGCCAAGCGTGTTTCTGCCAATCGCCAAGGCATCAAAAACCGGCATTTCAAGTCCTACCAAATGTGGCAGACGTTCAAGGATCCAAAGACGTGGATCTTATTCGTCATGGCCGTCGGCGCGCAGGTTCCCAACTCGGCAATCACTCAATTCACATCGCTGGTGATTCAATCCTTCAATGTCGACACTTTGGGGACGCAGTATCTGCAGATCCCTGGCGGCGCGGTCCAATTCGTCGCCCTCATTGGCGGAGGCATCATCTGCTCCAAGTGGCCGAATCTCAGATGCATCACGATGATTGTGGCCAACACTATCTGTATCGTTGGCTCCGCGCTACTCGTTGGTCTGCCCGACAGCAACAAATGGGGTCGTTTGGTCGGACTGTGGTTGTGTTTTTTCCAGGGGCTGGGCTTCAGCATGAGTTTGACCATGGTCAGCTCCAACGTAGCTGGGTATACCAAGAAACAACTCACGGCAGCGATCCTCTTCACGGGCTACTGCGTGGGAAACATCATTGGGTGAGGACCTTTTCCGCATCATCGCTCCCTTTTTCATCATTTTTCTGTGCAATATTTACTGACACGGAGATCGACAGGCCGCAAACATTCAAGTCGAGCGAGGCGCCGCGATATCATTCCGCCTACGTGGCGATGCTGGTCGGCTACACGATCAAGCTAGTGTCAATCATTGTCTTGTACGTCTACATGTTCCTCGAGAACAAGAGGCGGGATCGCGAAGCTGCCGCGTCTGGCGTTGCGGATCTTGATGAAGAGAAAGAGGCCATTGAACGAGGAATGCACGATGTCACGGAGCTGGACAACAAGGGTTTCAGATACACGCTATAATGCAAGGCAACTTTCCGAGCAAGGAAAGAGCTGAGATCAACAGCTGCAAGACCGGTCGACGGGGAACCAAATTGATCAACATCGTCCCTTTTTGATTTTCTCTCTCTGTCAACCTCATCTCTTTCTTTCCACCATCCTTTCCCATGTCTCCTTTGCACATGGCACGAGCTTCTCATGCCACAGGAATTTCCTCAGCATTGCCAGAAACGATTCAAACCGTCTCACAGCCGAGATTTTGGCCTGGAGTTTTCGGAGCAGCTCGTCCCGCGTGGATGCTGGCACGCCGTAGTCGAACCCGGGGGAAGCGAGGAGGAAGACCGCCCAAACGATAAAGTCCGGACCGGCCTTCTCGAAAAGTCCAAAGATCGATTGGCCCAGGGCGCGCAACGATTCCTCCATGGACTGATACGCTCGCCTGGAGCTGTTGACTGGGCGGCCTTTCGCGGTCACGTCGGAGAGGAACCGTCTGAATGCGAAACTAAGCGTGACGATGGCCTTCTCGAGTTGGCTGGCGCTGGATTCCATGGACAACCGCATCATCTCCACCGCGATAGACGTGTCTTCGGGAAACTCCGCAGGGCTTTTCTCGACGGTCTTGGTCATACGGTATAGAAGACGAATCACTTGATTCGACAGAAGCGTTTTTAGGGCCATGTCGCTGAACCCTTCAGGCAAAGCCGACAAGACTTTGGACAGAGACGGCGGGAATGGATGGCGTGGATACGTCAGCGTGCTATCGGGTGTGATGTTGGTCTTGGGCGAGCGATTGCGCCTCCGGATCGCATAGTCGCACATCATCTCAGTCCTGTCAAAGGCGTCAGGAGGGGCCGGATTCTCGAGACCTGGTCTAAGAGACGAGGTACTCACGCAGTGACAGAGTATCGGGTCTGAGGCTGAAGGTGACTCTTCTCCATTCCGCCACGGAGCTCCACCACGCGACGCAGTCCTTCTCGGTGTAGCTCGACGTGGTCATCTTGTCCTCGATGAAACTGGAGCTCAACACATTGGTAAGCTTCTCCCAGACAAAGCAACAGGTAATGGGATAGCTTACATCTCCGGCCATCAACGCCAAGATAGTATGAATGGTCACATCGTCGCAGCACAGCTGCGGCACGGTCAGACGATGATGGAGCTTCCGCATCACGCTCCCTCGAAGGCTTATCAAGATTCGTTCGAGCTCTTCCGGAGAAGACGTCAGCTGGCTCGCAGGCAGCTGGCTCCATATGAACAGGATGGTCGCCTCAAACAGCAGATCAGCCTGGAGGGCGACCCGGAAGAGGTACGACAAGAGCCAATTGCCCCCTTGGTCGTCCCGGTAGTTGCCTGCGTTCAAGGGCGCGTATATCTGGGTGACTGGTAAGCATTAGTTGTGTTGTTCGCATTTCCCACGTCGAGCGGCCGAAGGTGGAGGTGTAGCGGGGAGTGGCATACAGTAGTCCACAGTCAACTGCACTCGGCCGGAGGATTGCATGGGATATGAATTGAAAGGATCCGAGCGCAAACTCCCTGGAGATGTTGGTAGGGGGGCCTCGAAGGGGATCACAGCTCCATGCGGATCATCGCCTTCGACGCCACCATGATCCGAAACACCCCTCGCACCACCAGATCGCCGGGGAATCTGCTGCCAAGGCAATACTCTAGTTCTCTGGGAGCCGGCCGACCTGTCCTTGAGTTCCCTGCGGCGCTGGTTCTGGTACGAGTTGACCTGCCATTTTTTGGCGCGCGACTTTATCTGGTCCACGTGCGTGTATGTGATGAACATGGCGCGCCCGAGACAGAGAAAGGGGAGAGGGAAAAGAGGAGCAGGAGGCTGTGGCCTCGACGTGGAAATGTCATCGAGACATCGGACACGAGGGTCAAACAAACCCTGAATGACCTGAGAAATGGAAAATAGAATCCACAGACAGATGGAGACAGGGACTTAAGGATGTGAAGAAAGCTCCGCATCTGGTCCCAAACTTGCCACGCTTGCTTAAGCTCGTCACCACCGTCGCATTAGGACATGAGAATGTGGGAACTGCTTAGGGAGAGGACCTAGATAGGTAGGTGCTTGAATCCACTCCCTGGGCTCGTAGATGATTAGCGCCGCGTATAGTCACCATGTTCAGCAGGATGGTACATAGCTCACCCAGTAAACCCAGGTACCTACTAGGTACCTAGGTAGGTAGGTAGGTTCTCTTGACTCCAGCCCTATCAGACTTTTATGACTAAAGCGTCCTGTCTTGGATTTCCCTACTAGTAACTAGTCCTATACGACGGTCTTGGGACATCTTCTAGGCGAGAAGATGGCAGCCAACGCCTTCTTGTGTGACCAAACTGCGATTGGATGCGGGATATGTGCCCAGAGCGGCGGTTTCACCCACGGCTTGCTGACTCGGCCTGCATAGGTAGTTGGCGAGCGGCAATTTAGGGTGCATGTACTACGTATCCCAAACCACCATGCTGCGTAGGTACCTAGGTAGGTATCGGGACGATCTTTCGACGGTGAGGCGAGGTGCCGAGCCGTTGCAGCGCCCGCTGCTGTACCTCGACGGGTAGCGTGTTGGGGGCCGAAACTGATAGGATCTAGGTCAGGTAGGTACTAAGAGAGACGGAGACAGGGGAGAGGCAATACCCAGTTGAGAGAGGACTCAGGTACCTGGTAGTTTAAGAGAGATTCTCTTCCACCCTGGTTACTTACCTAGTTCGCTACCTAGGTAGGTACTTTACTTTGTTGACGTACTTTGACACTGACTCGCTGGGTTATCTACCTAGGTACGTAGGTACCTATCCGCATTACCCTCCCGCTCTCAGCCGCCCATACAAGGTTTCGACAACGTGTAAGTAAGCTAAGCAAAAAGTGGAGGCAAGCGAGAGCATCGCCAACGAATGTACCGAGTGCTCCTTCTCTATTCGGGAGAGACACTCCCAGAATGGCTCAGCTTTGACTACGTCCGGGTTGCAGGTCGAGGGTAGGGCTGTTTTATGCGGGGACCATGTTGTAAGAGAGCGGGAGAACTACTCTACACGGGCCACGGCGTAGTGTATACCTAGCATATACTAGACAAGGACAACCATCTTGGTGTGATGCAAAGGTAGAAGAAAACACTTTGTTGCATACCAATTTGATACATACTAGTCGTTTTTCATCACCGCTTCTCGTCCCGTCCCAACAACAGCAGACTCAACACCCCCTTCCCCTAATGTCTCTTACCCTTCAAGCACCAATCTTGGCGATAGGCAGCCCCCTCAAGTCCTCGGGGGTATACTCATCATGTCTCTTGAAACCCAACCCGCCTTCGCCGCTGAGCCCATCCTGCCTGCCCAAAAGAGTCATGTCAAGCCAGGTAAAGGTGTTGATGATGGGCTCGCCACCGCGCGCATAGCTGCTATAACTGTGATAAACCTTGCCCTCGTCACCAACACCGGTCAGTTTCCCGCCGAGCACAAAGACCGAATGGCCCGGCTGCTCGCCCTTTGCGAAGTGGGCGAGACCGCGCTTCTCCATCTCTTGCTTGGATTTGAAGTTGTACTCGATGGGCTTGACGGATTCGTCCTGCGTGGCGCCAAAGTCGTAGTTGAAGCTCGACCCGGAGGACGACACCCAGGGGAACGACCAGCCCATGCGCTTCTTGTACGCCCGGATCTTGTCGATCGGGGCGCGGCTCACGGCCACGAACGTGGTCGAGTGCCCGTGCAGGTGCCGCAGGTCTGGGACCGAGTCGCCCAGCAAGGAGCAGCTGGCGCACGCGGCGTCCCAGTCCGGGCTGAACATCAGGTGGTAGATGATGAGCTGGGCGCGGCCGTCGAACAGGTCCAACAGGCTGACTTCCTTGCCGTCCTCGTTGGTGAAGGTGTATGGGGCCGTCACTTCCACTACGGGGAGAGCCCGGCGTTGGCGCGCAAGCTGGTCGCGGGCCCTGGTGTTTTCCTTTTCAGCCGCGAGGAGGGACAGCCGGAGTGGGAGATACTCGGCCTGCGAGACGATCTAAAGAGCAGTTTTAGCGGAGGCACAAAATGGCTTGTCCAGAAAGTGGTCGAGTGAGGAGGGATCTTACCTTGACATTGGGCATTTTGTTTCTTTTCCTTGCGAGTGTTTTCCTTGAATCTGGACACGTCAAAGAGTTCACGAGAATGTCTCGAAAGCTTCTTTATCTCGCAGTACAGATGTGGAGAAGCGTCAAGCAAGGTGAAGTTGCGTCCCAAAGTATCGAGTACTGAAGCTTCCTTGATACCAGCGAAAAAAAATAGAAACCTGAAAATTGCGTAGATGGGTTCGTCGTCTGGGCTTGTTGACAGAGTCTGTGACAAGAAGGAGAATTCAGCTACTCACTGTATGCCTTCAGCTCTTTATATCCCTTTTCTCTGTACGAGGTATGGCAAGCTCATCCCCGTCGCAATCATGTCAAGGTTCGCAGGTCACAGACAGGGTGGGTTGAATTTGTCCCGTCGCCGACGTATCCCAGTGCCTCCGATACGAGAGCTGCCCTCCATTCCTTCAGCGCTGCTCAGAACCATAGTATTACCTAGGTGGCTCGCGGGTGCTGAAGCGGCCCATTGAGACCCTGAATCTCGCAAATGCAAATGCGCAACAACGCGCCATCAGGTGATTTGGCGCGCCCGTCGATCCCCAGTCTTCCCGCGTTTCTGCCTGGCGGTGCCTAAGGTAGGTAGGGACTTTCTTCATCACGCGCGCCCCGTTGACGCAAAGCAAACAACGGGCTTCGGTTTTCTAATCAATGCTGATAAATCAACATAGGAGAAGGTGAAGCACGGCTGGGCTGGGGAGACGAATGCTTCGATCATTGCCTTTGGGAGTCCCCCAGCTGAGGGGAATGCGCGAAAGCCCAGACTTGGGAGGATCTCGTAGGGGAAGGATCGGGCAAAGGCGAGGACGAATAATGAGCAGCAATCGCTACAGCGTTTTGCACAGGTGTGCGATGGATTCATCAAAGGGAAAAATGAGATCCTCCGATACTTCAAGCCCGTGTGAAGGAAATCAGATTCATTATCACCTCTGCATGATGAAAAAGGCAGTATGGCTTTGAAGAACGCTGTTTGGAAGAGACTGTCCCCTTTTTCTTGCTGACACGATCCAGATCCTATGTCTCTTCAAGCCTCGACCTCCTGCTTCCGCGGCTTGAAGCACAGGTTCAACGGTGCCAGCTCCATCGTAAAAGTGTCCAGCGTCTTCTCCAGCAGTGTGGTTCCGTCCTCACCGGGCGCGAATGAGACGTCGAAGTTCAAGAGGATTTGGGCAGTCACAGAGCGGATCTCCATCAAGGCAAGCTGTTTGCCGATACATGAATACGGCCCTACCCAAGACAACCGTCAGATTTCTCGATAAATGGGCACAGGGTCCACAACTCACCGATCAGGAAAGGAGCAAACGCATCGCTGCGCTTCAGCAATTCTGGCTTGCTATACCTGATAAACACTGTCAGTCAAGGTACGCTAGCAGAATCATTATGGGTTAAGCTTACCATCGCTCGGGAATGAATTCGTCTGGGTGTTCGTAACATTCTGGGGCTGGGGAACCACCTTTAGCGCCGGCTCGCACATGGACCAGGGATTCACTCACATCGAAACAAGGGATATGAAGGCGCCAGTATATTGACACCACCGGGAATGTATGTGCCTCCGATGGTGATGCCTTCTGGGGGCGTGAGGCGGGCAACTCCACTGGGGACAGGCGGGTGAAGTCGAAGGGCCTCATTGATCGCGCCGTTCAAATGCTTGAGAGTCACCAACTTGGAGGCGTCAAGGTCGCCCTTCAAAGATTCAACCTCTTCCCGCAGCAGTTCGAGCTGGGATTGATCTTTGGCCAGATGGTAGAAAAGGTGGGTCAGCGTCGCCGCCGTGGTGTCACTTCCGGCCACGATAATGAGCCGCGTGTCGCCGGTGAGCCAGGCCTTTTCGCTGAAATGGGTGCCCGTCATGGGCGGCGACTGCAAGATCCAAGAGGAGATGTCCGGTCTGTCGACCTTCATCTTCATCCTCTCCTCCATCATGTCCTCGCAGAACTTGATGAACTTTTTGAACTCCTTGACCACCGGCGGGATGTTGCTCATGATGATGAACAGCCAGGGGACTGGTCCGAAGATGCCGATCCCGCGCTGTCCGCCGTTGAGGATCTCGATGGCCCAGTGCTTCTGCCCGTTCTTGAGCATGTCAAAGTCCTTGGCGAAGGCGAGATCCCCCATGACATCGAAGCTGTAGTAGTTGAACCACTGTGCGGCATTGATTGGCTGGCCGGAAAAGGCCCGGATCTGTTCGACGAGGCTTTGTGTGTAGCGTTCGACACGAGGTTCGTAGTCTCGCAGTGCTGGATATCCACATCAGTCAGAGTAACAAGTCAACGTGCAGAGAACCCCCAATTCCTTACAGCTTTGAGTGAAGCCACGAGCCCACGCTTTGCGTCGCATGTCATGATGTACTCTTGACCTTGCCTGATGCATCGAAGTCAAGTCCGAGTTGCTCTCATAGCCGGCGCCTTTGGTGCATTTGGAGCCAGCTCCGTAGAGCACTTCGATGGCGTCGGGATGGATCGTGGAGACTTCACATGGTCCTGTGGGGGGAAAAGGGCATCAATCAGTCACAAAAAGATCAGAATTTCCTCCCCCCTCCCCCTTCTCCTTTCTCCCTCCCAAATGCTGGGCAAGCTATTTGTGTGTGCTACGAACCGGTGCGAACAAAAGTCCCGTATTTCTGGTGCATGCGGGTCAAAAACTTGTAATTTTTAATGGTCGGCGCGACATTCCAGACGTGCCACAGTTTCGAGATCTTTGCGCCAAACGGGCCCGGGAACGAATGGAGTCGGTGGAAAAACGCTCGGTAGAGGAAAACACTCGAGTACAGTCCCGTCAGGTAGGTGGCGTAGAAGATGGTGGTCTGCTGAACGGCGGCCACGAAGGGGATGCCCAGAGCGAGCTGCTGCGCGGCGGTCGCAATGACGGGGAAGGTGAAAAAGGCGACAAAATACTGGAAGGCCTGACGGTGGTGTTCGCCGTGGATGAAGTATGCCAGATGCGAGACCACGCCGAGCACGGTGCCTGCTGCGGCCAGCTGGGGCGAGGTGACCATCATGACTGTCGACAGTGTTGTTATTTTTGGTCAGATGAACGGGAGTATCAGTCCTCTCAGAAGGAAAAGGAGGATTATTCTACACTCTTGACACCCTTGATCGAGGATATATTTCGCTTCCGCCCGCTGTCGAACAGATGCTAGCACATAAGTACCTCGTATACGGGGTGCCTATCATGAGGATAGAGGCGGGCGGGGTTGGTCCTCCATACAGACTTCCAACTACCACAAACCGGGTCGATAGCCTACACCGAAGCCCGTGGTTGGGGCCCCCCGCCTATTCGAACGCTGCCGTCACCAAGGCCTACCGACTTCCTACCTCGGGATGTTTTGGTCGAGTCGACACCTCACATTTCCCCCCTTCCACGCATGCACGAATCGACAAGGACGACAATTGCAACTGGTCCATGCCTCGGTCCCGGGTCGCGGGTCTTCGGGTTTCCCGGCCTCAGCTCTTCCCGCGCCTTGGGTGCTGGAACGAAATGGTACAGTACCGATGCAGTACGAGATACCTCGTACGCTGTTAATATGGCTACTTAATACTAGGTAATAACATGGGTGACTGTAAAAGGGAAGTGGAGTGGCCAGAGAAGTGGAGATGCATTGCAAGGGCAAATGGGATTCAAGTTCAGTTTTCTGTTTTCGGTAATTGGACTGTTCCATGCTTGGACTGATGCATCAAAGCAGTAGGAGATAGTAGCTATGTCCTCCTACTGCAAGCATGGCTTGATGCATCTCTATCAACGACCTCCTCCTCAAGAAATCCCTGTGGCCACAGCCTTCCATAGCATTTTGCCCACACCGAACAGGTCAAGTCCTAAGAGTCGTCGTCTCCGTCAAAGGGACACAGGGCAGTATGATTAAAGGGTGACCACAGCGTCAAATAAGTCCAAGTATTCACCCTTGGTCGACATTTGATCATTGACACTTCCAGCATGGACCGAAAGCCTGCAGAGCAGACTGCGAGTTGGGAACTGTTCAGCCTGGCCCGGGTTTCCGCGGTCGCAGCTTGCAGCCACTCTCTTTCGCTCCAAACTCCCTCTATGATCATCGGCAAATTCCTCTTGGAATAGGGATCTCCGATATTCTCTTTGTGCACCATTCGCCCAAGTCGAGGAAGTCGCAGAGCTCTTTGGCCGTGATACGTATCTTTCTGGCATCTTCTGGGAGCCTGGCTACCCACTCACGGGTTTCTTCCTAAGAATCCCCGGGTGGAATCAGGTGTGTGAGAGGGAGAGACAGACCAGGCGCATCCGGATTGGGCGAACCATCAGCCCTACGAAAGACCTAAATTTGGATAATATTAGTCGCTGCCACGGAAGAAGAGGTAGTGGATGGGTGGAGGGTCGGCACTGGGCAGGCATGTGGTCCATTGCCTACCTGATCCTCGAATACCTGCTTCACATTCCACTTCCCACCGCGCCCGCGCAATCTGGAGCTGATGGTTCGAAGGTCCCACAAATTAGTGATTTCACGCTCCCACACAGACAGTGTAGCCGACTTGTTGTCCAAGCCGTGCTCCATCTTGAGACCAATGACAGTTTGAATATCGCCAGTTCCCAGGACACGGTACAACGCGAGTCTGGCTACCATTTTCTTGGGCTGCGAGTGAGCGACCTCGATGACGGGGTCAAGAGAAGTTATCTCGTAGTGCGTGAAGCAAGCGTCCGAATTGGTTTTGAGCTCGTCCTCATCCACGGCGAGGCAATGACGGACTCTGTTGCAGCTGCGAATTCTTTCGACGAATGATTCGTGGTCTTGATGTTGAGATCCAAGCATTCTCAATTGATCGTAGACACGAAATACAATTCCCTTCATGAACCATATGTAGGTCAATGACTCGCCTCCAAGGAAGAATTCTTGTTCCCGAGGACTGTAGGAGGAGCTAAAGATCAATATCAGCCCAAGAATCTATGCTTTGGAGTAAAATGCCTGAGTCTTACCGATAATATCTGGGAACGGGTTGATCCACAAAGTGCGCGAGGAGCATGAGGGGCGTACGAGGACTGACTTTCAACCGTAGCCAGTTGTCCCTGATGCCAGCGTTGATGTAATTTTCAGCCGCACGAGCCGCGAAGTGAAACTCTCCATCGTCGTCACTGATGCGGAGGGTTGATTTGAATCTACACCAGGCGTCAGTAGAGGCGAGCAAGTGGCGCGGATAAACGACTTGCTTCCGTATGTATTCTTCCATCATGTGCTGATGGGCAGTTGAAGAGAGCGGCCACTCGTGGGAAGGCGAGAAGGGAGGTTGATGAGAAGGTGAGGGAAGGAGAGAGAGCGAGAGAGGCGCCATGTCTTCCAAACCAGAATATTTCAACTTCACTGTAGTGGTGCCATGGTCAGACTTGGCGAGCACGTACGGCCCCGCGCTTCACTTGATGCTATTTTACTGCTGCTTGTTAAAAAAGTCACTCGTCTGGTCATCTTGGCGGTGCCATTGGTGACGCTGGTGACTTGTGGCGATACACCACCTCGCTACCTATAGGTAGGTATCTAAGGTAGGTAATAGCTCCGGTAGGTATTTTTGGCCGAAAACAACCTGGAACCTTCGACGATGTCAATTTACAGTGGAAATACATACGTTTGACTGTTCAGCAAAAGGCGCAGTTCTTACGGTCAGTCATAACGCGTTCTCATGAACCATGGCAGACCGATGACCGAGAGCGCAGAAGCCAGGTTTGTCGGGCGAGGCCAGTGTAGACAGGTCCAGAACCGCTGTCCACGGCACAAGCTGACCGGCGACCGCAAGGACTATTTGAGCGTCTCGAAGACGAGACCGGAGACATCCATATCCGAAATTAACGAGCCAATTCTGCTTCTGAGACGAAACTGGCCCTCGCCCCCGTGTGGGGAAGAAATGTGGTGTTGCTGTTTCAAGGGGCGAGCGCGTCGTATTGGTCGATTGGTCGAGAGTCGCCTCGAACACACAACATACAGGACACACTACCTCGTAAGTTGCTGGTACAGTTTCCTCTATTTTGCTAGAGGCATCCTGCAGGATCAGTCTTGAAACGGGAAAATTCAAGAAAAGTCCTGGTTCTTCTGGTCTGAGTCTCTCGATTCAATTCAGCTTGCTATGCTAGCTAAATCCGCTATCCACAAATGCACAGACATTTCTTTTTCTGGCGGGGTCCTTGCTCACTCGATCCCGCACGCCCTCGCTCCAAATCAGAGTTCCATTGCATTGTCGTTGGCACTGACTGAGGCCTTCTGCTTCACACAACTTGCCCAGTTCCTGGCGCCTCTGAACCTCGAAAGCAGAAAGACTGATTCTGGTTATACACTTCTATGACATAGAAAGGAAAATAAAAGGAGATAGCTTATGCTGCATCATGTGGGGACGGTTAACATGGCAAACCTGTTCCCCCTTTTCTGGTTTCGTGTGCTTTTTTTGGCGTCATCAACTCATGGTTGGTAGAGTCAAACAATGAATCATGCGACGAGGTCGCGAGCCGCAAATCGTCCGCGACCACGGCCGTACCGGCCTCGGCCACCACCGAATCTTCCTCCGCGGCCGGATCCGGTGTTTCCTCCAGTCGTGGAGTTCGAGCCAGTAGTACCGCTCTCAGCAGCGGTGGCAGCCGACGTGGTGGTGGCGGCAGCTGCACCGTTTCCAGAATCGTTTCCGCCAGCGTTTCCATTGTCAGAACCGCCTGCCGCGGCAGTGGTGCTGGTGGCGGCAGCGGCAGCGGTTGTTGAAGAGGCGTCTGCGTTGTTGTCGCTACCGCTGCCACCAGCAGCAGCAGCGCCACCGGCGTTGCCGCTACCTTGGCCGACAGTGAACTTCTGGCAATCGTCTTGACCACCTCGTTGAGCGACCTGTGTTCGATTAGTGTTCGGTTCTCTTGACTGGGGGATTGCAGGCAAGCAGAACTTACCGGCATGAGAACAGGCTGGTGGTTAGATGCGCTGTTTAGAGTGCAAACGCGGTAGAACCCGGGAGCAAGACCATTGGTGACGGTGGCCTGGAGAAGGCCTTCTCCATTGCCAGCGTCATCAATACCCTTGAAGAAAGCAAAAGTCTTCGGGTCCGGAGGAGTGGTGGGGGCGAGGGTGTTGCCGAGATCCTGAACAGTGACGTGGCAGTGGCCAACGATGTTGCCGCCTTCCAGCTGTTGAGGAGCAGCGTAGTATGTGGTCAGGGGATCGGTGAAGGAACCGGCGACGAGGTTCGTGAGCTGGACTGAGATGTTGAAGGTCTGGTTGGGAGTCAAGTCGTCTCCGGGGCCGGGGAAGAGAACAATAGCAGAGACCATGTTGTTGTTGGAAGGAATATCACCCATGACCACACCGTTGCAAGATCCGGAAGTGTTCTGAGTGCCATTGGTCGTGGTCTTGCCCGTGCAAAAGTTGATGAAGTTGGCTGGGTCACTGAGAGAGGGTTGGTTAGCATGTGCTAGTGTCCGTGAATGAAGCCCAAAACGTACGTATCAGAGTTGGCTTGACCAGCAGCAGCGTTACCGATGAAGTCGCTAGCGGCTTGGACGTTGGACTCCAGCAAGAGAAGCGGGTTGTCACTGCCACTGCCACTAGCAGCGTTGTTGCTTCCGGTATTGCTGCCAGTGTTGCCTCCAGAAGCTGCTGCAGAGCTGGAAGAAGCGGCGGCGGCCGCGGTAGTGGAGGCTGCGGCTCCAGCTCCAGCATTGCCGCCATTGTTTCCACCACGATTGCGCTGCGCCACGGCTCCGGTCGTCAGACCAAAAGTGGCAACTGCCAAGGTCAAAAGCTGAGATGTCTTCATTGTGTCGGTTCGGGATTTGGTATATCAAAGCAAAAGGCTTCTTTGGGGAATTGGACTTCGGAGTGCGGGATCGAGATAAGATGATCTTTTTTGGGATAGTAATCGAACGAGAGACTTCGCGGTCAACGCGGTCTGAACCAGGAAAAAAAGGAGTGTACGGAAAAAAGAATTGCTTGAATGCTGTTCAATACAATTGATGCGAAAGGAATGTAGAGGCACTGCCCTGATGGAGAGAAGAAAACACCTTGATGGCGAAGGAAAAACCGACCTCTTATGCATTCTGCTTGGCACAGGTCTCAGGTCTCGTCTCGTCGGACCGCAACGTCGTTGAGGGGGAACTGGGTGTGTGGTCCATGGTGATTTCGTCTGAGGCTGCAAATGTTTCCAAGATGGAAGATGACACAGAAGAGGCTCACCAGGCGTCCCCGTGCGTCAGGTTGGGCAAGGCATAGTGCCAGCCTCGAAGGTTACAGGTTGGTCGCAGCCTGCCGCCGCAGGCCGCCGCAGTGTGGTTGGGAGGGTCGATCAAGCATCGCCAATGTTTTGAAATCACCATTAGCTCTGCCAGAGTGCGAGACAGGGCGGGCGCGGGCGGGCAAGCAGGGAGGATGGAGAGGGGACCAAAGATGAAGCTGAGATGGTTTCGAGAAGTGTCGGAGAAATCCCAGGGAGAAAACCACGCGTGTCTGAAACGGGCGGCTGTAGCGAAGGGTCTCGGCGAGGCCACCCAATTGGTACTCTGAAGTCGTACTAAAGTTCCACTATCTTCGGGAGCTAGCTCATCCGGGCTAGACTAGTGGTTAAAGCGCTATTAGCCGCATTTAGCGTGTCTTGGTGAATCACTAGGAAACTCCTGTGTTTCTCCTGTCGACGTCATATTTCCCTCCTAGAAATGGCCCTCCTCCAACCTCCATATGACGGGTATGGAGTAGCTCACACAAACCTCCTCCTGCAATATCCTCCTTTTCTTCCATAGATCTGTCAAGGGAGACTCCACCTTCTTGCTTCCAGCCCCTCCGCCAAAGAGTCTCGCACCTTCCTAATCCTGACATTTCCAGCCGCCTACACCCACATTGGTTCGGATATGCCCAGTTCCCTCTCCTAAAAATAATCCCTAGCAAGTCACGCAAGTACCACGCTGCCCCCTTAGACACGACGTCCCCACCTCTTAGCTTTTACGGAGTTACTCCACGATCCAGGGAAAATCCTCCTGCCAGTCACGCACCCAAGCTTTGGTCAAGCTTTGCTTGTGCCGATTACCGAGTCGCAAACTCTCCGGACTCAATTTGAAGCGGTTCAGATGGTTCGAGGTCTCGCCAACGTTCGACTAATTGTTACCCTGTACGGAGCGCGTCCCGAAGGAAAAGCTTCGATCCGGCTGGCTTTGTGAGCTCTTGACGTCGTTCAAGCAACGGATAACGGCATCGAAGCGCCTTCTACCCTCCCCTCACGATTGCCTCGAGGACCAAGGCCCTCGCGTAACAGTACCAGTCCTCAATCGCACGTTACACGATGACTGGAACCGGTCAAAGCTTGTCAATCAACGTCGCAACGTGGGCGGATTCATCTCACTCCGTAGACGGATCTGCTGCACCCGCACGAGGAATGCTTGTTGGCCCCTCGGCGGCGAAGCTATCCGAGTTCTACCTGGACAGGAGAAGTCTAGATTCCAATTCTGCAAGCGCGTAAAACCTCCCTCTCCCTTGTCATTATTTTGTGGGCTTGCTTGAGCGGGTGCTCGGCAGTGATTAGAAACCCAGAATTTCCCCTTTGAGATGCAAATTAGCTCTCCCAGACAAGATCACATTCGCGATGCTTGTCTTCCCGTGCTCATCCGTCTTGACGTCCACCTCGACCGCGATGGTGCACAACCTGCCCATCTCTGCTCCCTGTTGAATTCCAAATACTTTCCTCTCAGTCTTTGCCTCTGCCAGCTTCAGCTCCTCTGTCTTCTTTGCGAGCTCGGAATCGTTGTCCGTTGCTTCCTCTGCAAGTTTCTGCGGCTCCGACGATGAGCCTGCGTCTCGTAATGCCAGATAACAAGCTAGAGCGCAACACGCACTCCCTGTTCCCGGATCCTCGATACCGTGAGAGATCATTCTTGCTTGGATATTGTGAATAGCCGGTTCGCCAGGCTGTTCCGACTTTGCCAGGACTTTGTAGTACATACAGCCTACAAAACTCGGTGACCACTCCGCGTCCAGGTCGACTTCGGGGGACTTCCCCGCTTGCACGGAGCCAAAAATCTCAGCGTTATCAGAAAAGTCGACGAGGACAAACGTCATGCCCTTGACAATCGAGACCAGAGGGAACGTCTTGTCCTTTTCCTTGTCAATGGTCGGGACGATTTGGACGTGGGGCTGTGTGGAGATGATCTTCTCGATCGGGACGCGATGGGAGTGAACGTGGTAGTTGGAGGGGACTGCGCAAGCCGCCACTTGACGGTAGGGGTTGAAAAAGATGGGTATTCGACCAGCTTTTGTCAGGAGGACGGCGGTTTGCTTTTGGGTGTCTCGGTCAGCGGGTCCGCCGTAGTGCATTCTCTCGAGATAGCCGAATATCTGGACATAACATGGTCAGCTCTTTTCACCAGGGTGAACAGGACCATGACGAACGCACATAGTACGCTGCTCCGATGACCTGGTTAAGCTCGTCAGCCCTATCCTGCGTAAAATTCACCAACGAGGCGTAAGAACTCACAGGATGACCCGCAAAGGGCAGCTCCTCGCCCGTCTCGGTGAAAATTTCCAGCAGCCGTGGCTGGCCGGGGCCGGAAGCATCATGCAAAAAGCAGGTCTCGGAGTACCTGAACTCCCTCGCGATTTGAGCCTTGCGTTTCTGAGAGAGTGCGTTGCCATGCACGGACACGACGGCCAAGGGATTGCCCTGGAATTTCTCCGCGGAAAAGACCTAGAAATTGCACACGGTATCCCATCAATATCTTGACGGCGGCGGCAGCAGGAGTCGGGAGGAATTAGCAGCAAAGCAGGGGAGCATCGCGCACACAGCAAGCGTCGTTTAGGCAATGATCTTGAAAGCCGAAACGGCCCTGACCAAGATTTGAATCTGACGACGGGTATAACAATAACGCACAGAACTCTTAACCTGCAGAACTCCTTCCTTCCCATGTCCCCCCTTTTCAAGTTTCATGTCATCTTCGCCGCAATCTTCGGAAAGACCCAAATGAACAGGTCGAGAACGCTAATCATATACGAACAAAGCGCACGATGCAGATGAGACACATACCACCATGGTCACGTAAGTATGAGGACCGGATGCCATCCTTTTCTTCTTCTGTTGGCTTGGTTTGGTTTGCGTGAAAGAGTTGCTGCGTTGCAGGATGAAAAAAGTGGTAAGACCGACCGACAACGAAGCTCGACGAAGAAGAACGTTAAGACGTTATATCCCTCGAAGATCTTGTCGCCCTCCGTGCGGTTTGAAAAGGTTGATCATGATCCGGGATCTGTGAATATCGCTTCAGCAGCAGCAGGAGGGTTCAGGGTCAGATCTGGCTACCTTGGATGAAAGCGGTGTCCGGTTGATCACAAAGTACGACATCAGCTTCAATCACTGGCAGTTTCCGGAAGACGAGGTTTGGCGCGCCACGGGATAATGTTGTTCCGTTCGCTGGACTCGGCGGACTTTCCGTGCTCGCGCAGTACCTCTTACTACCAAGTACCTAGGTAGAGAGCGGTGCTGAGTTGTAATAATATTCGTACTTAGTACGTCGACAGAAGGAAAGGCTCAACTCTTTCAGTATAGACCTGGTCCGACCTTGACTTCCACATCCTGAAAGCGGCATCTTCTCCTGGAACGCTTTCGTCCCTGCCGAGGCGTACTGGACCAATAAACCTCTGACCCTCACTGCAGATCGACCTCGAATACCATATGTAATGCTCAAACCCCAGGTGCTTGATATCTCATGTTGAGATGAAGAGAAGGAAAAGCGACAATATTCTATGGCAGACTAGGTGCTCCGACTTGAAATCCATCCCGACCTCAAGTTGGGGCTTGGTTGGGAAGGGCAAAGACCTGGAACAATTATCTCGCAAATTTTCTGAGGATTGAAGGATTGGAATTGGAATGACGTGCTACTGTCTCCCCGTTCCCTTTCCAGGCTATATGATTACTCTTGTCTCAATCAGGGGCGACGACGTGAGAGGGTGGAGGTTATATACAAATTCAACTGAAGTCTCAATTAGGCAGTTAGTCTGTCAGTCAAGTCACGACTACATTCCCTCGGATATGCATCACCGCCCCCTTCCATATAGTCCAACCTCCTGCCCTTTTCCTTCCCTTCCCCTTCCTGCTGCAGGGGCAATATTAATCCCAACCAATCAGTACCTTCCAACAGGTAGATACTGTGCAATCTGTGCATGATTTTAACATGGTTCGTAAAGGAGCGTGGATGTCATCTCTTTTCTCTATGCCGTAAGGAGTGTGTCTCATGTATCTTCCAATCGTAAGGATCGTACGCTCGTGCCGGTGGTCTGGATCCAGGGGCTGAGCTGGGAGTAAAGTAATACCATTCGTATGGTGTCAAAAATAGATATCAGCGTCGCTCGTCGACATCTCCGCCCTTGTATACATGCATATACCGCATGGACTGGGATAGTCGACGAAAGACATTGATGACAGAATTGAAGATATGCTTTTTTCAGTTTTTGCGACTCCTGGATTCAGGAGTTTCCCAGGTCATTCTCATTTATGCCAGGGCGACCAAGCCAACAACACCTGCCAAGAGCGCCATGGCAGGTTTGTTGTTGCTGCTGGCAGCGCCGGTGAAAGTCGCAGCTGGCGCAGGCGCGGTGGTGCTGGAAACGGGAGCGACGCTTGTATAGACGCTGCTGCTGACGACCGGAGCTGGGGCTGAAGACCAGGTGCTGCTGACGGCAACAGTGGACCACGTGCTACTATAAACTGAGGTCGAACTCCAAGCAGCCCAGGTAACCGACGATGAGGTCTCGACAGGGGCCGGAGCAGGGGCCCACGAAGAAGAGTACACAGAAGTAGTCCAGTCAGCCCAGGTTGTGGATGGTGTCGTGGTTGTGGTGGTGGTGGTGGTGGTGGTGGTGGAAGTCGTAGTCGTCCAAACAGCCCAGGTCGTAGATGGCGTAGTAGTTGTCGTAGTACTAGTCCATTCTTCCCAGGTAGTGGCCGGTGTGGTAGTTGTAGTGGTTGTGGTTGTGGTAGTGGTCGTCGTCGTCGTCGTGGTCCAGTCTTCCCAGGTCGTGGTCGGCGTAGT